TGTCTGAGAACACCTAGCATAAATGACTGCATATTTGTATCATAAATACAGTTTTTACATACTCTAAAAAGAACTTTTCGAGTTACAAAATTATTCTAAAACCTAAAAAAAATGTAAAAGCTGTCAAAGAAAACCAAGAAAATGCCAAATTATCTGTGAATTTTTTGGGAAAAAATATTTAGAAAATAAATAAATTGTTGAATTCCATATACACCATCCAATTGCTCACTGTTATCATTTGATCTATCAGAATTTCCATGGGTACCAATTAAACCCCATTTTTAGCAGACTTATTTTTGTATTCACATGAAGCAGAATTTTTTCAAAATCTTATACAAAAGAAGAAAACACTTGTTGTCGGCTTCATCTCGACATTTAGATATATCGACGACGCATTGTCAATTAACAATAGCAACGTACTGCCATTCAGGTCGAAACGATATATATCCCAGTGAGCTTGAAATAAAGATACCACAGATTCTAACACATCTGTTTCATATTTGGATATTTTACTAGAAAAAGACGTTAATGGTAATCTTACAACAATGCTTTATGATAAACGTGATGACTTTACTTTCAATCGTCAACTTCCCTTCATATGGTTTTTTAATCTCAGTTGATTCGATACGCAAGAGCATGCTCTACATTCGAAAAATTTCTTAAAACGAGATAAGTTATTGACAAACAAGTTGATGAAACAAGAATATCAACAGTCTCGTTTAAATTCATCATTTCACAAGTTCAAATTCTGATGGACGTTTTTTCGTGCTAATTGTTAGGCTATTATTTACACACGGATTGTCCACGGATTTTCCCGTAATTTTCCGATCATGACAAGGAGCTCACGGTGGGTGTGAACCGTCGGCAGGGGATGCTCACTCCTCCAAGGCACCTGATCTCACCTCTGATATTTTTTGAGGTCCGTGTTTGCTCTGCTCCTGATTTGTATTGTTTAAATGGACTTTGAGATTGAGTACTGTTAGTACTCCACATTTGATAATTTATTTTCAAGAGGAAATTCCTGAATATGCAATTTTTTATTAAAATATTGTTCCAATCATAGGTTTATTTAATCCTGCGTATGATAATCATCTAAAATCAATTGTAGAGAGCAGTTGGCAGTAAGCAGTTTGCTCTCTATTTGGAATTCCATAATTAAATCAATATATAATCCAAACTCAGAAATTGATAAAACATGTTTTTAGCTTGAATCTTCATTTAAAAAAATATACATAATTAACCTTATTAGTTTATTATGGATTATTTAGTTTAATAATATCCGTTCTGTTTTCATGACCAATATTTTTTTTTTTACTGATCTCTGAAAACTTGAACCAATTTGATTGATACTTGTAATTCAATATAATCGAGGGATATAGTGCTTCTATGGTCTCTACAAGTAGTGAATTTAATTACATTTACCTATAATATGGAAAAAAGCTGATATTCCTCTTTTGAAATAATGGAATAAAAGTGTCTTTAGTAATCTGAAAATTAATGATTAAGGTAGCTCGTCAGAATTACACGTATAGATAGAAAAGGGACAGTCCTTTTGTGCTGGTTGATTAAAAATTAATTTTAAAAATCTTCACAAATTAAAAGCGGTTGCATTGAAAACAAAGACTAATTATATTGGGTTACAAGATTCAACAGGAATGAAAAGACCAAGTTTAAATGACCAACATAATATTAGTCATCCACAAGAAAAAATGACAATATTCTAAAATTAGACCAAAATTCATATGACCAACATTAATTAGTCATCTTCAAGATACAGTTACAATAATTTGTAAATTAACTGTGTCCTCTGACAAAATATTAGCAACAAATCTGTGGTTTGTGAAATAGATACTACTTTATAAAATTAAAATACACGTGTCACAAAACAAACTGCATTCGGCCTCACAAAGGATTAGTCAGCTAAAAAATACAAACAAAGAAACATGTCCTCTGCAATAGGTTTAGAGGGCTGCAAACTTTTTCCTCTTATTGATCCGAAATACAGAATTCCAAAGAAAAGCAAGTCCTCCATTAATAAAGGGGATAAGAAATCATGGGAGAAAAAATTACCCAGAATTCCCAAGGAGACCTGCAAGAAGTCCATGACTCCCATTAAGGTAAAAATGTACATCTCTACATCGAATTTTTGTAAGAGTTTAATGACAATTTTTGTAAAATAATATATAAATACATAAAAAGATAAACAAATAAATAGTTTTTATATATTCTTTGAATTATTGGATGCCATGTTAAGTTCTGCATTTATATAAAAATGCATTTTTTAAAACTTATTATTCAACATAATAAAAATATTTACAATTGAATAATTATTATAAAATATTATTTCTCCATATTATTATATTTAATAAATATATATGTACATGTATAACCAAGATCATTTTACCAATCACAAGGAAATCTTCATAATTTTTTTTCTTTAAAAAAAAAGTCCAAGTTTCCAAATTTTTAAATTTAAAAACTCTAAAAACGATCTCATGGTTGATTATTTAAAATACTTTAAATTAACAGTTTTAATAGTAAATTTGACAATATGAAAATACTTTACATAATTACAAAATAAATCTTCAACGTGGGTAATTCATGTTTCCATCAACATGATCAAGGTTATTTGTTGTATATAGATTGAACGTTCAAAATACAAAGCATCTTGCTTGCATAGATCTAGAAGAAGTTCATTGTAATACAAAAGATTTCTAAACAAAAGAAATTTATTTTTATCTCGCTAAAAAAGAAAGTCCATTAAACTCAGTATAATTAAAAATTATTCTTTGTATCCACGTCATCTTTCAAAATAGAAACATGAGAAAGTACACAGAACTCATTATTCACAGAAATAATTAATCACATGACCCTTCGACATTGACAAAAGTAATAAAAACAAACACTTTTTCTTTGATTTGAATCATTAAACACCGGAGTCCTTTACTTTTTCTTTGGGTCTGGAATTGATAAGTTTCGACGACTTCCATATATGGAAATCAAGAACAATAACTAAAATTGCTAGAAATATACTTCGTAAGCAAGTAATTTTTTCCCCCTGGCCAATCAGAAAACACCATTTGCAAACACCCACAACTTCAAAGAATCGATAATAGAACACGTGTTTTTGCATTTTATTAAAGAAGAAAAATCAATTCAGATGAACAGGTATGTAAGAATTAGGTATTCCCAACATATTTAACGAGAACTAAAAATAAAATTTTCATCTCAAAATATAAATAAACAAATAAAATAAAAAATGTTAAAAATTAAAAAAAAAATATATATAGAATCATGAAGGTGCTATTTATTTACATCTATACTTGCACATACCCAACTCGATCGTACGATTTAGCATATATACTCGGTAAATAAGCCTTACTATTGTCGTATTCTTCTCTAAAATTTCAAAGCTGCTCGGATAGGGGAGGGGGGGGGGGGTACATGTAGTAGGACTCTCTTCCCTGGATTTTAGGGTTATTGAATTAAATAAATTTCTATGCACGTACTGGTAACTGAAAAATGGCCTTAGGAACCCCCCACCCCCTCTCATCAGCAAAGCCAGACCGCTCATTAAATTGTAAAGAGAGTCGTACATGTATATAAATGGAAGTGAGCACCCCCTACCACTCCACAGAAATAGGTTTTTTCAGGTTTTTGAAAATTGTTTACCTTTTTTATTGTCAAAAAATCTTTGAGTTCGATATTTGTTTGAGTTGGCATGCCCCCCCCCCCCCAACCTCCTCACTCCCCTGGAAAAAAATTCCTGGATCTGTGCATGTCAAAAGACAGATAAATAAGCCGTATTTGTATCATATATCCTACCAAATCTTAATTAATACTATTGGGGAAAAAACCTCATACTGTCTGATTGTGACTTATTTCATCTTTATTTTCTTTCTAATCCTCATATTGGTCAAAATAGAATATTCAAATGGTTTATAATTATCCCAGATGTGCATCAAATTTACAGGTTTTGTAATTAAAAAATGAGCAAAAAACCACGTGTTTTATGACTTTCCTGTGGGTCTGATTGGTAAGAAGGAAAAGTATCTTTATTTTGTGTCTATTTATAGCAATTTTCTGCTATCATTCTTTCATGCAGGGAAAGTGAAAAAAAATCTTAATAGCCAAATAAAATAACAGATCGTTTGAAAACGTGCTTATATATCATCTCAAGACCTATCTCTATATAATACAGTGGCATGCACTCTACCAGCAGTGGCGGATCCAGGAATCTTGAAATGGGGGCCCGACCAGTTTGGGGTGGGGTAGGGGACCACGGCCACACCAAAAAAAATTGATTTATTAAACTTAATGTATATTTTGGACACAAAGGGAGGGGGGCTCTAAATCCGCCAGTGACTAGATAGAACGTTCTATCGCTAAAATGATATTGTCCTACGGGATTGTCCCGAGACACAGTTAGATTATTCTAACTAGCACTCTACCTCCAAAGTAACACAGTAAAAGATATCAAATAAATATTTTAAATAAGAATCAGGTTAAATAAATATAAATTGACAAGGTGTAGTTTGTGAATTTATCTTTAAAATATGATTGGCAGAGGGAGTTTAAGCCATCTTCATAAAGAGAGGAAATAATAGCAAGACTATGTCCAATGATTGATGTTCAAAATTTAAAATCAAAATGTACACAATTTCCAAATGAGTATGTTTATCATATTTCTTTTGAAATTCAGATTCAAAATAATTCTGTCAATTCAGAACTTTTTGTATATCGAAACAGAAAAATAGATACAGTAAAACATATTTATAGCGAACACACTTATAATGAAGCTTACAGCACAGTGGTTTTCATTCCTCATGGCTTTAAAACATATTACAAATTATATATATAACAAAGTAAAATCATGTGTCCCTGGCACTTCGTTACATGCATGCTTTACTGTATGTTTAAACATTTATTTTTCATTTTGATTCTTGGACATTTTTGACCACAAAAGAATCAATGAGTAATATTTAATACTCTGATATGAACTTTAAGGAGTTCCATATGGTATAATATTTTTAATATATTATTCAAATATTATTTACAATTAGTTCTGTAGTAAATATAATAGTTAATATTATATAAAAAATATTGCATGTAGTTGAGTGGAACATAAAAAATTTTCACCCAAGAAAACCATTGTCAACTGAGGCGAGGGGTGAAAATTTTCAATGTTATCTTCTATATTATACTGAATATTTTACACAAATACAAAGAAAGGTGAAGCACACGCACATAGATTCCGCACAGTCACTATATTTTTTTAATATCACCCGTCATCAAGCAATTGACTGTTTCTATGTTCTAACGTGCTGAAGGGGGTGGTTTCATCATTCAGAGGGTAACATTTTTAACGAATGTAACTCTTCAGAGTCCCATATGTGGAATTTCTGTATTTCCACATTTGGATAAAATTAGTCTTTCCATTCACCATTATAATGATGGAAAATTTGATTGACATTGAATAAAAGGAATGATTTCAGAGGTTGACCTGTTCAACTAGTACATATGTTCACAGTCAATAAAGCATGTATCAGTCCCAGCTAGACTTTCTAGGATCCCAGATAACTACAGTGTAAGTATCTCCTTCAGATTCAGCTGGCTGAGTCTAGAATTAAATCTGTCTGGGTTGATGAGTTCCAGATTTTTGTAAAATTCAGAAATACTGTTTCCTATATCTGAGTCCTCAAGTCAGAAATGTCCAGGTTAAATGAAGAATGTTCCTCTCAGTTTGGACAACGGAGAAAATTAACTTCTCCATCCTGTTCATACTGGAAAATGGGGGAAACTAAAAAAATAGAGTGGAGAATAACAAGTAGAAATTAATCACAAAATTCTGAAATGTGCTTAAATTAAAACAAAATATCAACTGAAAAATAGAAACGTATTTTAAAACATTTTTATGTACCAAATCTCTACAAATATACATGAAAAAACTAATTAAAGATGTTTTATGGAGAGCTTCTCTCAACTCTACCTTTTACCAATATTGTTGATATTGAACAGCTTTCGATTGATCAAATCTTTGTCACAATCATTAATCTAATAAAATTCTACAGATAAAATTTCTATTGTAGGGGACATAAAATTCTATGGACAAAATTCTATTGTAGCGGACATAAAATTCTATTGAAGAAGACACAAAATTCTAACGATAAAAATTCTATTGTAGGGGACACAAAATTCTAATGATAAAAATTCTATTGTAGTGGACACAAAATATTCTATGGACACAAAATTCTATTGTAGGGGACACAAAATTCTATTCTATGGGTAACAAATTCTATTGTATGGGACACAAATTTCTATTGTGAACCTCTTTTCATGGAGCTATCTAGCATCTATTACTCAAAAATCATGTGACTCAATGTTAAATATATCTTATTTTACTGATATTGGTCTCCATAACAATTTAGCTTATAGATATAGATGAAGAACTTCTCCTTTCAAAGTTAAATAAAAGTAAAGCAATAGACTAAACTGCCGCATGAAGCTTTTAATTATAGGTTTACTGTTCATTTTCTGATAATGACTTAAGTTTCTAGTGATTAATTTAAATATGTTACAAAGATGCCTTACTTCGGATATCAGTTGCTGATTCTGTTGTAAGCACTGAGTTAGGAATGACTGACCTATATTCCTGCTCAGCCTCTCAGGTTGATATAACACCTGACTTATTATTATTATGCCTTACTTTGGAAACCAGTCCCTGATTCTGTTGTAAGTACAGAGTTAGGAATGACTGACCTATATTCCTGCTCAGCCTCTCGGGTTGATATAACACCTGACTTATTATTATCATGCCTTACTTTGGAGATCAGTCCCTGATTCTGTTGTATGTACTGAGTTAGGAATGACCGAGCTATATTCCTGCTCAACCTCTCATTTCTGGTTGATATAACACCTCCCTGCAGTACAACCTTCCAATTCTGTCTATGAATATTAATGAGCATTGTTAGTAAATATTCAACACAACATTACTGATATAATTGTTTGAACAATGAGTAAAAAGTCACAGTGACTGCAGAATTATACTTATGAGCCATTTTTCCAAGAGATTTTATTCTATCAAGAAATTAAAACATTGGACAAACAAAGAATATAGTTAAAAACTGAGCCCCCCCCCCATCCACCCCTCCCTCATCCAACCCCTACACATCTATACTGCCATCATTTCAAAAGATCAAACAAAGAATGATTTCCTGGTATTTCTCCATTGTTACAAGTAAGTACTTACAACTCGGTCCAATCCATGGCCAGAATCCTTGTTATCATAAGTAAGTTCCACGACAGACCTTCCACTGTACAGGCCAGCTTTCTGTAGAGACAAATAAACTCATCTCAAACCTTTACCTAATTTCAGAAGCCAATGTTGAGAATGAAAGATATTCATACAGATTTCTGTAATGTGTTTTCCTTAATGAACAGTGTGAGGAAATAGTGATGTTATCATAACATGTACATCAAAGATCTCTAGACACCAGACCTGTGTAGATTGTTTGCTTGTATACCACACCTGTGTAGATTGTTTGTTTGTATACCACACCTGTGTAGATTGTTTATTTGTATACCACACCTGTGTAGGTTGTTTGTTTGTATACCACACCTGTGTAGATTGTTTATTTGTATACCACACCTGTGTAGATTGTTTATTTGTATACCACACCTGTGTAGGTTGTTTATTTGTATACCACACCTGTGTAGGTTGTTTGTTTGTATACCACACCTGTGTAGGTTGTTTGTTTGTATACCACACCTGTGTAGATTGTTTGTTTGTATGACACACCTGTGTAGATTGTTTATTTGTATACCACACCTGTGTAGGTTGTTTGTTTGTATGACACACCTGTGTAGATTGTTTATTTGTATACCACACCTGTGTAGATTGTTTGTTTGTATGACACACCTGTGTCGATTGTTTGTTTGTATGACACACCTGTGTAGATTGTTTGTTTGTATACCACACCTGTGTAGGTTGTTTGTTTGTATGACACACCTGTGTAGGTTGTTTGTTTGTATACCACACCTGTGTAGGTTGTTTGTTTGTATACCACACCTGTGTAGGTTGTTTGTTTGTATGACACACCTGTGTAGGTTGTTTGTTTGTATACCACACCTGTGTAGGTTGTTTGTTTGTATACCACACCTGTGTAGATTGTTTGTTTGTATGACACACCTGTGTAGATTGTTTATTTGTATACCACACCTGTGTAGGTTGTTTGTTTGTATACCACATCTGTGTAGGTTGTTTGTTTGTATACCACACCTGTGTAGATTGTTTGTTTGTATGACACACCTGTGTAGATTGTTTATTTGTATACCACACCTGTGTAGATTGTTTGTTTTATGACACACCTGTGTCGATTGTTTGTTTGTATACCACACCTGTGTAGATTGTTTGTTTGTATACCACACCTGTGTAGATTGTTTGTTTGTATACCCAGCTGTGTAGATTGTTTATTTGTATACCACACCTGTGTAGATTGTTTATTTGTATACCACACCTGTGTAGATTGTTTATTTGTATACCACACCTGTGTAGATTGTTTGTTTGTATACCACACCTGTGTAGATTGTTTGTTTGTATACCACACCTGTGTAGATTGTTTATTTGTATACCACACCTGTGTAGGTTGTTTGTTTGTATACCACACCTGTGTAGGTTGTTTGTTTGTATACCACACCTGTGTAGATTGTTTGTTTGTATACCACACCTGTGTAGGTTGTTTGTTTGTATACCACACCTGTGAAGATTGTTTGTTTGTATACCACACCTGTGTAGATTGTTTATTTGTATACCACACCTGTGTAGGTTGTTTATTTGTATACCACACCTGTAGGTTGTTTGTTTGTATACCACACCTGTGTAGATTGTTTGTTTGTATGACACACCTGTGTAGATTGTTTGTTTGTATGACACACCTGTGTAGATTGTTTGTTTGTATGACACACCTGTGTAGGTTGTTTGTTTGTATACCACACCTGTGTAGGTTGTTTGTTTGTATGACACACCTGTGTAGGTTGTTTGTTTGTATACCACACCTGTGTAGGTTGTTTGTTTGTATACCACACCTGTGTAGGTTGTTTGTTTGTATGACACACCTGTGTAGGTTGTTTGTTTGTATACCACACCTGTGTAGGTTGTTTGTTTGTATGACACACCTGTGTAGGTTGTTTGTTTGTATGACACACCTGTGTAGGTTGTTTATTTGTATATCACACCTGTGTAGATTGTTTATTTGTATACCACACCTGTGTAGGTTGTTTGTTTGTATACCACACCTGTGTAGGTTGTTTGTTTGTATGACACACCTGTGTAGATTGTTTATTTGTATACCACACCTGTGTAGGTTGTTTGTTTGTATGACACACCTGTGTAGGTTGTTTATTTGTATACCACACCTGTGTAGGTTGTTTGTTTGTATGATGTCCTGTTTCCTCTCTGTATAACTAACATCAAGAGATTTAGCAGCATCCATCAGCACATCTAAGATAGAAATGATTATATATGTAACCAATAGTATAGGTACTGTGACAGTAAGTTAGTAGCACGTATAAAAATGAAAATATTCGCCTAATCTTAGTCTCTGTTTTTAAAGTAATTGAATATACTTAATTAAGAAACATTGTAAGGTACATGTACTTACTAATCTAATTCTATAATTTGAAAAAAAAAAATAAATAAATAAACTTCATCCACTTGCATCCATGTAAACAATTATTTGTCCTAGTTAGTTACCATAATCCACTGCGAGGGCATCATTGGGGTTGTCAGGGAGGGTGAATCCATACTCCACCAGCAGGTGGCTGTTGTCATGACTACCATAAGAAATAAACACCTGACTACACTTCCTGTAGCTATTGTGAGTTATGATCTCGTAACATCCTGTCTTCTCATTGAAGCCAGCATCTACCTAATAATTACAAAGGGGTTTATATGACCAACAGAATGAATCGATTTCATTCATTACAAATGAAAAATTTTAAAAATTGGGCAGCTAAATAATTACTTAATACATTTTGAATTTCATATTTTTTTTTCAATGAAGTGTAACAGGAAGTAAGAAAATCCAAAGGATCAGACAAAAGATTGAGATCCAGGTCCCCTGACCTCTACACAGGTGCTTTATCTAGACAGGTGCTTTATCTACACAGGTGCTTTATCTACACAGGTGATTTATCTAGACAGGTGCTTTATCTACACAGGTGATTTATCTAGACAGGTGCTTTATCTACACAGGTGCTATACCATTCGATCTTTTTAATTTGCCACTAACAAATGAACCCATGCAATGGCCACATTAGAAAAGAAATGTAAAATACTTTTTACATGGTATAGAATCAATAAAATATCAGTAAATAATTATATTGGTTAACCCCTCAGTGCTGTATTTGGGTTGGCAGTTTATCATTACACAACCAAGCCACAAAAGAGTTAAAATATTGTTAACAATATAAGTTCTATACCAAATCATCATGGTGAAACTATAGGATGTTGAAATTTAACTGCAATTAGGTTGTACTTCACATGCCAATCTGGTGGTATTCAGTTGAGTTACCTGTGCTTCTACGGAGTGGTTCAGTAGATCAAGGTACGGTGCCAAAGCCAGGTTATTTCCATCCTCCCTCACAAACTCCGACCTTGCTAACCTGTAAAAGACTGATCGAGAATTCACACAGAACCACGCCCACAAAAAGTCCTCATACAGAATTGTCTCCCCTGAGTGGAAGTCTTTCACCTCAAAGTATGCTTGTTTTATGTCAGAGATTCTGGACTCTGCTGCTTTTCTTAATTTTTGTGGAAACAGAGTTAACTCCCTAGCTGAGAAGTACCCTATGGTTGTGTGAGTCATTGGAAGGGTAGCTATGTATGGATGCCAGTAAGAGTTATCTCCCTTGTTCCTTTCACTCAGGAGAAAAAGGGAAAGAAGTTGTTGGCTGGAAAGCTTCAACTTCTGTCTGAAAATTAAAATTGTCATCAATGTAACTGAATTAGCATATAAAGTACAGTGATATAGAAGAGTGACATATAATCTGCATATCCTCACCAAAAGGTCATTAAGGTCATATGCAATATACATGTACACATACCTTACAATGTACACATACCTTACAATGTACACATACCTTACAATGTACACGTACCTTACAATGTACACATACCTTACAATGTACACATACCTTACAATGTACACATACCTTACAATGTACACATACCTTACAATGTACACATACCTTACAGTGTACACATACCTTACAATGTACACATACCTTACAATGTACACATACCTTACAATGTACACATACCTTACAGTGTACACATACCTTACAATGTACACATACCTTACAGTGTACACATACCTTACAATGTACACATACCTTATAGTGTACACATACCTTACAATGTACATGTACCTTACAATGTACACATACCTTACAATGTACACGTACCTTACAATGTACACATACCTTACAATGTACACATACCTTACAGTGTACACATACCTTACAATGTACACATACCTTACAGTGTACACATACCTTACAATGTACACATACCTTACAGTGTACACATACCTTACAATGTACACGTACCTTACAATGTACACATACCTTACAATGTACACGTACCTTACAATGTACACATACCTTACAATGTACACATACCTTACAGTGTACACATACCTTACAATGTACACGTACCTTACAATGTACACATACCTTACAATGTACACGTACCTTACAATGTACACATACCTTACAGTGTACACATACCTTACAATGTACACGTACCTTACAATGTACACATACCTTACAATGTACACATACCTTACAATGTACACATGCCTTACAATGTACACATACATACATGTACACATACCTTACAATGTACACATACCTTACAATGTACACATACCTTACAATGTACACATACATACATGTACACATACCTTACAATGTACACATACCTTACAATGTACACATACCTTACAATGTACACATACCTTACAATGTACTTTTCCCATATAAATATATGCATAAATATCACTCTTCATGAACTAAAAAGAACGTGTACATGAAATACCATGTGTAATTGTCACTAAATATCTGAGCAATGACTTCACATGCTTCCTTTCAAGTGTCATAATACCTTTTGACTAGTTCACCAATACTTGAAGACAGGACGGTCTCTACAGTGATGAGTAGATGTTGTGGTATGGACACAATGGTGTCCCCAGGATGAAGGGTTTCTCTTGTCATCATACCCCTCCCAGTATCTGTGATAACAATAACAAATGATGTTTTTTAATGAAAGGTTATAATGTAACGTGTAGCATTCACCCATCCAGGTGCAGCTTAACTAATAAATAAATTGCCTGAAACAGAGAGAGACTCTACTATGAAGGGCCATTTTGGTATTTACTACCATCAGATGATATCACTAATTCCAATAGGTGATATCACCTATTCAATTGCTGATATCATCCATTCAAATTGGTGATATCACCTATTCAGCTTTTGAATTGGAGATATCACCTGTTTAAATAGGTCAGAACTCCGTGTGTGATTTACTGGGAAGTTAAAGTTATCGAAAAATCTTGTGAGTCACGTAACAAGACTTACAGACCTTTGAGTACAAGAAGTCCATAAAAACAAAAAAATCTTTTTTGAAAAGTTTGTTCAAGAGTAATAAAATCAATGTCATCAATTTTGAATTGTTGCAAAGGAAGTAAAACTGCTCTTTGAAAGCCTTTTCAAATTTCATCCTTTACTTTGTATTGAAGCTAGATAGTCTTCAGGAAGGGAGCATTCATTATTTAATGTTGTAAGAAATGCAAATAGGTGATATCACCTATCCGAATTGGTGATATCGCCAATTCAAAACGGATAGGTGATATCACTAAATGACAATAACAACCAAAACGGCGCCTAGGATATGGTGGGTAATCGTGTTCAAAAATCCAGACTTGTAAGTTTGTAAATCCAAACTTGTAAGTTTGTAAATCCAAACTTGTAATCATATCAGTTTCATAGTATACATATGTAAGTAGGTAATTCCGACATCCTAGCATGTAGTTCCGAACATAGAACTGTGTTGACTTTGAGTTTATACTATGAATGTGAGTATTTTTGATGTTGTAAACTTTGCTTTCCGGAATTTATATTTCCGCGCTCTGAACAGAGACAATTGACAAGTCTACAAATGTAAAGTCTACACGTTTGTCGAATTTTGATAATGAGAACCTATGGAGGGTCATCAGTGCCACAATTATTTTTTAATGGTCTTATTTACTATTTTATTCTAACTTTTTGTTTTCCAAATTAAATTCTTCATTTTTTATTTCTTATTTTAGTTCTTACTTCTTGAAGGCGCGGATCTAGAAGGGGGTCCGCCCCCCCCCCCCCCCCCTGAAATTTGCAGACTTATTAAATGTTTATACTAAATGAACTAAAAGTGACCTTGGACCCCCCTCGAAAACGCTGATCTGTGTTAAGTTGACGACTAAACACCCCCCCCCCCCAACACACACGCGCGCACGCGTGTGCGCGCACGTGCGAAATAGGTTTTTCATGCTTGGGAAGGAGTTTACCTTTTTTTTTTTTTTTTTTTGCTTGTCAAGAAAAATTTCTGGGTTGGATTTTTTTGGACTGGGATGGACCCCCCCCCCCCTTCTGGATCCGTGCTGTGCTTGTTTATATTTTCCAGTTTTATTTATTTTATATATTTTATTATGGCAATTTTGATTCCTTTCGTATTTTGATTCTATCTTAAAATTTCAATTATGTTTCACTTCACCTAACTTAATACTTAATATTTTTGGTAATAACTATAAGCAAAATCGAAAGTTTGTTTAAGAAAGTAAAACCTGCAGAGTTAAACTAAGAAATCCGAATAAAATTTAAACAAAAGGGGGCGCTAGGGCCTTTTATGTACAGGTAGCTACAGTCTAGCTATGAAACGTAGAAACATTTCCATGGAACATATTTTTTTTCATTTTAAAGACCATATGATACCATTCTTGCGTGTTTTCTCACGTTTTCAGGCCCGTAGGAAGCATTTTCATTGGGTGGGGGTGGGGCAGTGGGCACAAAACAAAATTTCTTGATAAGCCCCCCACCCCCCAATGAAACATTCCTGTTGAGGGGGCACTATGATGAATTAGCCTTATTTCTTTTCTTTTGTATTTACCGACAAAATTATTGAGGGGGCACAATCAGAAATTGCTTTTTTTTATTGGAATAGTATATACTGGCACCCTCACCCCAATTGCTACCTACGGACCTGGTTCGGGGCTTTAAAACTTAGATGAGCTCACTCTTGATCCCAGTCTCTCTTTTCCACATACTATTAATTCCTTTGGTAAATGTGAGACTGTGATCAAAAATGAGCCCGTCTAAGTTTTATGGCCCTGATGCAAGATGTTTCAAATATGATAAATATGACCACCATTTTTGATTGCACGCTTAGGGTACACAAATATCAGGTATCTTTAAGTTGATATTGTCATCACATTATTTTTTTAAAGTAGGACAGAGAAAAAAAATTTTCACTAACAAATCTCAGGTCCAAAGTAGGAGGGATCGAAAGGTTGGGCTCCCAATTTTTTTGCTTGGAGAATAATCTTTTGCAGCTGTTTTAATATGAAAATTAATTTATAGGCTGTATGCCCAACCGCCCCCACCCCCATATTTTGCAGTATCATTAAACTCTGGCAAATTCTTGCGTTGAAAAAAAAGTTACTGAAAAGTTAAAGATATCCTAAACATCGCCTCCCACGAAGGAGGAGTTTGGGCAGTTTATTTATTTTTTTCATCGTCAATTTTTTTGGAGCCCCCCTCACATAAACATTGATACGGATCTTTATCTACTGAGTGGTTGTTGTTTTTTTTTTAATATGATATCATTGCAGTTACATTGGTACTTAATAAACTGGGGCACTGATCACAGTAACCTAGTGGTTGGGCGCTAGCTTCGTAGGCCATTGGAGGGTAAGAGTTCGCTTGTCCTAAGTTCCTAGTGCCCGCCGGCAAAATCTAAGACATTTAACATTTTAACATACGTGTTGGTCAGCCCCCCCCCCCCCCCCCCCCCCCCCCCCCCCGGTTCCTACGGCCATGTTGGTAATGACTATTCCTTCGACATTGAAAGTGTTGAAAGTGAAACTGAATAATTTTTCGGTTGAGACCTTAAAAACCGAAGCCCCTCTAGATCCACGCAAGCCGTGAATAAGCGGGTAATGGTTCATGTCACATCTTCAAATAAAATAAAATTAAGAAGTTAAATAAAACTGGAACATATAAACAAAGAGTTAGTATTAAAATTAAATAACAAATTCAAATGAAAATATTAATATAAAATTGGAAGTTAGAATAAAAAAAGAAATAAAATCTAAATAATTTATTTCAGTTGGAAAACGAAGAAGTTAGAAAAAAAGGGGGAAAATGTGGCACTGATGCCCCTCCATAGTTTCTCATTATCAAAATTCGACAATCATGTAGACTTTACATTTGTAGACTTGTTAATTGTCTTTGTGTTTTATTCAGAGCGCTGAAATATAAATTCCGGAAAACAAAGTTTACAACATCAAAAATACACACATTCATAGTATAAACTCGAAGTCAACACAGTTCTATGTTCGGAACTACATGCTAGGATGTCGGAATTACCTACTTACATATGTATACTATGAAACTGATACGATTACAAGTTTGGATTTACAAACTTACAAGTTTGGATTTACAAACAGCTGACAAACTTACAAGTCTGGATTTTTGAACACGATTACCCTCCATACTAGGAAAGCTAGCTCACTAGCGAGACAGTATAATAAGACTCCTATAAACTGTCCACTACCAGAAAAAAATGTGTAAATAGATACACACTTCAATACCTAAAAAATTCGCTGGATATAATATGCTCCTCCATTTAAAACCATGAGTTTTGGATTCTTTTTTCATCCATTTTGACAAACCGACAATTTCTTCAGAGAAGTCAATAACAGGTTTATTTGTTCGTTTCTTTCTGCGTGTTCTCTTTGTCCTTCCAAGACGCCGCATCGATTTAACTATTTTATCTGAGAGTGACAGCTCATCCACGTGCTTTTGGTTGTGAATGCTGTGAAAGTGAAACAAAAACTCCAATGTTTTCCTGGAAGAAACCAACATTGCAGAACTGTCCAAATTCCGAAAAAAATACGATATCGAATTGTAGGAGAACATTGGCGTGGTTATATTTAATTTTCATTTAAAAAGGTTTAAAATCATAATCTTAGGTCAAGTGCTTCTTTATTTAGAATAATTAATTAAATCTGAAAAACAGAGAACAATATTTATTATTTCGGAAATTAATATTCTGATCGTTTAATTACAAAACAAACATGGCGGCGAGAGGAATCTTAACTTCAAGGGTTAGTTTTGTTTCTCTGAAAACACCAGTATACATGCCTTTTTTCAACCTTTTTATTGTATTTTATATATCCTTTTCTTCAATTTCATTTTTTTACTGTGGTCATTTTGGTTGCATTAAAGAATGTGTTGAGGACCACACTCTTTTTCAAAGACCTACCTTGTCAGTAGTAAGAATATCTTACTTCTCAGATAATTCTGGGACAATTCCTACAAAATCATACGAAACCCGATATACATATACAAAGCCAAAGGCATGTTAAATGAGTTGTTGTAGGGAGATATCAAGGATTCATTTTTTTTTAGTAAATCTTTTCAAGTGATTCTTTGCAATGCTCTAGCCATGTTCCCATGGGTGCACGATGTTTCGGGACCACGACGTTTCGGGACCTGACTAATACGACGTTTCGGGACCAGCAACAAGACGGTTCGGGACTTGGGTAAAGACGATTCGGGACTTGAGTTAATTTTTTTCGGGATCTAAACAAATTATTTTATTATGGTGATATAGCATATTATTCTAATTACACATAGTACGTAATATTTCAAGCTAAATCCGAATTTTAATTTTTATAATAAAAATTGTCATAAAGATATACTTTGATGGGGTTTTTTTCATAACAGACGAAGAAGAATAAATCTTTAGAATATTCATTTTTATTTTATTTTGTGTTATTTTTTCTTGTGTGTGTGGTGATGGGGGGTCCAAAATTTAATCTTCTCAGGTTGATGATAGATATTTTAAAATATTCAAGTGATCTCCAGCTATCGTCGAATATATCTTTAAAAAACATGTCAGTAAATTGTTAAAACAACAACTGGGATCAGGTACACATATGCCAACTGATACTCTGTACATAGGGAGGTGTTACGTACATGTATAAAGACGCCGCCGGTAATGGGAACTAAAAAGATTGTGTGGTTTCTTTTGAAATTATTTTAAGAAAATAAAAATTTAAAATATGGAAAAAATATCGTTTGTTTATTGGTAAATGAAATAATTCAGAATCAAACAATAGTTCAACAAAATATAAAGGTTTTCAAAATGTTTTGATCTTGATTTTGTCTACCTTTTCCCAAACGGTTTCAAATATTTATTTTTTTTTCGAAAAGTTTTGGCATAGTATCTGTAAGATTCTTCCCTGGAAATGTTACGAAAACATTTTTAAAGTTTCCAAAACATTGTAAATAAACATATTTTACAAATGTTGCGAGAACATTGGCCCTAAATTTAAAAAAAATACCATACTTTAAAAAAAGCATTAAATGGTATAAACAACATGATTTCATTTGATATCGTTTCAAATAATGTCTTTAAAAACATTTTAAATTTCATCATAGCTTTATCTATTTAATGTGGCAAGGTGGAAATTTGAAATTTAAGTTGACCTGTTAACGTAGTCAATGTGGAATGTCTTTTAAACACTTTTACAACGTACATGTAGCATGAAAAATTTAATATTTGCAAATTAAATAATATTTAGTATTTATTTACAGTATTATTTAAAGTTTGTCATGTACCTAACTATGTAACACCAGATATAATATTACGCACTGGTCGGGTATATAAGATCGATAATTGAGTTTCATTGAGATTTGTAGTCTGTGTATACACAGTAAACATAAATTCAGACATCCATATCATTGTAGACAAATTAACAATTTTGATAGTACAATAATATATAGCGGGAATATTTGGGACTTTCGTGGGAATATTTTTTTCTAATTAAAATAAATGAATAAAATCGATTACTTTCATCATTTTTCTTAAGCCATCGAGTATACATGTACTTTGCATAGACGAAGAAATTGTTTAACTTTGAAACGTTAAGATGAAAAATAAGTTAAACGTGTTTATATTTTGAAAATTAGTAAGTTTGGTTTATTTCCAAATGTTGCATACATGGTATATATATACACATCATACTTTCAGTAAAATCTACTTTACAAGCTGTTCTTTGACGTTATATATATTTGAAATGTCAAATACATGCTGATTTTCTTACCCATTTCGTTTTTTTTTTCCTTCTCTGCTTAACGTATACATGGATGTGTAGGAAGTTTATAGCTTAAGTTATAACATTTCTCTTACCCGTAACATTTTGTATAAATTTGCTTTTATGATTTTGTTGCATATATAACCTGAAATAATAATTATAAATTTTATACATTGATGTTTAAAAAGTTGAACATGGAATATTTCAGATTCTGATTCAAAACAACTACCTGTAAAACGTAAAGTTTTTACTGCACATGTGCTAGCTTGAGCCTTTGTAAATTTTGTAAACAAATATGAAATCAAATACCTAAAATTTTTATTAAAAGGAGAGAAAGAAAGTCTTAGAAAGAAAAACACGTCCGTGGTCTTCACACAGTTACGATTGTCTCCCGGCTTTAATTCTACAAACTCTCGTAACAAACACTATAAATAAATCAAATATATATTTAAAAAAAAAATTGAATTAAATTTTGGTCAAATGTTAACCAAATACTTTATAAAGGTAATATATCAAATACTGTAATAAGAAATTAAAGAGACAACATCGCGGGCGTTTGATTTTCTCGGCAGGCGTGCTCCATGCTGCAGGCAAACTTTAAAACTAATAAAAACTCCAATCAGTGCTTCTTAAATTATAAATTGTGTATCAAACTGAGAAATTATACATGTATAAACATAAAAACACAAGTAAACAAGTTTTATTTCATTTCCTTTACAAAATATTTAGAAGTCCCGAAACGTGTTAGCCCAAGTCCCGAAACGTGTTAACCCAAGTCCCGAAACGTGTTGTCAGGTCCCGAAACGTCGGGGTCCCGAAACATCGCGGTCCCGAAACATCCATAATTCGTTCCCATGGGCGCAACGGGATTTAGGATTTTTAGATTTTTTTAATATGAACTTGTAGAATGAATGTTCTACCATTAAAATGACGTTGTCCTGTTTTAGCTGTATATAATCATGATATTAGAATTTGTTCTGTGTGTTGGCAATTTTGCAAAATAGACAGGGACAGATAAATCAAATCTATGTGTATACTATGAATAATTCAGAGAAGAGAGAATTTTTTTTATTGTAAATCCTTTTGAACAGAGTGTAAATCCTGTGTTAATACACATAGTCTACATTAGTAGCTTGCCACCTGAGCAGTACTTTGTCCTGCCTAGCTATACTTGCTCATAATCTGGATCCACAGGACAATATGATCTGAACAATGGAATAAAGGGGAAAGTCTTTCTCCATACTCATGCATGTTTTAATGTTAGGTGTATTTTTATTAACTTGTGTTACTGTATTTATAGGTGTCTACTGACTACCTACATAATAACTCCACCATTACTGTATTTACAGGTGTCCCTTGATTACCTACACAGTAACTCCACCATTACTGTATTTACAGGTGTCTACTGATTACCTAGTAACTCCACCATTGCTGTATTTATAGATGTCTCCTGATTACCTACATAGTAACTCCACCATTACTGTATTTACAGGTGTCTCCTGATTACCTAGTAACTCCACCATTACTGTATTTATAGGTGTCTACTGATTACCTACCTAGTAACTCCACCATTACTGTATTTACAGGTGTCTCCTGATTACCTACATAGTAACTCCACCATTACTGTATTTACAGCTGTCCCCTGATTACCTACATAGTAACTCCACCATAACTGTATTTATAGGTGTCTACTGATTACCTACATAGTAACTCCACTATTACTGTATTTATAGGTGTCTCCTGATTACCTACATAGTAACTCCACCATTACTGTATTTACAGGTGTCTCCTGATTACCTACATAGTAACCCCACCATTACTGTATTTGCAGGTGTCTCCTGATTACCTGCATAGTAACTCCACCATTACTGTATTTACAGGTGTCCCCTGATTACCTACATAGTAATTCCACCATTACTGTATTTATAGGTGTCTCCTGATTACCTACATAGTAATTCCACCAGCCACACCTGGGCATTTTCAGCCATTGCAGAAATCATAGGTAAGGCCTAGCTAGACCTCAAAGCTAAACGACATGGAACCCACAGGTGGGTTACTAGAACTCAAAAACTCAGAAATCATGAGCTCAGACTTCAAAGGGTAATAACTCAGAACTCAAGGGAAATTAACTCACCAGTAGTTGGCTCAACATATAAGAACAATTGGATAACATTGACAATAGTTTATTGTCATGAACTGTATCTACACTGTAGAGAGGATATTATAAACATGAAACATTTACAATGATGCATGCATGAGAAACAAGATGTAGCACTGCTAAATAAGTATTGCCCTCAGTTTTAACAAATGTACTGCAGGGGTGTGCAATTAGCATCGCCCGACGCCCGGGGCTACCAATTTCTGGGGTCGGGCTAGTTGTTCTCTGCATGCAGGTAGCCCCTTGGGCTAGTAAAAATTAAAAAATACCAATGTTATAAATGAAAATCACTACCGGTATTTTCACTTATTTTTTGCTAATTATTCCCAACCAATGAAAAATTTCCTGGCAGAATGCTCCTATTGTTCGTAAATCTCCATAAACTTATCCATTTTGCAGCACTTCCTGACTTACTTACTTCCAAAAACGATCGTTTTTTTCCTAATCTGAATTTCTTCCATTCGTGTGTTTATGGTAAATTAAGGCAGATATCTATTATTTACGATCACTCAATCAACTGAAAGATAAGTATTATGTGATTTACGTGTACATAAAATATATTTCCAGTGTATTTATTTATTTAAGATAAATAAAAAAACGATTTCACTTTGTTTTATATGAGCTAGTGCAATATGCACAGAGAAAGGGAAAAAATAATTCATTTAAATTCATTTTATTCTCTATCATAATTATTAATTTATACATGATTCAATTTTACTAGTGAGAATAAAACTTTAATTTTAAAAAGAATTACCTTAAACCCCTGACTTATTCAACAATAATTTATTTTTTCGTAGTTGTTACTTTTCCCACCTACATTTGGGCTAGTAACTTTTTACTTGGGGCTAGTAACTTTACTGCTGCCACTAGCCCGTGGGCTAGTACTTGATTTTTTTAATTGCACACCCCTGTACTGAATGGTTTGCAGACAATGCGTATGACCCAGATGTGAATGCTTCAGAGTTATGGATCGACAAACGAGACATCAATGGAAAGGTTTGTCTGACCTTCACAGACAACGGAAATGGAATGGTCCCCGAAAAACTTCACAAAATGCTCAGGTAAGTGGTATTCCCACATGTTACACAATATTTAGGTGTAGACCCCTCCCCATCCCCCAAACAGCCAATATATCTACATGAAGTTTTAACTGACGTACCAGTCAATAGTGTTCAGGACCTGAAGAGAAGACTGACATCACATGTGTCATACGTGCAGAAGTTTGAATCTTACTGACTGCAGTCTTCAGATTTGATTTCTCATCAACCTGATCAGTTACATTTGATACTTTCCTACATTCACTTTTCCTATTTATGTATGTATAGACTCTGTATATGTAGAGGTACTGGTAGCTTAATTTAGATTTTCACTTAACAATATGATTATATTTTTCTGTAGTTTTGGCTACTGTGAAAAGGTAGCTGTTGGAAACCACCAACCCATTGGTCACTACGGCAATGGCTTTAAGTCTGGCAGCATGCGTTTGGGGAAGGATGCTATTGTTTTCAGTCGGCGAGCGGACGTGATGAGTGTTGGACTTCTCTCTCAGACATATCTGAAGGCCATCAAAGCAGAGACAGTACTTGTACCGATCATCTCGTGGAATCTCCCAAACAGTATCCTTCTGTTTAGTTTTTATTAATATTTTTAACCACATTTGGGAATGTACCAGAATTTTTCTGCTCTATAATTTTTGTTCTGTTCTGTTACTTTTTTTTAGGTGATTGTTTTAATTATTATAGTAAAACATGCTTATAAAATAACAAAGTGCCAGGGACAGATGATTTTGCTTCTTTTAAGTTTAATTCATTATATCCATTAAGTGTACAATATATTTTAAAGTTAAAGGGAAATCACTTTGCTCTAAGTGTCAATTCATTATAAGCGTGTTTGCTATAAACATGTTTTACTGTGAAAGTAAATTGGAAAATCTTTAAACAGCTTCTTACAGATAATATACAGTAAAGCCTCATTAATCTGGATGGCAATATTCTGGATGTTTCACCTTCCAGACAAAGTTTGTGAGGAACAGAATTTCTATTTAAACATACCCATAAAAAAAATCTTGGACAATCCTGACAATTTGCAGGAGAACAAGGGTGTCTTTGTTAAGGAGGCCCTACTGTATATTCATCTCCCCTCAGCGATAACCATCTCAAATATAATCAAACTCTTAAGTCCAGAAAATCTTTATAGTTATTAAATTGGTACATGTTGGTTAGAGGTGTAACAAGTCAATACAGCAATACAACGATCATATTGATTGCAAGGTCTCACAATATGCATATCGTATCACCATATATGCATCATGATACAGTACAGATTTATTTTCATTGTCTTATTTGAAAACTCTACATGCAAACTAACAAATTTTAATGTTAGAAAATGATTGAAAACAAGGTGGCAATGAAAAAATACAATGGTAAGGCTATAAGTCCACCTGTAAATAACTTTGGTTATGGGCATCAAGATGTTCTCTTTATATTTTCTATAACTATGGAGGTTGGCAAACAAGAATATGTGAAGATATCAGTAAATTTAATTATTGACAGCTGTATCATGATACATGTTGTATTGCATGACCGTATCGTGATATGTATTGTATCATTAGGTAGCTTGCAATACTCAGGCCTAATGTAGGTATAACAGATATGACAAATACAGTACATAACATTGAAATTTTTTAAACTTAATATATTGAAACAATATCATGGAATATATTGAAACAATATTTAAGAAATTTCTTCATTAAACCTGACCACTTATATTGGTCTGTCATTAAGAAAATATGTGCACTTCCTTAATTCCTCCCAGAAACCAGAAGAACCTCCCCAGAGACTAAAAATAACTTGTCAGCAATATGTACTCACTCCATTTTCAAAGATGAGAAAGAACTACTGAGTGAGCTCGACTCGCTGGAAAAATTGAGAACTGGGACAAGAATCATTGTATACAACCTCACTAAGTAAGTCTTATGTCATAGAATCATTGTATACAACCTCACTAAGTAAGTCTTATGTCACAGAATCATTATTTACAACCTCACAAAGTAAGTCTTATGTCTCAAGGTGTCCTATTGGGAACTTATTCTGATGTTAAAAACATAAACATGTCTACAGCATACATCACTATTTATACAGCCAGATGTGTTCTAAAAGTATAATCAAGTCACTGCTCAAATGTTCAAACTATAGATATACATGTATTATGAAGTTTGATAAAGTTTTATTTCTAACTTATACATGTATGTTGTTAATTACTTTGAAGGAACAACAACTCTGGAAATTTGGAGCTGGACTTTCTCAGTGACCCACTGGACATCAGAAACCCAGAGTCCCATCTCATTGACTACTCCACAATCAACAGGACAATCCACGACAAAAGTCCCGAGTATAAAGTCTCTCTTAGGGTAAGTCACTGTACATCTCATCGACTACTCCACAATTAACCGGACAATCCACAACAAAAGTCCAGAGTATAAAGTCTCTCTCAGGGTAAGTCACCATGTATCTCATTGACTACTCCACAATCAACAGGACAATCCATGACAAAAGTCCCGAGTATAAAGTCTCTCTTAGGGTAGGTCACTGTATATCTCATTGACTACTCCACAATCAACTGGACAATCCACGACAAAAGTCCCGAGTATAAAGTCTCTCTAAAGGTAAGTCAGCACACATCTCGACTACTCCACAATCAATAGGACAATCTATGAAAAAAGTCCTGAATACAAAGTCTCTCTTAGAGAAGTCACCATGTATTTCATTGACCACTCTATGTTCAATGGACAATCCACGACAAAAGTCCCGAGTACAAAGATTCTCTTAGGGTAGGTCACTGTGTACATCATGAAACACAGCAAGCTATCAGAGAAGCCTTTTAGAGATAAAAGAAGCACTGCAAGCTTCAGACTTTGCCAATACTTTGTATCGCGATTACCTTAAAGTTATCTAATGTAATGCCGCTCTTTTGCGGCAAAGTCGAGGAAACTCTAAATCTCGCGAGATTTCCGGGGCATGAATTACTTATGCTAGTGACAATTGAATGATTCGAACAATTAGTATGCCGAAAATACAATGTATTGCAAAGGGTTGAACTTTAAATAGTAGGTTGTTTTATTTGGAATGTTTAGATCTTTTTTTATCGGCTTCCAAAAGGAACGATAATCAGAAAGAAATGGTAAAATTTAATTAGAAGAGTCGGCTTACTGAAAAAGTATCAATAAAAATATAACACTTGAGGACTGGGTTCTCTTAAAATTTATAGGCGTGGTTCAGCGAATGTTCCGCAAGATATTTCACCAGGATTTCTTTCATATTTGCCCTTTAAAAATCCACAATGCTCTGTCTCGTGATATATGCAACAGCACATTGCCCCCAGCAAACAGACGTTTCCTACCTTCACCGCGAAAGAGTTCTATAAAGATAAGTAATCATGATATCAAGTATTAAATTTCCCCTTTTTTTCATCAGATTTATCACTATATACAAGTAGAAGTTTCTATAGAAGGAATAAAATGTCTTATTTCCAAGGTTTATTTTCCAGGCGTACTGCAGTATTTTGTACTTGAAGCCAAGGATGAAAATTGTTCTGCGGGGAAAGAAGGTGAAAACAAAAATGATCAGTAAAAGCTTGTCTGAGACGGAGACTGATGTCTACAAGCCGACCTGGATCGTATCCTTCTGTTAATACAAACTAGTATACACCATTGTAAGAGCAACGTTACACTATTTACGTCAATGACATGTATTGTATCAAAATTCAAAGAAATAGTTTTACCCCACCTCTGTTGATTTTTCGATGAAATCCTGGCTTACGATTGGTTGAAGTCTGTCACATGAAGGGGGTGTATTACTTATACCTAGTCGCTTGAAAATCAATACATGGTCGATACGGAGTTATCGTTCTTTTGTAACGTTCGAACAACTCGAGTTCACGCGATTTGCCGAGTGTCTGTTGACAATGTTACAGTTAACTAATGTAAGTAACGAAGATGGAACCTTTTTCTCCCTTTTCTTCAAAACTGTCAGTACGTTATTAGTCTATAGCACGAAACACTCGCAAAACAACATTACGTCACACAACGTGACGTCATAATAGGCATTGTATGAGTGATGAAACATATATATAGTGAGAAAAACAATTTTACAAACCACAGACAATGCATAAATATTTTGTCGGTGGGGTAAATTCGTTACATAGTTTTGTAGTGACAGGGTACGGGATGATACCTGGTTAGTAAATTCCATACCTGGCTCGGCTTTGCCTCGCCAGGTATAAAATTTACTAACCAGGTATCATTCCGTACCCTGTCACTAAAAAACTATGTAACTAATAATACATGTATTTAGAAAAATGAAAATTTTATTCAATTTATATTTTAGTTAACATACAGGTATCATAACATCAAATGTAATTTCAATTCTTTCTCTCCTAAAGCTTTATAAGCACTAGAATGGTTTATTAGCATTCCTAACAATTTGTCAGAATAAACCAATAGTGATTAAATTTGGATTCACGTCCAGTAAAAACCCAGAGGATTATGGAGTAATGTTGTACCACAAAAACCGACTGATTCGGGCTTATGACAAAGTAGGATGTCAAAAACAGGTACTGTTCTTCTTTTAATAATACTTTGATGTCAGGTTTGACTGTTGCAGGGTTTGTCACTAACTTTTTTGGGCATTATTCTAGCCCGACTAGTGCTTCTTTACTTTTATCTTCCTTAGGCATTTTAAATAGTCAAAAAATGGTCTTTAAATTTAGGCGTTGAATTATAATTGCCTAACTACCCACCATGAGGCTGTAAACCTAAAAATATATTTGGGGATTTTCTAGTTATGTTGTGGAAAATCAGACATTGGTAATTTAATCACATTGTTTTTAGCTCACCTGAGCCGAAGGCTCAAGTGAGCTTTTCTGATCACATTTTGTCCGTCGTCCGTCCGTCTGTCTGTCCGTCTGTCTGTCCGTCCGTCTGTAAACTTTTCACATTTTTGACTTCTTCTCAAGAACCACTGGGCCAATTTTGACCAAACTTGGTACAAAGCATCCTTGGGTGAAGGGGAATTTAAATTGTTAAAATGAAGGGCCAAGTCCCCTCACAAGGGGAAATAATCAAGAGAAGACAAAAATAGGGTTGGGTCTTTAAAAAATCTTCTTCTCAAGAACCACAGGGCCAGTAAAGCTGAAACTTATGTGGAAGCATCCTGGGATAGTGTAGATTCTAAATTGTAAAAATCATGACCCCCGGGGGTAGGGCGGGGCCACAATAGGGAATCCAAGTTTTACATTGAAATATATAGGAAAAATCTTCTTCTCAAGAACCACTGGGCCAGAAAAGCTGAAACTTATGTGGAAGCATCCTGGGGTAGTGTAGATTCTAAATTGTTCAAATCATGACCCCCGGGGGTAGGGCGGGGCCACAATGTGGAATCAATGTTTTACATAGAAATATATAGGAAAAATCTTTAAAAATCTTCTTCTCAAGAACCACTAGGCCAGAAAAGCTGAAACTTAAGTGGAAGCATCCTGGGATAGTGTAGATTCTAAATTGTTCAAATCATGACCCCCGGGGGTAGGGCGGGGCCACAATAGGGAATCCAAGTTTTACATTGAAATATATAGGAAAAATCTTCTTCTCAAGAACCACTGGACCAGAAAAGCTGAAACTTATGTGGAAGCATCCTAGGGTAGTGTAGATTCTAAATTGTTCAAATCATGACCCCCGGGGGCAGGGCGGGGCCACAATAGGAAATACAAGTTTTACATTGAAATATATAGGAAAAATCTTTAAAAAACTTCTTCTCAAGAACCACTGGGCCAGAAAAGCTGAAACTTATGTGGAAGCATCCTGGGGTAGTGTAGATTCTAAATTGTTCAAATCATGACCCCCGGGGGTAGGGCGGGGCCACAATAGGGAATCCAAGTTTTACATTGAAATATATATAGGAAAAATCTTTTAAAATCTTCTTCTCAAGAACCACTGGACCAGAAAAGCTGAAACTTATGTGGAAGCATCCTGGGGTAGTGTAGATTCTAAATTGTTCAAATCATGACCCCCGGGGGTAGGGCGGGGCCACAATAGGGAATCCAAGTTTTACATTGAAATATATATAGGAAAAATCTTTAAAAATCTTCTTCTCAAGAACCACTGGGCCAGAAAAGCTGAAACTTATGTGGAAGCATCCTCAAGTAGTGTACACTCTAAATTGTTCAAATCATGACCCAGGGGATAGGGCGGGGCCACAATAGGGGGAATCCCAAGTTTTACATTGAAATATATAGGAAAAATCTTTAAAAATCTTCTCAAGAACCACTGGACCAGAAAAACTGAAACTTATGTGGAAGCATCCTGGGGTAGTGTAGATTCTAAATTGTTCAAATCATGGCCTCTGGGGGGAGGGTGGGGCCACAATAGGTATTACAAGGGGGAATCTGGTAATGAACAGCATGGCCAAAGTTACTCAGGTGAGCGATGTGGCCCATGGGCCTCTTGTTTAGGAATTTTTATTTGTCTATTTGGACTTATTAGCCAGAGATTTTATTAATCTGAATGAAAATGTATTAGTCTGAGACTAACGGACTAATGTTAATGTCGAACCTTGATTAATGAGACAATTAAACTTTTAGGCTAATGAGCTTGGTGTAGGAATTGTGGGTGTGGCCGAAGCCTTCTTCTTGACGCCGACCCACAACAAACAGGACTTCAGCCGTGACGACAAGTACAAGTGAGTCACACATTAGTGAAGCAAGATTGAATTAAGAAATGTGTTATTTTATAAGTATCAAGATCAAGCTTGCAGTGTTTCATTTTTAGGTCACCTATTAAAGTGAAAACTTGAGCTTTTCTGATCACATTTTGTCTGGCGTCTGTTGTTTTACTCTGTGTGTAAACTTTTCAACTTCTCATGAACTACTGGACTAATTTCAGCCAAACTTGCCACAAATCATTCTTGCGTGGAGGGGATTGAAATTGGTCAAATGAAGGGCCACGTCTTTTTTCAAGGGGAGGTAATTAAAAAGTACAACATGTTGTGAAAATTTGGCAGAGTCCTTCAAAAATCTTCTCAAGAACCACTAGACCAGTAAAGATGGAACTCACAATGTAAAAGCCTCCCATTATAGTGCAGATTGAAGTTTGTTCAAATCATGGCCCCCAGGAATATGGTGGGCTCACAGTGAGGGATTGAAGTTTTACAGAGGAATATATAGAAAATAAATGTTTTAAAATCCTTTTCTCAAAAATAACGGGGCCATATACTGTAAGTTGTTTAATTCGACGGTGTTAAAATTTCACGATTTCTCAAAAAGTACCAATCACGATGGGTTTAATTTCACACTGCAAGAAATTAATTTAAATTTCATATAAGCATTTAAACCTTTTCAAAAGCTAATGATAGCATTCACAATGGGTTTAATTTTGCGGAAAAATGATGAATCGCGAACATAGTGAAATTAAAACCATCATGATTATTTGCCAATGTACAGTAAGTAATATTGAGATGCAATCATCCTTAGGTAGTACAGTTAAAATTTGTTCACATCATGGCCCCAGGAGGTAGGATTGGACCACAATACAGAATTAAAGTTTTACATGGTAATATATGGGAAAAATGTTGAAAAATCTTTTTCTCAAGAACAGCATGGGCATATTCTGCATAATTTGTATGAAAGCATCCCATGAACTGTAGTTTAGATTCAATTTTGTTTAAACTATGGACCCCAGGGATAGAGCTAGGCCAAAACAAGGGACAGAAGTTTTAGTACATAGGAATGTATGTGGAAAAATGTTTAAGAATCTTCTTCTTAAGAACAGATGGGCCATATTCAATAAATAAATATTTTTATGCAAGCATAAGGTTACAGTACATTGTAATGTGGATTCAAGTTTGTACAAGTCATGGCCCCTGGGGTTAGGGTGAGGCAACAAAAGGGGATCAAAGTTTTACTTATGAGTATATTAGAAAATATGTTTATAAGTCACCTCCTCAAGAACAACAGGGTCATTGTTAGTAATACTTATTGATATTTATATGCAAACATCCTCAGGTAATGAAGATAAAAGTTTGTTTTAATCATGGCCAGGGGAGGGGGACAGTATTTTAAATGGAAATTTATTAGGACTCTATTTTAAATGAAACAGCAGGGTCGCAATTAAGTACATTTTTTTGATAATGGATATTGGGGATAAAGTGAGGCATAAATTGGGGGAACTTTTGCCTAATTAAGGCCAAATAAAATTAATTGATAGTTTCTTGGGCCAAAAATTTCGAAATTCAATGCGGCAGGCAGTTTTTTTGTTTGTTTTTTTTTTTTTGTTGTGAAGAAGGTGTTATTTCCCTTTTTAAAATGTCAATAAAAATGATCAATGCCGCAGTTTCTGACCTGATGCGGCGGAGCCTGAGAAACTATTGATTATTTTTTTTTGGCCTAATACATGTTTACTTAAATTCTTACACAGAACATCAAGACCATGTGAGTGATAATGATACTGAGGCATCCCCAGGATGTGTAGGATCTAGTTAGGTTATGTCATGACCCTTTAGGAGTAGGATGGGACCACAGTTTTGGATTAGAATTTTTCATGTCAAGAAGATTGTTAAAAAAAAGTTATCGTTTGATAAAGAATAGAGGGATATAGGTGAGCATTGTAGCCCATGGGCCTCTTGTCAGCATTCTTTTTTCCATTTCAGTGCCTTTATGACAAATGTTGGAATCAAACTGAATGATTACTGGAATGAGAAGAGAGGGGTGACCAATAACACAGCATCCTCTTCAAAGAACAAGTAAGTATAGGGAGTCTAATGCCATTAACAATAAGTAAGGGGGCCTGATACTATACAGAAGTAAGAAAGGGGAGTACCAATTCCATAAACAAGTAAATAAAGCGACCCGTTGCCATAATTAAGAAATTAAGGTGAGCCTGATGCCATAAGTAATTAAGTTGGGGGGGTGGGGGGGGGGGGGGGGTTAATGCTATGAACAAGTAAGTAAGGGGTAAGGGGAGTCCAATGCCATAAACAAGTAAATAATGGGGGCCAATGCCAAAAAAAAGTAAAAAGAAAAGGGGGGGGGGCTCAATGTCATATATTACTAAGGGGAGCCACATTCTATAAACAAATACGAAAGGGGGCAGGGAAGGGACAACACCATTAACAAGGTAATGGGGAGGGGGCAATTCCATAATCAGGCACCTGCAGCTTGATTGTTGTAACTACATGTATTTATTCAGGATTATCCCTAAGAAATGAAATAGCAGGGGACATTAAAAAAAGTAGAGGGGGGTCTGGGGTTTCTCCCCTAGCAGGGTTGAAGGGGAATACCAGAATAACTGGAGGATTACGTCATATAGGCTGGGAAATTCCCTGGCCCCTGGGTCTAAGGAACAACCCTAAATTTTGGAGAACTTAGCACTGATTGTTGGTACTATTGATGTTTTAACTTGGTCATGATTGACTATGGGCCCAAAGTGATTGATTTTCATAACTATATATAGAGTACTTGCTCCTGATTTGCTGGGGCCCAGTGTGATTGATTTTTGATACTATTTATAGAGTACTAGCTCCTGATTGACTGTTGGCCCAGTGTGATTTACTTTTGTTACTATTTATAGAGTACTAGCTCCTGATTGGCTGTGGGCCCAGTGTGATAACTGCTTACAGTGGAGAAGGTTACCGGGAGGCTTCAGACAGGAGGATCTCCCTGACAAGTGGTACTGTCACATGAACCCCGACGCTGCATTCAAGTAAGTCATCTAGAAATTCCTCTGTGTCATATATAAAATCTCCCTGACAAGTGGTACTGTCACATGAACCCCGACACTGCCTTCAAGTAAGTCATCTAGAAATTCCTTTGTTCCATATAGAAAATCTCCCTGATAAGTGGTACTGTCACATGAACCCCGATGCTGCATTCAAGTAAGTCATCTAGAAATTCTTCTCTATCATATTTAAATCTCCCCGACAAGTGGTACTGTCAGATGAACCCTGATGCTGCATTCAATTAAGTCATCTAGGAATTCCTCTCTATCATATATAAAATTCCCTGACAAGTGGTACTGTGACATGAACCCAATACTGCTTTCAAGTAAGTTATCTATCAAACTCTTTGTATCTCACAAAATCCATTTTTGCTTGTGGTACTGCCATGTGAACTCTGATGCAACATTTAGGTTGTTTATCTTGGAATTCCTCTGTATTTAACAAACAATGAATATAAAATAATCTATGCCTTTGCCTGTTCAGTGGTATACGTTGCAGAATTTTCTAACATGCTTGTATATTTGTAATTTATGAATGCTGTTTATTTTTAGTCGCTGTGAAATTCCTGAAGAACCAGAGGATGAAGATGAGGCTTTGATGGGCCCCAGCTATAAAAAGACATTTAAAAAACAACAGTGAGTAAATCTGATTGGTCAGCTATAAAAAGACATTTAAAAAAACAACAGTGAGTAAATCTGATTGGTCAGCTATAAAAAGACATTTAAAAAACAACAGTGAGTAAATCTGATTGGTCAGCTATAAAAAGACATTTAAAAAACAACAGTGAGTAAATCTGATTGGTCAGCTATAAAAAGACATCTAAAAAACAACATTGAGTAAATCTGATTGGTCAGCTATAAAAAGACATTTAAAAAGCAACGGTAAGTAAATATGATAGGTCAGTTATAAATAGACATTTAAAAAGAACATTGAGTAAATCTGATTGATCAGCTATAAAAAGACATTTAAAAAGCAACAGTAAGTAAATGTGATTGGTCAGGTATAAAAATGACATTTAAAAAGCAACAGTAAGTAAATGTGATTGGTCAGTTATAAAAAGACATTTAAAAAATAACAGTAAGTAAGTCTGATTGGTCAGTTATAAAAAGACATTTAAAAAGAACATTGAGTAAATCTGATTGGTCAGTTATAAAAAGACATTTAAAAAACAACAGTGAGTAAATGTGATTGGTCAGCTATAAAAAGACATTTAAAAAACAACGGTAAGTAAATATGATAGGTCAGTTATAAATAGACATTTAAAAAGAACATTGAGTAAATCTGATTGATCAGCTATAAAAAGACATTTAAAAAGCAACAGTAAGTAAATGTGATTGGTCAGGTATAAAAATGACATTTAAAAAGCAACAGTAAGTAAATGTGATTGGTCAGTTATAAAAAGACATTTAAAAAATAACAGTAAGTAAATCTGATTGGTCAGTTATAAAAAGACATTTAAAAAGAACATTGAGTAAATCTGATTGGTCAGTTATAAAAAGACATTTAAAAAACAACAGTGAGTAAATCTGATTGGTCAGCTATAAAAAGACATTTAAACAGCAACAGTGAGTAAATGTGATTGGTCAGTTACATGTAGCTATAAAAAGACATAGAAGAAACATTTGATGTCTGCAACTTTAAAAAAAAAAATGACGATAATGCATTACCATACATATTTTAGATGAAAAGGTCACTAACTTCATGTATATACTTTTCAAGACTTTGCCTTTCAAAATATGTTGTATGAAAATGATTTAATTTATTTCGTAGGTATTAATCTGTTATTAGGTGGATTCAGAATATGATTCAATTTTTGTTACCTTCAGTCTAGAGATTTGAGAGAACCTATCCTGATAGAGCAGAGTGATCTATTAATCTTGCCTTGTTTTTTTGTTTTACAGGTCTGAACTCAGGCTGAAAATCAAGCTACAGGAGGTAAGGTCAAAAGGTCAAATTGCCTTCAATTTTATTTTTTGGAAAGAAATTCCTGATTAAATGAGAGGTAACTCAATACCTAATTAAGAACTACATGAATGTAGTAGGGGCATTTCATTTTTTTTTTATTACAAATGAAACATACACATGTATGTATGATAATGATTTGAAGCTAGGAAAATACTGGAGGAAAACTATAGCGATTTTGTATCTTTAAGATGTCCATTATTTTTGCTGGTGGCTTATATCTTCCTGACTTTTATTTACCAGAAACAGAAAGAGATTCAACTTTCAGAGAAAGAAAAACAGCTCCAGAGGAAGGAAATGGAAATGAACCAGCGCAAAAAATCAGAAGTGAGTTCGCGGATTTAAAAGTTATTTCAGGATCATGCATTTAGATACTAAGCTGATTTATCTGTAATTTTTTTGGATGTCTTGGTGCTCTTTAAGTACACAAGAGAACCATGCTTTGTGGAAAGAAATTTGCACTTCTGAATAATTTTCTCCAGTATAAAATTTTAAAAAAGATATTAGGTCTGGAGATCTTATGATTAAAAAAAACCCATTAAGATTGAAATGCTTATTAAATTTTCTGATTATATAAAAACCTGTGATAACTTATCCTTCCCTATAAAGCAGGCTTGTCACTATGATATTGTTTCAAAGCTATTAAATACATCTATTAGTGATATAAATGTACTCTGTAGATATTTATTTTGCGTGTAATTATAAACTGAAGGAGATATTTTGTACATTGTAGTCCTTCAGTCCTATTGTCGAGAAGCTGAAGAAGCTTGAAGAGAAGGCAGCGAAACAAGAGAAGATGATAGCGGCTCTCCACAGAGAGCGAGTCCAACAGGAAGCCGCGAGTCGACAAATGCTGGACGCCGCGGAGAATCTGAATCTCGTCAACCTAAGACAAAGTGTGAGTAGTGTTTGTTAGAGTCACGACCTGCTATCTATGTCTCAGTATGACTCACACAGTGTGAGTAGTGTTTGTTAGAGTCATGTCCTGCTCTCTATGTCTCAGTATGACTTACACAGTGAGAGTAGTGTTTGTTAGAGTCACGTCCTGCTCTCTATGTCTCCGTATGACTCACACAGTGAGAGTAGTGTTTGTTTGAGTCATGAACTGCTCTCTATGTCTCAGAATGACTCACACAGTGTGAGTAGTGTTTGTCAGAGCCACGGCCTACTCTCTATGTCTCAGTATGACTCACACAGTGTGAGTAGTGTTTGTTTGAGTCATGAACTGCTCTCCATGTCTCAGAATGACTCACACAGTGTGAGTAGTGTTTGTTAGAGTCATGTCCTGCTCTCTGTGTCTCAGTATGACTCACACGGTGTGAGTAGTGTTTGTTTGAGTCATGACCTGCTCTCTGTGTCTCAGTATGACTCACACAGTGTGAGTAGTGTTTGTTTGAGTCATGAACTTCTCTCTATGTCTCAGAATGACTCACACAGTGTGAGTAGTGTTTGTTTGAGTCATGACCTGCTCTCTGTGTCTCAGTATGACTCACACAGTGTGAGCTCACACAGTGTGAGTAGTGTTTGTTTGAGTCATGACCTGCTCTCTATGTCTCAGAATGACTCACACAGTGTGAGTAGTGTTTGTTAGAGTCATGTCCTGCTCTCTGTGTCTCAGTATGACTCACACAGTGTGAGTAGTGTTTGTTTGAGTCATGACCTGCTCTCTTTGTCTCAGTATGACTCACACAGTGTGAGTAGTGTTTGTTTGAGTCATGACCTGCTCTCTGTCTCTCAGAATGACTCACACAGTGTGAGTAGTGTTTGTTAGAGTCATGTCCTGCTCTCTGTGTCTCGGTATGACTCACACAGTGTGAGTAGTGTTTGTTTGAGTCATGACCTGCTCTCTATGCCTCAGTATGACTCACACAGTGTGAGTAGTGTTTGTTTGAGTCACGTCCTGCTCTCTATGTCTCGGTATGACTCACACAGTTTAAGTAGTGTTTGTTTGAGTCATGACCTGCTCTCTATATCTCAGTATGACTCACACAGTGTGAGTAGTGTTTGTTAGAGTCATGTCCTGCTCTCTATGTCTCAGTATGACTCACACAGTGTGAGTAGTGTTTGTTTGAGTCACGTCCTGCTCTCTATGTCTCAGTATGACTCGCAGGAAATTCATTCAATTTTCAAGTTACATCAGGTTAAGAGGTTCCATTTTTGTCATGCTTGCCATCTTACCAAATCCTTTATCTTTCCAATAATAAAAATGTATATCTGTAAAATTATCTGATGAAAAATTCTGAAGACAAATATATGGAGGAGAAATCTCTTATGATTATTAATCTATTTATATCATGAACAGGAGCTCCTGGACAAAGTGGCCCGAGGAGCAGATATCAGGTCCTCATCTTCCCCAGCTTCAAGGTACAAACATCCTTAATTAATGCTGTTATAACAGGAAATATATTACAACTGATAGTCAGTCCTTCAACTCCTCGTTATTTCATTTAAAATGAATCCTTAAATTAAATGTTATGCCGTAAAAAAAAAAGAAATATATAAGATAATTGATAGTGATCATTCAAGTCATCAAAGGTTCAGCCATTGAAGTCCACAAAATGTGGCAAATATACTCAATAATATATAAAAGTTTAGATATTGTATTCCTCAATGACAATTCACAGACTGAGAATTACATGTAAAGCTTTAAAGATGGATAACAACAAGTTTAAATGATGTTATTTAATCAAGCTATTTGTAAAGTGAGACAGTAAAGTTAAATTTCTTTGTACGAGTAGGAAGAGGAAACATTCCAGTAACAGTATTTGTATAAAGACAGAAGACGGCAGTGTTGTGGAGGTTATACCTAACCCCGATCACGATGACCGAGTGGTGGATCTAACCGAGGACTCAGACGAGGAAGGAGAAGGCGCTCCGTCGTCCTCAAAACAATCCAAAGAAGAAGATCTGAAGTCTACTCCCAGTAAGGGGGAGAACTCCAAATCTACCACAAAAACAAACAGTAAAGATAGTAAAACTAGTGCTTCCAGTGGTCAGGCAGATGATGTTAAACCTAACCTTGATAAACTGAAGGAGCAGATCAACAAGTTACGGACATTTAAAGAGAAAGGTGTACAGACAGAGGGGAGGGAGGAGTCAGAGGAGGAGAAGAGCTATAAGGAACGGTTACTCGCCTTCCAAAAAAACGTCCACGAACTGCTAAGGAGGATCGACCCCAGTAAAGAGTGGGGGGGATCCGAGAATATAGAGGACGTTATTGTGCAAATGATGAAACACATCGAACCAAACGGGGAGGAAAATGATTCAGATTGAAGTATAGATGTTGGTGGATCGGAGAGTATGGAGACAGTCACTGAACCAATGGTGATTGAGATTAAAGCTTAGATACTCAAGTTGGTGGATCTAAGATTGTAGTGTGACAGTCATTGAACTAAATGTGACTCAGATTAAAGCTTAAATACAGGTGATTCTGAGAATATTGTGGCAGTGATTTGTTCAGTTGGTAAAACACATGGAAACTTGTTGGTTAGTAGACCCATTCACATTGAACTTGTGGTCATAGAGGATGTACAATCCTGTACATGTATTAGGGATAGGTATTAGATAGATTGATAAAACTGATACATATGATCAAATATAAATACACAAGGGAATGTTCCTAGTTTTCAATACTATTTTTTATGCCAGACTTTGAATTAAGATACAACTTTGAGATTATTCACATCAATAACTGCCACAAAATCAGTACCTGATTAAAAACTGACAGGGAGTCAGATACATATGTTTTTTTCACACTTTCAACAAACAGAACTCTATGGCACATGTACATGATTGTATATAATGTATGAGACACTATTACATACAGAATGTAAGCATTACTGTTGGGTTATTTTATTAATTACATTGGGATTTTTTGCTGTGTATTTACAAGTAAGAGTTTGTAGAAACATGAAGTTTTAATATGTTAACAATGAAACATTATATGATGTCTTTATTTTACAAGGGATTTGATATACATGTATGTGTGTGAATATGGAGGGGTTTGTAAAATTTATTTGTTACCTACAAAATGAGTCATGAACAGATTTTATAATGATATGAAGAACTGAATCAGTTTTGTATTTTGACTGTTGTATACTGTATAATAAAGGTGTATATGTTTAAATCTACTGTATATGTATATTTTTTAAAACAATTCTCAGGGAGAAGAAACACACAGCATCCATTACACTAGTTTGTAAGAATTGGTGTGTTTTGTCATTATGTGTTGAGGTATTTTACATTGCTTATTAAGTTCCATTCTAAAATCCAAATATATTTTTCAGTTTTATTATTTTCTTGGATAAATACAGAGGAATAGTCGGGATTTCTTGTCTTTAACTACATTTAAGATACAGGAAAATTCTGAGAAGTTCTGGAAATAATAAACAGGCTTTACTAATTAAATCACAAATGCAATCGGAGCTTACAAGTTGTTGTAACTCTTGGTGAAACAGAATTACAAACAGTGTGTCAAATTTACTACATGTATCTTTAACAGGTTAGTGAAATGGTCACCAGTAAAAACAAATGATAACAAATTTCTGCTAAACTGTTAACTTCACTTAATGAGTGGTCTTTGCTTTCTTTAACTTATAAAACCTGGTATTTGATTTGGCCTGTCTTTAAACATTTTACCCTATGGCTCCATGTCATAGTATGAATGGATGTTTACAGTGTATCAGCTGGAGTTATCTGAAATGTGTTGTTACTAGATCCTACCCCATAATATATGTACATATAATATTTTATTTTGTGGGGACTCAATTTTCTTGGGTACCTTAGCCTTGCATTTACAATCTGAATGAATAATAATTTATTGCTTATATCTTTCATAATGAAAGGATTGTGCATGAATTGACATCCCAGGAATTAAAATAATTCCAAAATACTGTGCAAAAAAAAAAAAGAATCTTGCCAATGTGTTTTGTAAAACTGAATTTTGAGAGTTTATTTTGTGTGTGATAAAGATTTAACATCATAAGATGAAGAAGTTTATATATGCATTTTGGTCACATTTTCTTCATGCATTTTATTTGTTTTGTAAATAGATGAATGTTATGTATTTGGCACTAATCTTTTCCAATTCATATCGGACTTTATTTTGTCCTAGTCAAGTTGTTTTGATACCAGCTACATTTGTTTAAAATCTTAGAAGTAAGTTAGAGTTAATTATGAACCTCAAGAATTAGAATCAGGTCAATCAAGTACAAATGTAGTCATCATTTAAAGGAGGTGAATACAAAACAAACTGATTTACAGGAGAATGATTGTGCTGACATTCATTACACTTTGTAAATACTAGGTTAACTACATTTCTAGTCATGAAACAAAGTGTATCACCTATAACAAAGTGTATCATCAACAACAAAATGTATCACCCACAACAAAGTGTCTCACCCACAACAAAGTGTATCACCCACAACAAAATGAAGTTTTGTTGGGGAGATTTTGCATCTTTTTTTAATTTCCTGTCAGAACTCAGAAAGGGTTCCATCATAAATTATTTATCCTTAACATTCCCTTATTCTAGTGTTTTCCCTATAAATCTAATCATGTGAAACTATCTTTATATAGACATTTGTATTTGTTCCTCGAGTTCACACTAAGTACATATGTCCTGGTATATTCTTAAATTCATACTTTGTAGGAAATTTAGAATGTTTCAGACAGCAGAGTATATTTGTATGACCCTAATTTGATAAGTTTTAATACACCAAGCATTTATTTGCTTACTTTATGTTTATATTTGTACTAAAACTTGCTGTATATAATAATTACAAGTCTGTATATTTGAATATAAGCAAACTTGATTTATACAGAAAATATGATAGTGATATATCATAATATTACTGTGGAATCATTTTATATTGTGGGGGTCAATGGTCATGGGCAAGCAAAATTTTACTGGTTTCATGGGGACTTAATTTTGTGGGTAACTCTTTATACAGAAGATTCAAAACATTGAGAAAATATTCGTTCATAGGGAATTTAAATTTGTGGGTAAGAGTGACCACAAAACCCTTGTACATTGATCCCCCAAGAACGATGATTGCACAGTGCCTTGTCTTGAAGAAATAACTCTTTATATGGTTGAAGGTGTAGTTGTTAATGTGTGATATTGTCAAAAGATGTTACTTTAAAATCACATATTTTCTATTGTTTAGTGTAAAGAGAACTTTGAATGGATGTCCTAAATGAATTATTAAAATTTCTAACTTCAGTTACTGTATGCTTGTCTACCATTTCTCAATTTTTTCTTGACTTCAGTATAATCAAAGATGGTAGCATTTTGCATTGTACGTGCTATGTATCACTTGTATATACTTTAAAAGTACTGAAATGATGCAAACTGAGATGTGAAATTTTATTTTCATTTTACTAGCAAATTATAGAGTTGTTATTTGATCCATTAAAGCCTTTTAATACCAAACATTGTGTTCGTGATTAAGATCTGGCAGCAACATAAGATCTGGCAACATGAATAAGATCTGGCAGCAACATGAATAAGATCTGGCAAGTCGGATGCTTCTTGATTGAAGAGTTGAATTTTTTGAGGCCTTTTAAACTAGATACATGATCAACAAATTATGTTTGATATTATTTAAGAACAGTTTTGAACTGGAGGTACTTAACCAAACTCACAAAATTATACCCCTGCCATTGACCTTGAACATGCTGAAATGACCTTGGGTCAAGGCTATGATATACCTTAAACTTGGTAATTAACATCCAATATTCATCTATTCATACTTCTCTGATAAAAAGGTATGGACCATACACAAATGCACTGTCAAATGACAAGGTGATATTCATTTATTATATATACTGTATACATATACAATCATGTAACTCCCAAGCTTTGTTTGCAGGGGGTGAAATTACTACATGAAGCAAGTTTGAAAGGTTTCAAGCCTGGAAAGAATGCATGTATTGAAAGACTATATCATAATTTACAATCCTAAACTTTCATTTTTATTTTGGCTGAGAGTATCAGCAAATGCTAGATTGTGACATGCATATCTTCTTCTGGGTTTATATAAAGCTACATCTTCAATGCACAGTAGGTTCTTAAAGCATCAAGTGCATTGTCTATAACTGGAATAAAACTGAAAAATTGTCTCCTTAATATGACTTTATTCAGTTTGGACTTTATTAAACATTAGTAACATTACCCAGTCACAGAGACACATAACCCAGTCACAGAACAATATAACCCAGTCAAAGAGAAACATAACCCAGTCACAGAGAAACATAACCCAGTCACTGAGAAACATAACCCAGTCACAGAACAACATGACCCAGTCATTGAAAAACATAGCCTAGTCCCTGAACAACATAACCCAGTCACATAGACACATAACCCAGTTACTGAGAAACATAACCCAGTCACGAGAAACATAACCCAGTCACAGAACAAGATAACCAAGTCACAGAGAAATATAACCCAGTCACTGAGAAACATAACCCAGTCACAGAGAAACATAACCCAGTCAAAGAGAAACAACCCAGTCACAGAGAAACATAACCCAATCACAGAGAAATGTAACCCAGTCATTGAACAACACAATCCAGTCACTGAACAACAAAACTCAATCACAGAACAACATAACCCAGTCAAAAAACAACATACCCCCGTCATAGCGAAACATAATCCAGTCACAGAACAACATAACCCATTCACTGAACGACATGACGAAGTCACTGAACAACATACCTCAATCAAAGAGAATCACAGAGAAACATAACCTAGTTACATAAAAACATAACCCGGTCACAGAACAACATAACTCAGTCATTGAAAAACATAACCTATTCCCTGAACAGTATAACCCAGTCCCAGAGAAACATAACCCAGTCACTGAACAACATCACGCAGACACTGAGAAACATAACCCAGTCACAGAGAAACATAGCTGAGTCACTGAACAGCATAACCCAGTCACAGAGAAACATAACCCAGTCACAGAACAACATAACCAAGTCACAGAGAAAAATATCCCAGTCACAGAGAAATATAACCAAGTCAGAGAGAAACGTAACCCAGTCAGTGAACAACATAACGCAGTCACGGAAATACATAAACTAGTCCCTGTACAACATAACCCAGTCACAGAGAAACATAATCCAGTCACTGAACAACATAACCCAGTCATTGAACAACATAACTCAGTCACAGAGAAGCATAACCATGTCACAGAACAAAATAACACAGTCCTTGAGAAACATGTCACAGAACAACATAACCCAGTCACCGAGAAACATAACGCAGTCACTGAATAACATAACCCAGTCAAAGAGAATCACAGAGAAACATAACCCAGTCACAGAACAACATAACCTAGTCCCTGAACAACATAACCAAGTCATAGAGAAACATAACACAGTCACATAACAATATAACCCGGTAACAGAGAAACATAACCCAGTCACTGAAAAACATAATACCAGTCACTGATCATGAAAAACATAATCCCAGTCAAGGAGAAACGTAACCCAATATAAATATGGTAATTCAAATTCATATTCATTTTGGTTGTTTGGAATATTAAAAATATTCAAAACTGACATATGAATTTGAAGAATGTCTTCCTTAGAGAGGGAACTATTAGTATAAGTTGTATTACCACTTGTAGAATTAAATCCAAGTTCCTCTAAAATACATTTAATATAATGAGCCTTACAAACAAAGACAATGTTGTTACCTGCTTTGTCAGCAGGGACGAGTACGTACTTATCATGTAATCTATCTAATTCTTTTTGCCCTTCTGGATTATTGAATACAGAAGGATAGATGGTTCTCATATTGCCCCTCAATCTTTTAATGCGCGATTTTAACATACATCTGATACATTTAATCCATTCTGACAAAGCGTCAAGGTCTTCTTTTTCATGTCTGGCCCATTGCCTGGCGTAATCCTCTACAGAATCCATAATATTTATGAAATTCCGACGCCAGTTGAAGGATCGGGGTTCCCTATATTTGGGACCTTTTAAAATAAGTGATCTAAGGTCCTCATTATTAACTATATTTACGTCACCAGTAATACAGTGTCCAGCAGGACTATAGTTATAGGGTGAAGAAGAACATGAACACGATGGAGGATTATGTTTCAGATATTCAATATCCAGGCCCTGTAAAGTTTTCTTGTAATTAAAAAGTTTGGAAGCAATAGTCGAGTATATTTGTAGGAAAAACAAGGTGTAGTCTTTAACTTGAAATATGGTGGAATACAAGACTGGACCCTTTTGTGATTAAAAATTACTTATATTAACCGCGTCAATTCCTTTGTTGGCATATTGAAGCTTAAGGAAAAAACGGATTGTTTTAGCAGCATTTTCTTCAGTAAAACGTGGGGGTTTAAAAAGCCTTTGATTTGCAATATCCATAATCACAGATCCGAGCCTATATTCTGGTGTCGAAGAATCAAAAAATGGACATTCCTTGACCTTTTCAAGAAGACTATTTATTTACATTTATATAGGATAGGTTGCGCCTCTGTTGGCCCTACGTTGAAAAAATCACTGTCCGTAAAAGAACAATGGGCCATTGTTGGGCCAACACAAGTAAAGGACACTGGACCATCATTGAGTCACCGATGGTATGTTGATTAACGGACATTGGGCCATTGTTGGGCTAACACAAAAAGTGTGTTGGGCCATAATCCGAGATTCCTCTGACTCTAACCCCTGCTTTTATATTTTGACATGTGCAGGGCATGTCAAAATATAAAAGCAGGGGTTAGAGTCAGAGGAATCTCGGATTAGTTGGGCCAATGTTGGGCCTTTGTTGACACAATCACTGTTCATAGTGGACGTTGGTCCATTGTTGGGGCAGCATTGACCAAATTCAGTAATAAAATGGATAAACATTGTGCCAACGTTGGTTCAACATGTTGGGCCAACGTAGGGCCGATGAGCAAACTTACCATGGGCAAACGTTAACGCAGTCAACAACTGTGCGCCAACGTTGGCCCAACGTAGTCTTGCTATCTGGGTTAAATAAGAAGAAAAGGAAAAAACAGCCTTACTCCACAGCTCTATCTGGGGGTATGGGGGAGGGGTACCAATTAACAGGCAATAAAAAAATTAATAATAATTATATATATGGAAAAAAAAATTAAATAGATAATTAAAAAAAAAACAGACTTGCTTCACAACTCTCTTTTGTGGGGTGTGTGTAGTTTGGTGGTGGTGGTTGTGGAAAGGGGGGGGGGGTACCAACAGGCAATGAAAAAATATTTTCTCGCCAGCTGGGGAAAATTATCTATTTTCAACATTATTATATGTTTCAAAAAAGTAGCAGCTCCAATTTCAAATTTATGGTTGTCCTCTAAACAATCCGAATTTGCAAACACATTTTATTTAGTACCTCTCAAATAGAAATTGCTGTCATCTTTTCATTTTGAACAAAAAATACTTTGCAAGCATCATAGTAAATTTTATTTTAGTCATGTGTAAGTGTAATTGTTTGTATGTGTATATGCATCGTTTGTTTTGTAAAAATGAAAGGTAAATGAATTTACAAGAATACAGATAAAAACTGTGTAACACTATTTTTATAACAATTATTATTATAAGTACATGTACCACAGAATTATATTATAGCTAGGTCTTTACCCTTCTTTAAAAATAAACTGGGGTCAATTTTGCTTGAGATTTGTTAAATTAATTTGCACTTTTAGTTAGCTTAAATGTTTCCAAAGTTCACACAATGAATTTCATCATGAACATATACTAGTACTCAGTAACCTTATTGCCATATACCTCATCCAAGTCAACTTGGCCCTACAGTTCCTCAAAAGATAATAAGATTTTTTTTGTATATACTAAAAATAATCCTTTTAAGGCCCCACCAAGTAGGACTATTGCTAAACCAAATATGAATATAATTATACAATAGGCGAAATATCTACATGACTGACTTTGAACCTGCTGATCACATAATTTTGAAACATGCATATAGACTAAATCTCAGGTTTGAAAAATTCAGACTAAAGAAAGAACTCCCAGGCTTTCACATATATTAATCTTTTATATGTGAATTGTTTAAATATTAAACAGTGAACATTGGGCTAAACATTTGGATAAGCAGTATATCAATTAACCTTGATAAAAATAACTCAGAATAAGCATAATTTAATTTCATATTTTTTTTATTATGACAACATACATGCTGAATAAAAAGACATATGAAATCAAACGTTTAAATGTTTTATTCTTAAAATAAAGGTGACAATAGTACTTGTGATATTCTCAATTACAAATATGCACATGTATTTTAGTTTATCCTGCATTTGTTTATAAAAGTGTGTGCCTATTATATCATTTTATTCAATAAGATTTTCGAATTATAGACAATAAATGTCACATAAACAAAGATTTTTGAATGATCCATGTACAGGCATGGACATGTCATAACACATGAAATATAAACGTTTGCCCAGATATAATCAGTTTACACTCTTAAGTGCTTTAATAGGAAAAATTAAAAAAAAAATGTTTTCAGATATTGGATGAAGTGAAAAAAATGAATCAGAATCTTTTGACAATTATTGATAATAATTATCTAAATTAATAATTTAATAATACAATAATCATGTAAATTTTTGTACATTTTTTTTTTTGAATTCACATCTTATGAAGCAGGTTTAACTACATTATACAGGTAACTTTCAACAGTACTGTTTGGGCTTCATCATTTGAGAAACAGTTAGAAAACATTTTTTCAATAAAGAACCCTTATGCATGCACCAGAAGTGCTAAAAACAAACAAAAAAGGGACAACAAAGAGGCCCATGTGCCATAACTCTCATTAAGTCATATTACCCTGTTCTTCTGAAGAAAATTCCTTCGTTATTTCCATAAAAAAATTTGACCCAATATGGTGACCCTACCTTGTTTCTGCATTTATATCTAGTACATTCAAAAATGCACTAAATCAAACTTTGCTTTCTTATGCAGAAAACAATTTCTGCCAAAAATTTTACATGCAAACATAATACATTTAAGGTCAAGATGAAATATATGGAGATAACGAACAGTATTCAAGCTCAAAAGTCCATTAATCAATACAAAATAGGAGCAGAGCAAACACGGACCCCTAAACATCAGAGGTGGGATCAGGTGCCATGGAGGAGTGAGCATCCCCTGCCGACCGGTCACACCCACCGTGTGCTCCTTGTCATGATCGGGAAATAACGGAAAAATCCGTTGACAATTCAGTGTGTAAATAATGGCCTAACAATTAGTAAGAAAAACGTCAGTCAGCATTTGACTCAATGATAAATTGTATTTGCTGACAAGGTCATTGTATCGACCATAGAACTTACGAAATGATGACTTTAAACGAGACAGCTGATATTCTTGTTTCATCAACTTATTTGTCAATAATTTACCTCGTTTTAGAAATTGTACTTACGTAGAGCATGCTCTTGCGTATCGAATCAACTGAGAGATATATACCCCGTATGCAGGTGATGAAGGTATATTGCTGCATAAGTAAAGGAAGTTGACGATTGAAAAGTTAAAGTCATCACGTTCATCATAAAGCTTGGTTGTTAGATTACCATTAACGTCTTTTTCAAGTAAAATATCCAAATATGAACTAGTAAATGACTTTAGACTAACTGTTTGGTGCTAGATCCATTATGACATCATAATCAATTTCAACTTTCTTTTTCCCGTACTTTACGGCTCTAATATAATTATGTAGAAAATAAAATATTTCATGGAATTTAATTTAAAATAATGTGAAAAGTAATCCCGATACCTATATTCAATTTAATATCATTTTAAAGAAGATGCCAAGAACATATAAATTACCGTTTTCTGAGAGACTGTAGGCAATCTGGGTACATTTCCTTTGTCTGATATGGAAAAAAACTCCCGTATTCATGACTGGTTTTCTTAATTTTTCTTTGAAAATGACAGTTTAAGATATGATTTTTCGTCTTGTTTACTTACAAATTATGCCCCGAAACACCTTATTTGACCAAGCTAAAGTTATAAAGCATCATTAAAGGAATTTATTTCTCACATTTGAGAAATCTGTAGGCACCTTTCATTTACTAGATCTTGACCTTAAAGCAATAATTCGATCTATATTGAGGCTGAAATATTTTAATATAATAAGTTCCTATAAACATATTGCTTCTGAAATAATTATTTTTTATCAATATAATTTTAACATCCAAAGCTATTTGTTCAACTATTCATTTTTCAGTTATTTTATGCTTAACAATGTTTAAAAATAGTGCCGGAAGTTTTAATGGAAGGTCGTATCTGCCGCATACGACCATTCAAATATTCAATCGCATAGTAACTGAATTATTGAAATTTTTCAGACAACCTGTTTATCATCAATATGTTACTGCACAATTACGAAGCAAATAATTGACTAACGTTAACATATATTTAAAAGGTACATGACGTACTGTACTCCGTTTTTAGAGAAAAACATATTTTTAAGAGTTGAAACACCTCATTCAAAAATATTGAGATTTATATATCTCTGAGAAATAATCATTTTCAGAAATTACAACAAATGTGAATTCTGGATTTTTTTTTTTCGAACGGGGATGTTACCCAACCAGGAAGAAATAAAGCACTTTCCACTATACAATTCCACGGCGTCGATAGACTCGCCCACAAACATGGCGACGAGAGGAATTTTAACTTCAAGGGTTAGTTTTATTTCTCTGAAAACACCAGTATACATGCTGTTTTTGTCAACCTTTGTATTGTATTTTATATCCTCTTGTTTCTTCAGTATTATTGTTTTACTGTGGTCATTTTGGTTGCATTAAAGCTGAACACGACTCGAAAATAGGCATACGCCATTTTTAGACGGGGTCACGTAACCCCGTCTATTAGTTTACCGATTTTTCTCGGGGACGGGTGAGATTCACTCCAGAAATCGCAAAGCACATGCGCTGAATTTTCACTCTAAACTAGTATTTCAGAGTAACTCAACTATTTCCGATATAAAAAAAATTTTTTCCTAACAATTATGTTGAAATAACTCAAAAAAGTATTTTGTGATACAAAATAATGCCTACTCCCAACCGAATCAACTCTACATTTTTAAGAGGACGATAGTTTCATTCCGGTGGTGTTTAGATTATTTATCTATATTCAAATTAAAAGATTATAAATTTATTTCCAAGATATTAAGGGACGAATTATTTATGTTTTAACAGTTAAAGAAGCAAATACTCAGACACATGACTACGTTGGGCCAACGTTGCATGGTTAATGGTTGTACGGTTGGCCGATAGTTGGCGTTGGGTAAACAATGTTGGGCCAACTTTAGACCAACGTTACCATGTGAATCATCTCTTTAGTACCGAACCATGTTGGGATTTTACGTTCGCCCAACGTTGGTCCAACATTAACTAATTCCGTTTTGCTATATTTTCTAAGGAAGTTGGGGGTTCAAAGTTGGCCCACCGTTGGCCCAACGTTTGTAATGCAATCTTAACGAAGTTGAAAATTTAATCTGGTAGCAGTATGGTGGCTCAGCGTTGGCCCAATGTAAGCTTGATTGTTTGTTTTAAGTTGTCCTTTATAGTTAGAGTGAGTACGTTGATCCAACGTTGGCCCAACAGTTGGACTGCGAACTTAAGGACGATGTGCATGAGTTGGGAGCGCTACATTGGCCCAAAGTTGGCCCTGTGTTTGTTATACCCTAGGCTTAATTGAAAAGATAATTTAAGCTGGTAAGACTATACGCTGGCCCAACGTTAGTCCTATGTTAGGGCGAGTGTTCTCTTCTATGTTGGGATGAGTACATTGGCCCTATTTTGGCCCAACAGATATATTGTTAGATTTTATTACTTAAGCGTACTTAATTTAAGGATTTTTAGATTCTGAGATAAGAGCACAATCTTTGTCCATGCAATTAGGTATTAAGCTTCTGCAATTAGGTAAGCTTCTTCCACAGCAATGAGACTGGCCATGCAGTTTATTGATGACAATTATATTGATGTTCAGCTTTCTTGTAATTAGTATCCACTTATCAAAAAATTAGGGGTTTTCCTCTACTCTTTATAGTGCCTGGTTATTAATTTTAAAATCTTATTTAAGCTTACAGTTTGAGCGTAATTGTAAGACTTGTTTCTCTCGTATAGAATTAACGAGAATTCATTATAAAAGGAGACTGAATAATTTTTTTTTACATCAGGATAATATAGATACATCTGAATTGTTTTTACATTAGCATAATATGGAAACTAAAAGTTCCCAGGGACAGGATGTTAATGACGCTTAAATATACATAAATAAAGATAACACAGCCAGCTTTATAAATTGCTTTCAAACAAAAGTTACCTTAGGCGAGTCGCTAAAATTGAAAGAGTCGCAGCAATTAAAACACCAAAATGTGGTGAGCTGTCAAGTTCAATTACTCACAGCTGGCTGATAAACTCAAAAATGCAGAGGAAGTTAGAGTAGGATTGGGATTTTTAAAAACGTCGCGCATACAACAGCTAACGGCTAAGTACTTAGAGAAATGTAAGTTTATTATTATTACATTTTTAAACTATAGCTACTTTGCAGGTGAGTTAAGGCTAAGTATAGGCATTTCTGTGTAAATAATCTAATTAAATACCTAAGGACTATATATATTATGCAGAAAAAGTTAAAACTTACTGTCTAATACATACTTGGTACCCACGACATGAGATAGCCAATACACATTATGACGTCATATTATGACGTCATTGTTCTTTACTACAGAAGATTATGATGGATATCAACAAAAATGCTTCGGCGCAAGGGCATGCTCTATTTTATTTAACTGAAACAAGGTATATTTCGAGGCAGAATAGTCCCAAGTTTGCTGGTATTGCTGCAGAAATATCAACAGCTCAGTTGTATAATTTTTATTTGTAAAAATTTAAGTTGAATAAATGTAAAAATGTAGAGTCCGGTATAAGTTTCCTCAAATTCCGATCAAAGGAGAAAATGCCTAGGATTTGTGCCGCAGTTTATTAATCTATAGAATATTCTTCTTAGCATTGTACAATTTTTATGTACAAATAAATAGGGGAATCCCTAGCGCCGAAGCTGTTTTGTTGATGTGTTTTATTACCTCCAGTAGGTAGGATCAGTGACGTCATAATATGACGTCATAATGTGTACTGGCTATAACATTTCGTGGGTACTAAGTATGCATAAGAAAATAAATCAACACTTTCTCTGAATAATAAATATACCTCTTATGCGTTTTTATTAGCTCATTTGCATAGAAACGCCTATACCTAGCCTTAACTCACATGCGGCGCAAAGGAAACTGAATCATTTTATACAAGAATTAATTAATTAATTCTTGTATAAAATGATTCAGTTTCCTTTGCCTCTTTGTCAATATTATCTAGTTATTTCTTGTTAAGATGGATTAATTTTGAATGGAAATCATTATTTATACAGGATAGGTTGGGCCTCTGTTGGCCCTACGTTGAAAAAATCACTGTCCGTAAAAGAACAATGGGCCATTGTTGGGCCAACACAAGTAAAGGACACTGGACCATCATTGAGTCACCGATGGTATGTTGATTAACGGACATTGGGCCATTGTTGGGCTAACACAAAAAGTATGTTGGGCCATAATCCGAGATTCCTCTGACTCTAACCCCTGCTTTTATATTTTGACATATGCAGGGCATGTCAAAATATAAAAGCAGGGGTTAAAGTCAGAGGAATCTCGGATTAGTTGGGCCAATGTTGGGCCTTTGTTGACACAATCACTGTTCATAGTGGACGTTGGTCCATTGTTGGGCCAACATTGACCAAATTCAGTAATGAAATGGATAAACATTGTGCCAACGTTGGTTCAACATGTTGGGCCAACGTAGGGCCGATGAGCAAACTTACCTTGGGCAAATGTTAATGCAGTCAACAACTGTGCGCCAACGTTGGCCCAACGTAGTCTTGCTATCTGGGAATTAAATAAGAAGAAAAGGAAAAAAACAGCCTTACTCCACAGCTCTATCTGGGGGTATGGGGGAGGGGTACCAATTAACAGGCAATAAAAAAATTAATAATTATTATATATATGAAAAAAAAAATTAAATAGATAATTAAAAAAAAACAGACTTGCTCCACAACTCTCTTTTGTGGGGTGTGTATAGTTTGGTGGTGGTGGTTGTGGAAAGGGGGGTACCAACAGGCAATGAAAAAATATTTTCTTGCCAGCTGGGGAAAATTATCTATTTCCAACATTATTATATGTTTCAAAAAAGTAGCAGCTCCAATTTCAAATTTATGGTCGTCCTCTAAACAATCCGAATTTGCAAACACATTTTATTTAGTACCTCTCAAATAAAAATTGCTGTCATCTTTTCATTTTGAACAAAAAATACTTTGCAAGCATCATAGTAAATTTTATTTTAGTCATGTGTAAGTGTAATTGTTTGTATGTGTATATGCATCGTTTGTTTTGTAAAAATGAAAGGTAAATGAATTTACAAGAATACAGATAAAAACTGTGTAACACTATTTTAATAACAATTATTATTATAAGTACATGTACCACAGAATTATGTTATAGCTAGGTCTTTACCCTTCTTTAAAAATATACTGGGGTCAATTTTACTTGAGATTTGTTAAATTAATTTGCACTTTTAGTTAGCTTAAATGTTTCCAAAGTTCACACAATGAATTTCATTATGAACATATACTAGTACCCAGTAACCTTATTGCCATATACCTCACCCGAGTCAACTTGGCCCTACAGTTCCTCAAAAGATAATAAGATTTTTTTGTGTATGCTAAAAATAATTCTTTTAAGGCCCCACCAAGTAGGAGGGACTATTGCTAAACCAAATATGAATATAATTATACAATAGGCGAAATATCTACATGACTGACTTTGAACCTGCTGATCACATAATTTTGAAACATGTATGTAGACTAAATCTCAGGTTTGAAAAATTCACTTAAGAAAGATCTCCCAGGCTTTCACATATATTAATCTTTTATATGTGAATTGTTTAAATATTAAACAGTGAACATTGAGCTAAACATTTGGATAAGCAGTATATCAATTAACCTTGATAACAATAACTCAGAATAAGCATAATTTAATTTCATATTTTTTTTTATTATGACAACATACATGCTGAATAAAAAGACATATGAAATTAAACGTTTAAATGTTTTATTCTTAAAATAAAGGTGACAATAGTACTTGTGATATTCTAAATTACAAATATGCACATGTATTTTAGTTTATCCTGCATTTGTTTATAAAAGTGTGTGCCTATAATATCATTTTATTCAATAAGATTTTCGAATTATAGACAATAAATGTCACATAAACAAAGATTTTTGAATGATCCATGTACAGGCATGGACATGTCATAACACATGAAATATAAACGTTTGCCCAGATATAATCAGTTTACACTCTTAAGTGATTTAATAGGAAAAATTTAAAAAAAAATGTTTTCAGATATTGGATGAAGTGAAAAAAATGAATCAGAATCTTTTGACAATTATTGATAATAATTATCTAAATTAATAATTTAATAATACAATAATCATGTAAATTTTTGTACATTTTTTTTTTGAATTCACATCTTATGAAGCAGGTTTAACTACATTATACAGGTAACTTTCAACATTACTGTCTGGGCTTCATCATTTGAGAAACAGAAAACATTTTTAAAATAAAAATCATGTAAATTTTTGTACATTTTTTTTTGAATTCACATCTTATGAAGCAGGTTTAACTACATTATACAGGTAACTTTCAACAGTACTGTCTGGGCTTCATCATTTGAGAAACAGTTAGAAAACATTTTTTCAATAAAGAACCCTTGCGTGCACCAAAAGTGCTAAAAACAAACAAAAAAGGGACAACAAAGAGGCCCATGTGCCATAACTCTCACTAAGTCATATTAGCCCTGTTCTTCTGAAGAAAATTCCTTCGTTATTTCCATAAAAAAAATTTGACCCAATATGGTGACCCTACCTTGGCCCCAAGAGATTATAATCAAACTAAATTTAAATATTGTAGTTGAATAATCAAAAGGGACTTACTTCTCTCAAAGTAAAGTAATAATACCCTACATAATCAATTGGGCATTTCCCCAGCATCAGACCATGTATCCATCAATTATTCCACAATAAAAAGAACTATCCACGACAAAAGTCCCGAGTAAAAAGTATCTCTCAGGGTAAGTCACCATGTATCTCATTGAAAACTCCACAATCAACCGGACAATCCAAGACAAAAGTCCCGAGTAAAAAGTCTACATAGTAACTCCACCATTACTGTATTTACAGGTGTCTCCTGATTACCTACATAGTAACTCCACCATTACTGTATTTACAGGTGTCCCCTGATTACCTACATAGTAACTCCACCATTACTGTATTTACAGGTGTCCCCTGATTACCTACATAGTAACTCCACCATTACTGTATTTACAGGTGTCCCCTGATTACCTACATATTAACTCCACCATTACTGTATTTACAGGTGTCTACTGATTACCTAGTAACTCCACCATTACTGTATTTACAGGTGTCTCCTGATTACCTACATAGTAACTCCACCATTACTGTATTTACAGATGTCTCCTGATTACCTACATAGTATCTCCACCATTACTGTATTTACAGGTGTCTCCTGATTACCTACATAGTAACTCCACCATTACTGTATTTACAGGTGTCTCCTGATTACCTACATAGTAACTCCACCATTACTGTATTTACAGGTGTCTCCTGATTACCTACATAGTAACTCCACCATTACTGTATTTACAGGTGTCTCCTGATTACCTACATAGTAACTCCACCATTACTGTATTTACAGGTGTCTCCTGATTACCTACATAGTAACTCCACCATTACTGTATTAACAGGTGTCCCCTGATTACCTACATAGTAACTCCACCAGCCACACCTGGGCATTTTCAGCCATTGCAGAAATAATAGGTAAGGCCTAGCTAGACCTCAAAGCTAAATGACTCGGAACCCACAGGTGGGTTACTAGAACTCAAAATCTCAGAAATCGTAGAGCTGAGACTTCAAAGGGTAATGACTGAGAAATCAAAGGACATTTACTCATCAGTAATTGGCTCAACATATAAGAACAATTAGATAACATTGACAATAGTTTATTCTCATACATGTAAACTGTATCTACACTGAAGAGATGATATTATAAACATGAAACATTTACAATAATGCATGCATGAGAAACAAGATGTAGCACTGCAAAATAATTATTGCCCCCAGTTTTAACAAATGTACTGAATGTATTGTAGACAATGCGTATGACCCAGATGTGAATGCTTCAGAATTAGGGATCAACAAAAGAGACATCAATGGAAAGGTGTGTCTGACCTTCACAGACAACGGAAATGGAATGGTCCCCGAAAAACTTCACAAAATGCTCAGGTGAGTAGTATTCCCACATGTTACTTAATATTTAGGTATAGACCCCTCCCCATCCCCCAAACAGATGATATATTTGCATGAAGTTTTAACTGACATACCACAAAAGTGTTCAGGACCCGAAGAGAAGACCGACATCACATATGTCCCAAAGCAGAAGTTTGAATCTTACTGACTGCAGTCCTCAGATTTGATTTCTCATCAACCTGATCAGTTACATTTGATACTTTCCTAAATTTGTATATGTAGACTCTGTATGCATGTATATAGTGGTACTGGTAGCTTATTTCAGATTTTCACACACAATATGATTATATTTTTCTGTAGTTTTGGCTACTGTGAAAAGGTAGCTGTTGGAAACCATCAACCCATTGGTCACTACGGCAATGGCTTTAAGTCTGGCAGCATGCGTTTGGGGAAGGATGCTATTGTTTTCAGTCGGCAAGCGGACGTGATGAGTGTTGGACTTCTTTCTCAGACGTATCTGAAGGCCATCAAGGCAGAGACGGTACTTGTACCAATTATCTCATGGAATCTCCCAAACAGTATCCCTCTGTTTAGTTTTTATTTGATTTTTTAAACACATTCTTTCTTTGGTGGGAATGCACCAGAATTTTTCTGTTCTACAATTTCAGTTCTGTTATGGTGACTTTTTCAGGTGATTATTTTAATTATTAATAGTATCAAGATAATAGTTTGGAGAGTCTTTAAACAGCTTCTTACAGATAATATACAGTGAAGCCTCATTAACCTGGATGGCAATATTCTGTATGCTTCACCTTCTGGACGAAATTTATGGGGAATAGAATTCCTATTTAAATACATGTATATACCAAATATAAAAATTTTGTCTCAGTAATCAGGACTCTTGGTTTATCCTGCTGATTTGCTGGGGAATCAGGTGTCTGGAGTAAGGAGGCCCCACTATATATTCATATCTCCTATCCCCGAATAACTATCTCAAATATAATCAAACGTTATATTAAAAATCTTTACAGTTGTTAAAGTGAATTGGTACAATTGTCATGTTAAGTAGAACAGATATGACAAATACTGTATGTAACATCAAAATTTTTCAAACTTAAAATATTAAAACAATATTCAAGGATTTTCTCAATTACTTGACCACTGATATTGGTGTGTCATTAAGAAAATATGTGCACTTCCTTAATTCCTCTCAGAAACCAGAAGAACCTCCCCAGAGACTAAAAATAACTTGTCAGCAATATGTACTCACTCCATCTTCAAAGATGAGAAAGAACTACTGAGCGAGCTTGACTCGCTGGAAAAATTGAGAACTGGGACAAGAATCATTGTATACAATCTTACTAAGTAAGTCTTATGTCTCAAGGTGTCCTAATGGACACTTATTCTGATGTTAAAAACATAAACATGTCTACAGCATACATCAATATTTATTCAGCCAGATGTGATTCAAGTATAATCAAGTCACTGCTCAAATGCTGAAACTATAGATATCATGTAATATGAAGTTTGATAAAGTTTATTTCTATCTTATATGTTATTAATTACTTTGAAGGAACAACAACTCTGGAAATTTGGAGCTGGACTTTCTCAGTGACCCACTGGACATCAGAAACCCGGAGTCCCATCTCATCGACTACTCCACAATCAACCGGACAATCCACGACAAAAGTCCCGAGTATAAAGTCTCTCTCAGGGTAAGTCAGCACGTATCTCATTGAATACTCCACAATCAATCGGACAATCCACGACAAAAGTCCCGAGTATAAAGTCTCTCTCAGGGTAAGTCAGCACGTATCTCATTGAATACTCCACAATCAACCGGACAATCCACGACAAAAGTCCCGAGTACAAAGTCTCTCTTAGGGTAAGTCAGCACGTATCTCATTGACTACTCCACAATCAACCGGACAACCCATGACAAAAGTCCCTAGTATAAAGTCTCTCTTAGGGTAAGTCAGCACGTATATCATTGACTACTCCACAATCAACCGGACAATCCACGACAAAAGTCCCGAGTATAAAGTCTCTCTCAGGGTAAGTCAGCACGTATCTCATTGACTACTCCACAATCAACCGGACAACCCATGACAAAAGTCCCTAGTATAAAGTCTCTCTTAGGGTAAGTCAGCACGTATATCATTGACTACTCCACAATCAACCGGACAATCCACGACAAAAGTCCCGAGTATAAAGTCTCTCTCAGGGTAAGTCAGCACGTATCTCATTGACTACTCCACAATCAATCGGACAATCCACGACAAAAGTCCCGAGTACAAAGTCTCTCCTAGGGTTGGTCACTGTGTACAGCATGAAACACAGCAAGCTATCAGAGAAGCCTTTCAGAGATAGAACAAACACAGCAAGCTATCAGAGAGGCCCTTTAGAGATAGAACAAACACAGCAAGCTATCAGAGAGGCCCTTTAGAGATAGATCAAACACAGCAAGCTATCAGAGAGGCCCCTTAGAGATAGAAAAAACACAGCGAGCTATCAGAGAGACCCTTTAGAGATAGATCAAACACAGCAAGCTATCAGAGAGGCCCTTTAGAGATAGATCAAACACAGAAAGCTATCAGAGAGACCCTTTAGAGATAGAACAAACACAGCAAGCTATCAGAGAGGCCCTTTAGAGATAGATCAAACACAGCAAGCTATCAGAGAGGCCTTTTAGAGATAGATCAAACACAGCAAGCTATCAGAGAGGCCCTTTAGAGATAGAACAAACACAGCAAGCTATCAGAGAGACCCTTTAGAGAGAGATCAAACACAGCAAGCTATCAAAGAGACCCTTTAAAGATAGATCAAACACAGCAATGAAATTTTTCCTTTTTTTCCATCAAATTTGGCACAATATACATATAGGATCTCCCATGATTTGTAGTTGGATATGATTTTTATCCAACGAGTTGTGTGTTTTTTTTATCCCCGAGCGTTGGCGAGGGGATAAAAACACACAACGAGTTGGATAAAAGTCATATCCAACTACAAATCATGGGAGATTCTTTTTATCCCATGTTTAACACTTCACAACCAATGTTTTACACTGTTTTATATAGGACTCCACTTTATTTTACTTCATCGCGCTAACGCAAAAACCATTGTGACGTCACAACTGTGGATTATGAAAAAATTATCCAATGAGTCATATCCACGGGATAAAGGGGTAAACATGGGATAAAAATTGTATACAGTATTAAGACTCCTAAAGTAGAAGTTTCTACAGAAGCAATAAAGTATCTTATTTCCAAAGTTTATTTTCCAGGCATACTGCAGTATTTTGTACTTGAAGCCGAGGATGAAAATTGTTCTGCGGGGAAAGAAGGTGAAAACAAAAATGATCAGTAAAAGCCTGTCTGAGACGGAGACCGACGTCTACAAGCCGACCTGGATTGTATCCTTCTGTTAATACAAAGTAGTATTCACCATTGTAAGAACAGCGTTACACTGTTTACATCAATGACATGTATGGTATCAAAATTCAATGAAATTGTTATACATGTATTTAGAAAAATGAAAATTTTATTCAATTTATATTTTAGTTAACGTATCATAACATCAAGCGTAATTTCATATCGTTCTCTCCTAAAGCTTTATAAGCACTAGAATGGTTTATTAGCATTCCTAACAATTTGTCAGAATAAACCATTAGTGATTAAATTTGGATTCACGTCCAGTAAAAACCCAGAGGATTATGGGGTAATGTTGTACCACAAAAACCGACTGATTCGGGCTTATGACAAAGTAGGATGTCAAAAACAGGTACTGTTCTTCTTTTAATAATACTTTGATGTCAGGTTTGACTGTTTCAGGGTTTGACACTAACTATTTTGGGCATTAGTCTAGCCCGACTAGTGCTTCTTTACTTTTACTATCCTTACTAGGCACTTTAAATAGTCTGTCAAAAAATGGTCTGTAAATTTAGGCGTTGTATTATAATTGCCTAACTACCTGCCATGAAGCTGTAAACCTAAAAATATATTTGGAGATTTTCCAGTTATGTTGTGGAAAATCAGACATTGGTAATTTAATCACATTGTTTAGTAGGAATTTTTATTTGTCCATTCGGACTTATTAGTCAGAGGTTTTATTAGTCTGAATGAAAATGTATTAGTCCAAGACTAACAGACTAATGTTAATGTCGAACCTTGATTAATGAGACAATTAAACTTTAAGGCTAACGAGCTTGGAGTTGGAATTGTGGGTGTGGCTGAAGCCTTCTTCTTGACCCCGACCCACAACAAACAGGACTTCAGCCGTGACGACAAGTACAAGTGAGTAACACATAAGTGAAGCAAGATTGAATGAAGAATATAAATGTATTATTTTATAAGTGTTAAGGTCAAGCTTGCAGTGTTTCATTTTTAGTTCACCTATAAAAGTGAAAACTTGAGCTTTTCTGATCACATTTTGTCTGGCATTTGTTGTTTAACGGTCTGTGTGTAAACTTTTCAACTTCTCATGAACTACTGGACTAATTTCAGCCAAACTTGCCATAAAGCATTCTTGCGTGGAGGGGATTGATATTGGTCAAATGAAGGGCCACATCTTTTTTTCAAGGGGAGATAATTAAAAAATACAACATGTTGTGAAAATTTGGCAGAGTCCCAAACAAAAACTTTTTTAAACAAATCATGCCAAAATCACATAGAAATCATATCAAACTCACAAATTCATGATTTTGTACTATGATTTAGACATGATCCATTAAATGGATCATACAGAAATCATATATGACAAATAAGGAAGTATGATCCTGTTGTGGTTTGTTTCTTGGCTATGAGTCTGCTATGATTTTCTTGCGATTCTGGCATGTGCCATTAACTTAGAAAACAAAGGAACATGAGTTTGAAATGATTCGTTTACTTTAACTGCTAAAAGTTTGTGATTTTGATATGATTTCTTAACTTTGTCTTTAAACTCCATACGAGTTACACATGATTTGCTAACTTCTCTGTTAAGAATCATGAGTTTTATATGATTTGTTAACTTGGTTGTATGATCCTGATATGGTTTGTTAACTTTGTCATCTGTCACAAAGCTATCCCCCAAGTTAATTAAATGTAAATAAATGAGAGAGTTAGAAGGTCTGATAAGGTTGCAGGTGCACGACGCAGTCGTAGTAGCCCTGTTTCCCATGGGTGTCATTTTAGCTAGTTAGAGAGAAAGAGAGTTGAGCAAGCATGAATTTATAATTTGATAGTGTGTCAGTTCTGTTGTCGTTTGTTTATTATGTTTGATAGAGTTCTGAGAGATGAAAGTGAGCATTAGGTTGATTTGTGTGAGAAACTGGGGAGTAAGAGATTTGGTATGGCCATGCCCTGAGAACATGTGATAACAAGAGGGTAGAATGAGTTCGGAAGTCAATGAGAGTGGATGTATCTTATAATTGTGAACTTTGCGTATTACTATAATTATATTGCGTGTGTTGTAAATATGTAAATAAACTATGTAAATAAAAACAATCGTAATTATTAATCAGTGCCAGTGACAGGGGAGGACCCCCGTCACACATCTATGATAGGTGAAAATGCAAGCTTTAAATTCACTCCATCTTGGAGAATCAAACAACATGCATACATTAATAATAGCCATATTTAAAAGAGAACGGAAAAATTAAGTTTTAATAATTAAAATTCATACAGGTAGGTACAAAGTTTACTGAAGTCAAATTTTTTTTTTTTTTTAAAAAGTCAAATGAAATAACAAATAAATAAATACAATAATTAAGAAATAAATTAGCACACTGTTTAAATAACGCAGCCTGGTTTTTTAAAATCTTTGTCTTCATATAATATTTGTGATCCACTCCCAATTTAACTCTAAGGCATTAGATTAGGATTGGCTCACCGGTCAGTTTCAGAGTCATAGTAACCTTGTTATGCAATTCTCCTGCTGGGCAGCACGTTGTAGTGTATAGTGGTTTGCAGCTTATCTAGGCCAGAATTTGAATTCTGATAAACAAGATGTGCGCGTTTTCTTGTTGCTGATTTAAAAGAAAAGACTTTGCATCATATAAGCAACAAAAATAAGCGCTGGACTATTAACTCTGCTCGGTGAGTATAATTCCTTTATCTTAGTCTTTTTTTTTTTTTAAAAGAGAAGACTTTTCTAACTTCTACCCGTACATGATTGAATTTTTCTTTGTATATGTGTAGAAGAGACAATTAAAGCGTTACATGGATTTGAATTGGAAACTTAATTTAAGCATCAAATTTACCTCCTTGATTCAAGTATTCGTTGTGTATGTGTACTGTTAATTATTATTTAAAATGTTTATTAAAAATGAAATTCTTTTGCAGCTAGTTGTCAGTTCCATCTACATAATCAACATATTTGAATTTCATTTAAATTGCCACATTCGAATGACCTGCCTTTGGTGAAGACTAAATTTGTGTACGTTAATAATATTACATTTCAACAATATTATTCTCATGGTGATTAATCTAATTCTTTTCATTAATGAAATGTGGAAAGTACTTGAATATTTCATATTTTCATCATCTAAAGATAATTATATGTAGATCGATGAATAAACACCATTTTCTCTACGTTTCTTTTCAGGTTGTGCTATACAAAACAAGAGCTTATAATTATATCTGAGGACAAACTACTTGGGAGCCTTTTCAGTGTTTGTGATTCTAAATAATAGATCCACCACAGTGACTCTGTTGATCCTATAGTGAACATATGTTGTAATTACATGCTTTTTGCAGAATCATAAATAAGCAGTGACATCAATGAATGCCGAATTATTCTTTAAGAAGAAAGGATTTCTGTGATTCTATTCTTTTGAAATTCAGTGAATAGATTGGATTAAATGGTTTTTTTTTTTTTTTTTTTTTTTTTTTTTTTTTTAAATTGTCATCTGATTAAGGAAGATCCATTGTTCGGATTACATTTGCATGATGATATAGTTCCTCATGACATGTGACATATATGTATAATATTTTTTTTTATTTTTGGTAATTGAAATTGTAAATCAAATATTAAAGGGATGTTTGTTGCAAATTTTAAAGTGTTCAGTTAAATTGTGTAAGAATGTATAATTGTCCTATGAGTTGTAGCTTTAACAGATCATACCAGGATCATGATTTTAATACGAGTTGTTAGCTACAACAGATCATACCAGGACCATGGTTTTAATACGAGTTGTTAGCTAAAACAGATCATACCAGGACCAGGGTTTTAATACGAGTTGTTAGCTTTAACAGATCATACCAGGACCATGGTTTTAATACGAGTTGTTAGCTACACCAGATCATACCAGGAGCATGGTTTTCTTGCAAGTTGTTTAGTTTAACAGATCATCCAAGAATCCTGATCCATTAGCTCATTTGCATGTGAAATTTTCCTATACCGAAATCATATCAAAACCATGATTTACACACGAGCCATTAGCATGATCCCATAGGCTGTTTTTTTCTGTTTGGGGTCCTTCAAAAATCTTCTCAAGAACCACTAGACCAGTAAAGATGAAACTTAAAATGTGGAAGCTTCCCATTATTGTGTAGATTGAAGTTTTTCTCAAGAACAGCATGGGCATATTCTGCATAATTTGTATGAAAACATCCCATGAACTGTAGTTTAGATTCAATTTTGTTTAAACCATGGCCCCCGGGGGTAGAGCTAGACCAAAACAAGGGACAGAAGTTTTAGAACATAGGAATGTATGTGGAAAAATGTTTTAGAATCTTCTTCTTAAGAACAGATGGGCCATATTCAATAATATTTTTATGCAAGCATAAGGTTTATAGTAATGCAGATTCAAGTTTGTACAAATCATGGCCCCAGGGGTTAGGGTGAGGCAACAAAAGGTGATCAAAGTTTTACTTATGAGTATATCAGAAAATATGTTTAAAAGTCACCTCCTCAAGAACAACAGGGTCATTGTTAGTAATACTGATTAATATTTATATGCAAACATCCTCAGGTAATGAAGATAAAAGTTTGTTTTAATCATGGCCAGGGGAGGGGGACAGTATTTTACATGGAAATTTATTAGGACTCTATTCTAAATGAAATAGCAGTGTCGCAATTAAGTACATTTTTTTGATAATGGATATTGGGGATAAAGTGAGGCATAAATCGGGGGAACTTTTACCTAATTAAGGCCAAATAAAATTAATTGATAGTTCCTCGGGCCAAAATTTTCGAAATTCAATGCGGCAGGAAGTTTTTTGTTGTTGTTGTGAAGAAGGTGTTATTTCCCTTTTCAAAATGTCAATAAAAATGATCAATGCAGCAGTTTTTGACCTGTTTTGGCGGTGCCTGAGAAACTATTGATTGATTTTTTTGGCCTAATACATGTTTACTTAAATTCTTACACAGAAAATCAAGACCATGTGAGTGATAATGATATTGAGGCATCCCCAGGATGTGTTGGTTCTAGTTAGGTTATGTCATGACCCTTTAGGAGTAGGATGGGACCACTGTTTTGGATTAGAATTTTTCATGTCAAGAAGATTGTTAAAAAAATTATCGTTTGATGAAGCATTGTAGCCCATGGGCCTCTTGTTTTTTTTTTTTTTTTTCATTTCAGTGCCTTTATGACAAATGTTGGAATCAAACTGAATGATTACTGGAATGAGAAGAGAGGGGTGACCAATAACACAGCATCCTCTTCAAAGAACAAGTAAGTATGGGGAGTCTAATGCCATTAACAATAAGTAAGGGGGCCTGATACAATACAGAAGTAAGAAAGGGGAGTACCAATTCCATAAACAAGTAAATATTTAGCGACCCGTTGCTATAAATATGAAATTAAGGTGAGCCTGATGCCATAAGTAATTAAGTTGGGGGAGGGGGGTTAATGCTATAAGCAAGTAAGTAAGGGGTAAGGGGAGTCCAATAGTCCGAACAACTAAATAATGGGGGCCAATGCCATAAAAAAGTAAAAAAAAAAAAAAAAAAAAAAAAGAAGGGGCTCAATGTCATATATTACTAAGGGGAGCCAAATTCTATAAACAAATAGGAAAGGGGGCAGGGGAGGGACAACACCATAAACAAGGTAATGGGGAGGGGGCAGTGCCATAATCGAGCACTTGCAGCTTGATTGTTGTAACTACATGTATTTATTCAGGGTTGTTCCTAAGAAATGAAATAGCAGAGGACATTAAAAAAAGTAGAGGGGGTTCTGGGGTTTCTCCCCTAACAGGGTTGAAGGGGAATACCAGAATAACTGGAGGATTACACCATATAGGCTGGGAAATTCCCTGGCCCCTGGGTCTTAGGAACAACCCTGAATTTTGGAGAACTTAGCACTGATTGTTGGTACTATTGATATTTTACTTGGTCATGATTGACTATGGGCCCAAAGTGATTGATTTTCATAACTATATATAGAGTACTTGCTCCTGATTTGCTGGGGCCCAGTGTGATTGAATTTTGTTACTATTTATAGAGTACTAGCTCCTGATTGACTGTTGGCCCAGTGTGATTTACTTTTGTTACTATTTATAGAGTACTAGCTCCTGATTGGCTGTGGGCCCAGTGTGATAACTGCTTACAGTGGAGAAGGTTACCGGGAGGCTTCAGACAGGAGGATCTCCCTGACAAGTGGTACTGTCACATGAACCCCGACGCTGCATTCAAGTAAGTCATCTAGAAATTCCTCTGTGTCATATATAAAATCTCCCTGACAAGTGGTACTGTCACATGAACCCCGACGCTGCCTTCAAGTAAGTCATCTAGAAATTCCTTTGTACCATATAGAAAATCTCCCTGACAAGTGGTACTGTCACATGAACCCCTATGCTGCATTCAAGTAAGTCATCTAGAAATTCTTCTCTATCATATTTAAATCTCCCCGACAAGTGGTACTGTCAGATGAACCCTGATGCTGCATTCAATTAAGTCATCTAGGAATTCCTCTCTATCACATATAAAATTCCCTGACAAGTGGTACTGTGACATGAACCCAATACTGCTTTCAAGTAAGTTATCTACCAAACTCTTTGTATCTCACAAAATCCATTTTTGCTTGTGGTACTGCCATGTGAACTCTGATGCCACATTTAGGTTGGATATCTTGGAATTCCTCTGTATTTAACAAACAATGAATATAAAATAATCTATGCCTTTGTCTGCTCAGTGGTATAGGTTGCTGAATTTTCTAACATGCTTGTATATTTGTAATTTATGAATGCTGTTTATTTTTAGTCGCTGTGAAATTCCTGAAGAACCAGAGGATGAAGATGAAGCTTTGATGGGCCCCAGCTATAAAAAGACATTTAAAAAACAACAGTGAGTAAATGTGATTGGTCAGTTATAAAAAGACATTTAAAAAACAACAGTGAGTAAATCTGATTGGTCAATTATAAAAAGATATTTAAAAAACAACAGTGAGTAAATGTGATTGGTCAGTTATAAAAAGACATTTAAAAAACAACAGTGAGTAAATCTGATTGGTCTGCTATAAAAAAGACATTTAAAAAACAACAGTGAGTAAATCTGATTGGTCAGCTATAAAAATACATTTAAAAAACAACAGTGAGTAAATCTGATTGGTCAGCTATAAAAAGACATTCAAAAAACAGCAGTGAGTAAATCTGATTGGTCAGCTATAAAAAGACATTTAAACAGCAACAGTGAGTAAATGTGATTGGTCAGAGTTAGCTTTAAAAAGACATAGAAGAAATATTTGATGTCTGCAACTTTAAAAAAAAAGTGACGATAATGCCTTAACATACATATTTTAGATGAAAAGGTTACTAACTTCATGTATATACTTTTCATAACTTTGCCTTTCAAAATATGTTGCATGAAAATGATCTAGTTTATTTCATAGGTTTAAATCTTGTGTTTTAGATGGATTCAGAATATGATTCAGTGTTTGTTACCTTCAGTTTAGAGACGTTTAAGAACCTAACCAGATAGGGGACATTGATGTATTAATCTTACCTGAGAACCTAACCAGATAGGAGACATTGATCTATTAATCTTACCTTGTTTCTAACCAGATAGGAGACATTGATCTATTAATCTTACCTTGTTTATAACCAGAGAGGAGACATTGGTCTATTAATTTTACCTAAGAACCTAACCAGATAGGTGAGATTGATGTATTAATCTTACCTGAGAACCTAACCAGATAGGAGATATTGATCTATTAATCTTACCTTGTTTCTAACCAAAGAGGAGACATTGATCTATTAATCTTACCTGAGAACCTAACCAGATAGGAGACATTGATCTATTAATCTTACCTAAGATCTAACCAGATAGGAGACATTGATCTATTAATCTTACCTGAGAACCTAACCAGATAGGAGACATTAATGTATTAATCTTACCTTGTTTCTACCAGATAGGAGACATTGATCTATTAATCTTACCTGAGAACATAACCAGATAGGAGACATTGATCTATTAATCTTACCTTGTTTCTAACCAGATAGGAGACATTGATCTATTAATTTTACCTGAGATCCTAACCAGGTAGGAGACACTGATCTATTAATTTTACCTGAGAACCTAACCAGATAGGAGACATTAATGTATTAATCTTACCTGAGAACCTAACCGGATAGGAGACATTGATCTATTAATCTTACCTGAGAACCTAACCAGATAGGAAACATTGATCTATTAATCTTACCTTGTTTCTAACCAGATAGGAGACATTGATCTATTAATCTTACCTGAGAACCTAACCAGATAGGAAACATTGATCTATTAATCTTACCTTGTTTCTAACCAGATAGGAGATATTGATCTATTATTCTTACCTTGTTTCTAACCAGATAGGAGACATTGATCTATTAATCTTACCTTGTTTCTAGCCAGATAGGAGACATTGATCTATTAATCTTACCTTGTTTCTAACCAGATAGGAGACATTGACCCATTAATCTTACCTGAGAACCTAACCAGATAGGAGACACTGATCTATTACTCTTACCTGAGAACTTAACCTGATAGGAGACATTGATCTATCAATCTTACCTTGTTTCTAACCAGATAGGAGACATTGATCTATTAATCTTACCTGAGAACCTAACCAGATAGGAGACATTGATCTATTAATCTTACCTGAGAACCTAACCAGATAGGAAACATTGATCTATTAATCTTACCTGAGGGCCTAACCAGATAGGAGACATTGATCTATTAATCTTACCTGAGAACCTAACCAGATAGGAGACATTGATCTATTAATCTTACCTGAGAACCTAATCAGATAGGAGACATTGATCTATTAATCTTACCTGAAAACCTAACCAGATAGGAGACATTGATCTATTAATCTTACCTTGTTTCTAACCAGATAGGAGACATTGATCTATTAATCTTACCTTGTTTCTTTGTTCTACAGGTCTGAACTCAGGCTGAAAATCAAACTACAGGAGGTAAGGTCAAATTGCCTTCAATTTTATTTTTTGGAAAAAATTTCCTGATTAAATGAGAGGTAACTCAATACCTAATTAAGAACTACATGAATGTAGTAGGGGCATTTCATATGGTTTTTTTTTTTTTTTTTTTTTTTTTTTTTTTTTTTTTTTTTACAAATGAAACATATGTATACATGTATGTACACGTATAATAATGATTTGAAGCTAGGAAAATACTGGAGGAAAACTATAGCGATTTTGTATCTTTAAGATATCCATTATTTTTGCTAGTGGCTTATTTCTTCCTGACTTTTATTTACCAGAAACAGAAAGAGATTCAGCTTTCAGAGAAAGAAAAACAGCTTCAGAGGAAGGAAATGGAAATGAACCAGCGCAAAAAATCAGAAGTGAGTTCGCAAAATTAGAAGTTACTCCAGGATCATGCCTTAGATACTAAACTAATTTATCTGTAATTTTTTAGGATGTCTTGGTTCTCTTTAAGTACACAAGAGAACCATGATTTGTAGCCAGCATTTGCACTTCTGAATAATTTTCTCCAGTATAAAATTTAAAAAAAGATATTAGGTCTTGAGACCTTATGATTAAAAAAAACCCATTAAGATTGAAATGCTTATTAAATTTTCTGATTAAATAAAAACCTGTGATAACTTATCCTTCCCTATAAAGCAGGCTTGTCACAATGATATTGTTTCAATGCTATAAAATACATGTATTAGTGATATAAATGTACTCTGTAGATATTTATTTTGCGTGTAATTATAAATTGAAGGAGATATTTTGTACATTGTAGTCTTTCAGTCCTATTGTCGAGAAGCTGAAGAAGCTTGAAGAGAAGGCAGCGAAACAAGAGAAGATGATAGCGGCTCTCCACAGGGAGCGAGTCGAACAGGAAGCCGCGAGTCGACAAATGCTGGACGCCGCAGAGAATCTGAATCTCGTCAACCTAAGACAAAGTGTGAGTAGTGTTTGTTAGAGTCACGTCCTGCTCTCTATATCTAAGTATGACTCACACAGTGTGAGTAGTGTTTGTTAGAGTCACGTCCTGCTCTCTATGTCTCAGTATGACTCACACAGTGTGAGTAGTGTTTATTTGATCCATGTCCTGCTCTCTATGTCTCAGTATGACTCACACAGTGTGAATAGTGTTTGTTTGATCCATGTCCTGCTCTCTATGTCACAGTATGATTCACACAGTATGAGTAGTGTTTTTTAGAGTCACGTCCTTCTCTCTATGTCTCAGTATGACTCACACAGTGTGAGTAGTGTTTATTAGAGCCATGTCCTGCTCTCTATGTCTCAGTATGACTCACACAGTGTGAGTAGTGTTTTTTAGAGTCACGTCCTGCTCTCTATGTCTCAGTATGACTCACACAGTGTGAGTAGTGTTTGTTAGAGTCACGTTCTGCTCTCTATGTCTCAGTATGACTCACACAGTGTGAGTAGTGTTTGTTAGAGTCATGTCCTGCTCTCTATGTCTCAGTATGACTCACACAGTGTGAGTAGTGTTTGTTAGAGTCACGTCCTGCTCTCTATGTCTCAGTATGACTCACACAGTGTGAGTAGTGTTTGTTTGAGTCACGTCCTGCTCTCTATGTCTCAGTATGACACACACAGTGTGAGTAGTGTTTGTTTGAGTCACGTTCTGCTCTCTATGTCACAGTATGACTTACACAGTGTGAGTAGTGTTTGTTTGAGTCACGTCCTGCTTACTATGTCTCAGTATGACTCACAGGAAATTCATTCGATTTTCAAGTTACATCAGGTTAAGAGGTTCCATTTTTGTTATGCTTGCCATCTTACCAAATCCTTTATCTTTCCAATAATAAAAATGTATAACTGTAAAATTATCTGATGAAAAATTCTGAAGACAAATATATGGAGGAGAAATCTCTTATGATTATTAATCTATTTATATCATGAACAGGAGCTCCTGGACAAAGTGGCCCGAGGAGCAGATATCAGGTCCTCTTCTTCCTCAGCTTCAAGGTACAAACATCCTTAATTAATGCTGTTATAACAGGAAATATATTACAACTGATAGTCAGTCCTTCAGCTCCTCGTTATTTCATTTAAAATGGTATGGACATCCTTAAATTAAATGTAATGCCGTAAAAAAAAAGAAATATATAAGATAATTGATAGTGATCATTTAGGTCATCAAAGGTACAGCCATTGAAATCCACAAAATGTGGCAATATACTCAATAATATATAATAGTTTAGTCATTGCATTCCTCAATGACAATTCACAGACTGAGAATTACATGTGAAGCTTTAAAGAGGAAAACAACACAGTTTAAATGACAATAATATTCAATCAAGCTATTTGTAAAGTGAGATAGTAAAGTTAAACTTTTTTTTGTACGATTAGGAAGAGGAAACATTCCAGTAATAGTATTTGTATAAAGACGGAGGACGGCAGCGTCCTGGAGGTCATACCTAACACCGATCACGACGACCGAGTGGTGGATATAACCGAGGACTCAGATGAGAAAGGAGAAGGCGCTCCGTCGTCGTCAAAACAATCCAAAGAAGAAGATCCAAAGTCTACTCCCAGTAAGGGGGAGAACTCCAAATCTACCACAAAAACAAACAATAAAGATAGTAAAACTAGTGCTTCCAATGCTCAGGCAGATGATGTTAAACCTAACCTTGATAAACTGAAGGAGCAGATCAACAAGTTACGGACATTTAAAGAGAAAGGTGTACAGACAGAGGGTAGGGAGGAAACAAAGGAGGAGAAGAGCTATAAGGAACGGTTACTCGCCTTCCAGAAAAACGTCCACGAACTGCTGAGGAGGATCGACCCCAGTAAAGAGTGGGGGGGATCCGAGAATATAGAGGACGTTATTGTGCAAATGATGAAACACATCGAACCAAACGGGGAGGAGAACGATTCAGATTGATGCGTAAATGTTGGTGGATTGGAGAATATGGCGACAGTCACTGAACCAAATAGTGATTCAGATTTAGGCTTAGATACACAAGTTGGTGGATCTAAGATTATAGTGTGACAATCATTGAACTAAATGTGACTCAGATTAAACCTTAGATATCGGCGATTCTGAGAATATAGTGGCAGTAATTTGTTCAGTTGGTGAAACACATGGAAACTTGTTGGTTAGGAGACCCATTCACATTGAACTTTTGGTCATAGAGGATGTACAATCATGTACATGTTTTAGGAATAGGTATTAGATAGATTGATAAAACTGATACATATCATCAAATATAAATATACAAGGGGACTTTCCTAGTTTTTAATATTATTTTTTATGCCAGACTTTGAATTTAAGATATAACTTTGAGATTATTCACATCGATAACTGCCGCACTATCAGTACCTGATTAAAAACTGACAGGGAGTCAGATACGTATGTTTTTTTTCACACTTTCAACGAACAGAACTCTATGGCACATGTACATGTATATAATGTATGAGACACTATTACATACAGAATGTAAGGGTTTGTGCCCGATTTCCACACATTTGAATTTCAGGTATTGAAAAAATGTGTGCAAAACGGGAATTGATCCAGGTAAGATAATTACTTAATTGCTATAGCCTATATCATAGTTGTGAATTAGGAGAAAGAGAATCTACGGAAAGAATAGGTAGAAATGATGATTAAATTTTGCATTTGATATTTTGATTTCAATTTGTAATTTCTTAATAAGAAAAAAACTATGTTAAAACATTAAAAATATCAAAATATCAAAAATTACTAGTACAATTATGATTATATTCATATGATATCTCTCTCAATGAAGATTGAATTCATTTACTAATTCATTTTATCTTTATGAAATTGAAAAAAAAATGGTTGAACTGCGATACACTTGTAAGGATATCTGTCTGAATAAATCAACTTCATCTTCATTTGGGTTGGACAGTCAAGTTAAATTTTCAAAATTTATTCTTTTAAATATATATTATAATGCATTTGTAAAAATCATGTAATTCCAGGTAAATCCCAGTCAGAGATCAGACTATAATTGCTATCAAAACATATTTAACACCTATTGTTCTATACCTAATTATCAAATGTGTGCAAAACGGGAACACACCAAAATAAACATTACTGTTCGGATATTTTATTAATTTCACTGGGATTTTTTGCTGTGTATTTACAAGTAAGAGTTTGTAGAAACATATAATTTTAATATGTTAACAAGGAAACATTATATGATGTCTTTATTTTACGAGTGATTTGATATACATGTACATGTATGTGTGTGAAATTTATTTGTTACCTACAAAATGAGTCATGAACAGATTTTATAATGATATGAAGAACTGAATCAGTTTTGTATTTTGACTGTTGTATACTGTATAATAAAGGTGTATTCCTAACAAACTTTAATATATTTAAATCTACTGTACATGTATATTTTTTAATACAATTCTCAGGGAGGATAAATACACAGCATCCATTACACTAGTTTATAAGAATTAGTATGTTTTGTCATAATGTGTTGAGGTATTTTACATTGCTTAAGTTCCATTCCAAAACCCAAATATATTTTTTCATTTTTATTATTTTCTTGGATAAATACAGAGGAATAGTCTATATTTCTTGTCATTAACTACATGTAAGATACATGAAAATTCTGAGAAGTTCTGGAAATGATAAACAGGCTTCACTCATTAAATCACAAATGCAATTGGAGCCTACAAGTTGTTGTAATTCTTGGTGAAACAGAATTTTAAACTATGTCACATTTACTACATGTATCTTTAACAGGTTAGTGAAATGGTCACCAGTAAAAACAAATGCTAATATATTTCTGTTACACTGTTAACTTCACTTAATGAATGGTCTTTCCTTTCTTAAACTTATAAAACCTGGTATTTGATTTGGCATGTCTTTAAACATTTTACCCTATGGCTCCATGCTGTTTTATGAATTGATGTTTACAGCGTATCAGCTCGGGAGTTATCTGAAAGGTGTTGTTACTAGATCCTATCCCATGATATATGTACATATAATATTTTATTTTGCGGGGACTCAATTTTCTTGGGTATTTTAGCCTTACATCTACAATCTGAATGAATAAGGATTTATTGCTTATATCTTTCATAATGAAAGAATTGTGCATGAATTGACATCCCAGGAATTAAAATAATTCTTAAATACTGTGCAAAAAAAAAAAAAAAAAGAATCTTGCCAATGTGTTTTCTAAAACTGAATTTTGAGAGTTTATTGTGTGTGTGATAAAGATTTAATATCATAGGATGAAGAAGTTTATATATGCACTTTGGTCACATTATCTTCATGCATTTTATTTGTTTTGTAAATAGATGAATGTTATGTATTTGGCACAAATGAATTATTCCAATTCATATTAGACTTTATTTTGTCATAGTCAAGTTGTTTTGATACCAGCTATGTTTGTTTAAAATCTTAGAAGTAAGAGTAGAGTATGAACCTCAAAAATTAGAATCAGGTCAATCAAGAAGTCATTGGATTCATTTAAAGGAGATGATAACGACAGTAACTGATTTACAGAAGAACTGTGCTGACATTCATTAGACTTTGTATTAAATACTAGGTTAACTACATTTCTAGTCATGAAACAAAGTGTATCACCCACAACAAAATGTATCACCCACAACAAAGTGTATCACCCACAACAAAATGTATCACCCACAACAAAATGTATCATCCACAACAAAGTGTATCACCGACAACAAAGTGTATCACACACAACAAAATGTATCACCCACAACAAAGTGTATCACCCACAACAAAATGTATCACAACAAAATGTATCACCCACAACAAAGTGTATCACCCACAAAAAAGTGTATCACCCATAACAAAGTGTATCACCCACAACAAAATGTATCACCCACAACAAAATGTATCACAACAAAGTGTATCACCCACAGCAAAATGTAACACCCACAACAAAATGTATCACCCACAACAAAATGTATCACAACAAAATGTATCACCCACAACAAAATGTATCACAACAAAGTGTATCATCCACAAAAAAGTGTATCACCCACAACAAATTGTATCACCCACAACAAAATGTATCACAACAAAGTGTATCACCCACAACAAAGTGTATCATCAACAACAAAATGTATCACCTACAACAAAGTGTATCACCCACAACAAAATGTATCACCCACAACAAAATGTATCACCTACAACAAAGTTTATCAGTCACAACAAAATGTAACACCCACAACAAAGTGTATCACCTACAACAAAGTTTATCAGTCACAACAAAATGTAACACCCACAACAAAGTGTATCACCTACAACAAACTTATCAGTCACATTAAAATGAAGTTTTGTTGGGGAGATTTTGCATCTTTTTAATTTTCTGTCAGAAAGGGTTCATAAATTATTTATCCTTTAACATTCCCTAATTCTAGTGTTTCCCCTGTAAATCTAGTCATGTGGTACTATCTATGTATAGACATTTGTATTTGTTCCTTAAGTTCACACTAAGTACATATGTCCTTGTATATTCTTTAATTCATACTTTGTAGGAAATTTAGATTGTTTCAGACAGCAGAGTATATTTGTATGACCCTAATTTAATAAGGTTTAATACACCAAGCATTTATTTGCTAACTTTATGTTTATATTTGTACTAAAACTTGTTGTATATAATAATTTCAAGTTTGTACATTTGAATATAAGCAAACTTGATTTATACAGAGAATATGGTAGTGATATATCATAATATAACTGTGGAATCATTTTATATTGTGGGGGTCAATGGTCATGGGCAAGCAAAATTTTACTGGTGTCACGGGGACTTAATTTTGTGGGTAACTCTTTATACAGAAGATTCAAAACATTGAGAAAATATTCGTTCATAGGGAATTTTGTGGGTAAGAGTGACCACAAAATCCTCGTACATTGATCCCCCAAGAATGATGATAGCACAGTGCCTTGTCTTGAAGAGATAACTCTTTATATGGTTGAAGGTTTAGTTGTTAATGTGTGATATTGTCAAAAGATGTTACTTTAAAAATCACATATTTTCTATTGTTTAGTGTAAAAAGAACTTTGAATGGATGTCCTAAATGAATTATTAAAATTTCTAACTTCAGTTACTGTATGTTTGTCTACCATTTCTCAATTTTTTCTTGACTTCAGTATAATCAAAGATGGTAGCAATTTGCATTGTATGTGCTATGTATCACTTGTATATACTTTAAAAGTACTGAAATGATGCACACTGAGATGTGAAATTTTATTTTCATTTTACTAGCAAATTATAGAGTTGTTATATGATCCATTAAAGCCTTTTAATACCAAACATTGTGTTTGTGAGCAAGATATGCTAGCAACATGAGTAAGATCTGCCAGCAACATGTGCAAGATCTGGCAACAGGTGCAAGATCTGGCAACATGTGCAAAATATGGCAGCAACATGAGTAAGATCTGGCAGGTCAGATGCTTCTTGATGGAAGAATTGAATTTTTGAGGCTTTAAACTTAAGATACATGATCAACAAATTATGTTTGATATCATTTGATAACAGTTTTGAAGTGGAGGTACTTGGCCAAACTCACTAAAATTGTACCCCTGCCATTGGCCTTGAACATGCTGAAATGACCTTTGGTCAAGGCTGTGAGATGCTTTAAACTCAGTTATGAACATCCAATATTCATCCATTGGAGAGTTATGAACAGGATACAATTTTGCTTTTTTGCTGCCAAAAACCCTTAACCATATTAAAATGACTTTGGGTCAAGACACATCCTCAAGTCATAATGAAATACGAAGATAACCAACGGTATTCAAGCTCAAAAGTCCATTGAAATGATACAAATTGGGAGCAGAGCAAACACGAACCTCTAAAAATATCAGAAGTGGGATCAGGTGCCATGGAAGAGTAAGCATCCCCTGTTGACCTGTCACACCCACTGTGTGCTTCTTGTCATAATTGGGAAAAGGAAAAATCCATGTCAATTCAGTTTGAAAATAATTAGCTGCAGAACTGTAGCATTATTGTTTTATATTTCAGTCTTTGCCCATAACACTACAGATCCCATAATGCTAATATCATGCAATTTACAGAGCAAAATTTTCTGCGCACTTTGGGGATGTATTCCCCCACTTTCTAAAAATTGCCGCATTTGACAATCAACTATCTTTCATTCCCTAATTCTAGACATATTCTATAAACAACCTGTATATTTTATCCACCTCCAAACCCTTTATAGTCGTCTCTACAGACCAATAAAATAGTTATGCCATCCGACAAGAAATTCACAAGTGAATTTATTGGACTGTAGAGACAACTATAAAGAGTTAGGGGGTGGATAAAATACACAGGTTAGTTATAGAATTATATCTAGAATTAGGGGATGAAAGGTTGTTGATTAACCAGTGCTGGAAAGTGGTGAAATACATCCCTATAAGTGTGCAGAAAATTTTGTGCCTCAAATTGCACTTTATTTACATAACGGGATCTGTAGCATTACCGTCAAAGACTAAAATATAAAACCATAACGCTACAGTTCTGCAGCTAGAAAATAATGGCCTAACAATTTGTATGAAAAATGTCAGTCAACATTCGATTTAACAATAGATTGTATTTGCAGACAAGGTCATTGTATCAACCATAGAATTTGCAAAATGTTGCTTTTAAATGAGACTGCTGCTATCCTTGTATCATCAATTTATTTGTCAATAGCGTGCCTCATTTTAGAAATTGTTTGTATGTTGAGCAATCTTTTGCATATTGAATCAACTGGGAGTTATGGATCAGACAAAATTTACACCTTTGCCAGAGACCTTGAATTTGCTGGAATGACCTTGGGTCAAGGTTAGGTCATAGGCAATATTTGTGTCAGGTATGAGCTTCTCCAATACAAAGATATGGACCATACACAAATGTACTGTCAGAATGCCAAGATGGTATTTGTTTCATACACTGCATAGAGCTCCCAAACTATGAAGCATGTTTGAAGGGTTTCCAGGAAGGACTACAAAAAGACTACATACAAATGAATTACAATCCTGAACTTTTTAAAATATTTATTTCTGCTGAGAGTATCAGCAAATGCTGGATTTTGACCACATTTTACTCCTCTGGGATAAACCTACATCTTTAATGCTCAGCAGGTTCTCATGAATTTATGCATGTATCAAGTGCATTGTCCATTACAGGAATAAAACTGAAAAATTGTCTCCTTGATATGACTTTATTCAGTTGGGTCTTTATTATTAAAGATAAGATATTTGCCCACTGATGCATTTCTTTTTCCAAAAACAGCACTTGTTTTTTTAATCAGAAATTTACCTGTAGCATACAATTCCTCAAAAGATTCTTAAGTAACTCTCCAAAAAATCTGCTTTACTTCATGAATTATTACACAATGATATCTTGAAATATTTTCATTTATTATTTGCATGTATTTTGATAGAAATAATGGCTCAGGTTTGTGCAGCATTGTTTTTCTCAGCCTCCGCCTTCCTCTGTTGTTCTTTAGCCTGGAATCTGTCCACGATGTTTTTGATGTGGAGGACTTCGTCATCTCTCAGGGAGTGTCTGTATTCTAACATGATATCATTTTCCCGCCATGGTTTCTCAGATAGAACTGCCCTCCGCTGTTGTCGCGCTGTCAATCTACGATCGTTTCCGGTGATCCCTTTCAGATCTTTTCTTCTCTCCCATCTCTCCAGCCATGGGGGAGAATTCAATGGCACCTACAGTCGTGTAATATGAAATATATTTTTTTTTTGTTGTTGATGAAATTGTTATAACAAAAGGCACAATGCTACCAGTCGAGAGTAACCTTGACCCTGCTGTTCTTTATCAGGAGATATTCAAATCAAGATTTTTTTCTCTTTATTCCCATGAATATTTTCTACCCCATATAAGTGCCCCCCCCCCCAACTCCAAGGAGTCATGACTTAAAATTTCACACCAAGGAATATTTATCAGTGTTCTCAGCACATGTCGAAGCTAAGCAGATAAATATAATATTGCTTCAAGTCTGTAAGCTTTATGCACATCTGTTTTTATGGGTTTATTCAACAACATGCTACTGGATAATTTGGTTAAAGAATGTAACTCAAAACTCTTAAAACAAATCAGTTATCAACAATCACTGACCTTGATGTCGTTGACTGGTACGTCTTTTCCTTTGGGGGCAGGGACTTTCTCCATGTTTAAGGGGAACGTGGAATATTCTTGAGGGCAGTCTCGCAGATAAAACAGCTCCGAGTCGAGCCGCTTTTCTGTCTTAAGACACTCTATACTAATGATGTTTGGGTTATAAAGGTCATATTTAATTTCTATACCTAAAAGTAAAATACAACACTTTTATGTTAAGGAAGGTGTATTATTATAAATGTATGTTTATTCCAGTTACTGACAAAATGTTTTATCCTTGACTGTATTAAAGACAGATGTACATAAACTTTATCCCTTGTATTTGAATATAAGGCCTTAATTCAATGAATCTTAATTCTGCAATTCTACAAGAAAACAGAGAGCATGATAGTAATTGTGAACAAGTGTAAAATTTCCTCATTTAGAAAGCAAAGATGTCGAAGACAGAAAATGTCTGTCTACATACCTATATTTGACAAGATAAGCAAAGTGCAGATAGTTCCAAATCTACAAAGATGTATTAGAGTACCTTGACCGTAGATGACATTTCTAAGAGTGAAGTTATGTTGTAGTCCCGCAAACTGCCTCTGGATACAGATCCCAACAAATCGGTTCTCCTTGGTTGGGGAATATTGGTCAGCTACTGTCACAGCTAAGATGCTTCCTAAAATAAAACACAATCATAATCTTAATACACAATAAACGAGGAAAACTCATTTCTTTAGGCCAGGATATAGAATGAATATTTGTATTGATTCAAACAAAATTCAGAAAAACTCATGGATATAGAAGACTGAAAGCAAATATAAAAATTTTCATCAATTACAGTAAATAAATTTTCAGTGTTATTCAACTCCATATTAAATACAAACCAACATAAAATTCTGGTATATTAAGGTTTTGCCTGCGTTTAAACATATCTCGTCTGTGTAACATTTCTAACACATAGTCTCGTCTGGAGACCCTGTCTGTGCGAGGTAGGAAATCCGGGTACTTTTCTCTGTAAAAGAAAACATTGTTAATTGCTTTCATATACAAAATATTCTTCAGAGTTTCCGCACCTTCTAAAGGCTTCATCAGCTGATTCAAATATCCAGTATATTTCTGTTGATCGATAGCAAAAAACATAATGACTGCTTTATTCTCCGTGCAAATCCATTAAAATTAACTTAAAGGCTTAGTATCATGTTTTTTTTTTTTTTTATTGCAGATGCTACTAATAAAAAGATGCTGCTTTAAATTTCGGAGCATATAGTCATTGGCTAAAAAAGCAATGACATAAACCAGGGGCTGACAAATCACATTGCCTGACACCTGGGGCTAGTGAATTTTAGGGGGCAGGCAAGTGAATTTTCAATAAGCATTTGCCTATGGCCAAGTGACAAAATAAGACTTAGCTTTACATCTGGACTGAAATCTAAACTATTTCATCATTTAAGCAGCATTATCTTCATTTGTTTATCCAACGAGTGGTGTACTCTGTATGCAAACCAGTTCAACTAATTTTATTTTAAGTATCATTAAGGACACTGGCAAGGTAATAACAGAAATAAAAGAACTACTAGTACTATGTTTTGTAGTTTCATTTCACAGTTTATGGTTGGGCAAGTGAAAATACAAGTAGGGCAAGTGAACTTAGTCCATGCATTTGCCTGTGGGCATAAAATCTATTTGTCAGCCCCTGCAAGATAACTATGCCATTGATTTTTTGTTTACTTTTAAGAGAACAATCTTTGACTCTCAGTCTCCCACACTCACTTAAATGCATCCACTTCTCTCTGTTGGTTCTGCTTGACTCCTAAATCCAACTGTAATTCCACTACCTCCACCTTCTGTCTTTTTGTTTGATCCTCCCCTTCATTTTGGTAATCTGTTGTGCCATTTTTAACCCGGCGATGTCTGTTGACTGTTCTGTGTAGTAGTGTGTTACTCTGTTGACATCCACTTGTACTGAACACTCTCACATTGTCTGCCAAAAAATAAAAGGAAAAAATGTACTGGAAAAAAGGTACATTTCTTGGTTTTAATACATAATTATCATGCTGAAAAGGAGTAAGTACTGGTTCCATATTATACAGGTTTAATATAAAACACTCCACTTTATAATCTTTGATAACCTTTGTTTATTTTTCTTGAATATGGGGAGTCCTTTGGGTGATATATGGAGATAACAAACTGTATTCAATACAAATCGAGAGCAGAGCAAACATGGGCCTCTAAAAACATCAGAGGTGGGATCAGGTGCCAAGGCGGAGTAAGCATCCCCTGTCAACCAGCTATTTCAAGCTATATAGCTATATAGCTTGAATTGAATTGAAATTGAAATATAGCTAAATCGAGATTGTACTGGACCTGTTTAATAATTTACCAATTCAAGTGACTTGATGTAGTGGCAACCCTGGCATATTTTGTCATATGTTAGGAAGAGGGCTGAAATAGGCTATGCCTGCTGCCCCATCCCATTCACTTTTTTGTGAATAAAATTATGTATAATTAATTATATGTAAATTAAAATTTAAATATTTTGACACCAGTATGAGCCAATGAACATCGATAAGTGTGCCATAAAGTAAACATTAAGCAATTACTATATTTACAGGTGAATATATACATGGGCTGGCAATATTTGCTGAAACAAGGCAGACTTGCTTTAGACAGCATCATGAGCATGAAAGTTCTGACAAACGTGATCTAATTGTGGAGGTAATTCGAGCTACATGATGATGATAGGATTACTTTTTAAAATGCATTTAGTGATATACAGAATAAACTATTTCCAATTATTATTATTTTTTTCTTGCAAAATATCAACATAATACTCACTGATTAAGGTTGAAGTAAAAAGTTTTTTAATTTGTTTCGAGAAAGACATTTTGACGCTTTAAAATTTCAATATCTTCATTGCGTTTTGAGAGGAATAGACATTAAGTTGTACCATAAAATAATAGTAAGAAGTTATTGGGTTTTATTTATACAGTGATTTATTGACGTGGAAATTGAATTTTAAAATTTTCAAATCAAATCAAAACATTTGTTTTTGTCAGAATACGTTTCTACAGACCAGCTTGTCCTTTGACACGAATCCTTTTATTTCGAGTTAATAAGTACCGAAAATGGCGAATGTCATCTCCTATGCCGCTGGGGCTTTCATCACCACAATTTCGCACCCTTTGGGCTACGCCAAAGTCCTAATACAGGTAATAATTACACGCAACATGCACTGAGTAGACACTATATATGATTTCAATATGGGAGCGTCTTTATACCATAAGAAATCTCGATGTTACCTCAAGGAACCCAAACCAGGCCAAACTCCAAAGCCTAACGTTAAGCGAAAGGAGCTCTAGGGAACTTGGATACTTCCCATCGGCAGTCGACACCCACTCCTTCTTGTCACTATGAAGTTTGATACACTTTAGTATTTAACATTTCGAAAATCAGAGTCTTAATCGATGATAAAAAGGTTAAGGGATTTCAACAAGTAATCATGGTCATGTTTTAATAAATCCATTTTTCTGTGTCAGACTGATAAAAAAATTATCATGATATGGTGCTATGATATAAAGCCAGTGATCTGGTTTTTGAAACCCATGGTTAACAAGGTGATTTAGTGAGGAAGCAAGGATGGTATGGGAAAGAAGCAAGAATGCAACGAGAAAAATGTTTGCATGAAGTGGGGGTGCAAGAAAGTGAGAGAGGGAGTTCAGTAGCACTTCTTCGCTCCCTTATATTCCCCCTCCTTCTCAGTAAAGTTGCTAGCTCTCACCATTGCTTACTGTGTAGTAGTACTTGTATTTCTACATTGTTGATTTCAAATTCTTGCTCTAACCTTAAGACAAAGGAGTAATTTGGCACCACCATTATTTTATATACATTCAGAAGTATTCCTGCAATTCTTTTTCAGCTTGGTCATGAACCTTTACTTCCATCGTTATCCAAAGAACTACTGACTCGCAAGGAGAGATGGTACTACCCAAACATCTTCAAATACAGTAAGTCAAATAAATACATGTGGCAAGTTAGTGTCTTTATTATAATATCAGATTTTGTGACACAATACCAGGTCACCTTGAAATCAACAATGTATATCAGATGTGTCATTATTCAAAATTGATCTACAAGCATATCAAAAACTGTACAGTTATATTGTATTATTACCTGTATCCTAAAGATTGGATATTTCCATGAGTTGTGTTGAACAGATAATTTATCTTACATACATGTAATGTCAGTAACTCGTAAGGTCTATATTAGAGATCAGATTTCTTGATAGAGGTACACTGAATGTCAGATATCCTAACTGCACTGTGAGGAACATCCACAACATGATAGGTATATCACAAAATACTTCTGACCACTTTGTGTTTCATCATTTAGTTGGCCACATCAAGAAGAGAGATGGTTTCCTTGGTTTGTGGAGAGGACTAGTGCCACAGTTAACTGAGAGTCTGGTTAGGACATATGTCACACACACCTTGACTGAGGTATTTAACTAACTAACAGAGAGTCTGGTCAGGACGTGTGTCACACACACCTTGACTGAGGTATTTAATTAACTAACAGAGAGTCTGGTTAGGATGTGTGCCATACACACCTTGACTGAAGTATTTAATTAACTAACAGAGAGTCTGGTTAGGATGTGTGTCACACACACCTTGACTGAGGTATTTAACTAACTAACAGAGAGTCTGTTCAGGATGTGTGTCACACACACACCTTGACTCAGGTATTTAACTACTTAAAAGAGAGAGCGGGTTGGGATTAATTACTTTGAAATGTAATTAATTACTTTCAAATACATTGAAAAATTTGTCAATTACTTGCAATTACAATTACATTGATTTTTACAAATGTAATTAATTACTCTCAATTACTTTGAAGAATGTAATTAAATACATTTCAATTACTTTTGTTTCCTTTTCAAAAATCTTGAAGAACAAATACATGTAAATTTAAGGTAGGGGAATATTTAAAATAAATAATGTCAGGTGCCTGTCATGTTTGTGTGTTTCATCAGCATAAGACTTAGTCCTACATGTATTTGTATTTAATTTTATCAATTAATTGACTGCCTTTATGAAATTTGATTAAAAGCAAGTTTTCAAGCGTTTATGAATCAACCATAAAATACTTTCAAATTATTTCAGCTACAGGTAGGCAAGCTAAACATCTTAAATTGCAAATGTTGACAAATAATACTTGTTTTATGTACAATTACTATTTCAGATACGAAATACATACATGTATATAAAGATCCGTTGAAATGTTAAAATAGTAGAACATTCTTAATAGTATTTAGTAAATCAGCTCTAATGGTCATAACTTTGAATTTAAACAAAGCATGGTATAGAATTTTGAAGGGTTGTTTTGACAGCAATTGACAGCTGGGAGTTGAAGGGCAACAAGGCAGGTCTTAATGACACATTAAATTATAATTTTCTATTCTTTTTTTGATAATCAAGCTACAAAAAATTGAAATGTTTTCATGCCTATATTAATATGAGAGGTAGGACAAAATTTTTCTTAAACATTAAACTAGTATTAATTCATTATGTGCATTATAATCATAAAACAAACTAATATTTTTATAAACAAGCCAATATATCAAATTCATTTATTAAGATATAAAAGAGTTTAAGATTTTGAAAAACAGAAGGACTCCTTTGAATCAATTAAAATTACTGTAAAATGTGACTGTGTTGGAAATATTTTCCTATCAAATGCACATAATATGCACTATGTAAAGTAATTTAAATGTAATTGAAAAGTAATTGAAATTACAGGGTATTTTTTCATTGTAATTAATTACACTCAATTACAATTACTTTTATCAATTACCCCATCCCTGAGAGAGAGTCTAGTCAAGACAAAACTTTCATGAGTTTTAGAGAGTATTTTAAGTTTTATTGTGTCTCAGGAGGTTTTAAAGAGAAATTCAAAATCACAGAGGCACTGTACTGGACACCCATAGAACCACTTTACAGGGTACCCATGGAGCCACTGTTCGAGGTACCCATAGAGCCACTCATTCCCTTGCTATTGCAGCTGTAAAGCTTGAAAATAGAAAGATGTTACAGTGAAGGAGTAAGAATAAAGTGAGTGAGAACTAGAGGGCAGCTCAATAACAGAGAGAGAAAGAGAGAGAGAGAGAGAACTAGAGGGCAGCTCAATAACAGAGAGAGAGAGGAGTTATAAGATAGATACCATAGGTTGTTGAGTTCTAGTTTCCTTGCTGTTATATAATATAAACAGAATGAGACCAGAAAAGCAAGCATATACAGTCAAACCTCGTTATCTTGAACTTTAAGGGACCAACTGGCAAGAAAGTACTTCGAGATAGCCGAGGATTTGAGATATCCAGGGAAGAATAGTTGGGACTTCAAAATGACTTCGACATATTCATGGTATTCGAGATATCCATGTTCAAGTTCAACTGTACATATATTGTTATGTTCAGGATGTCTTTCTCACATTGTGTCTCTCATATTGGCGTTGTCGTTCTGTTGCAATGTTTCCTTTGTTCCCTTTCTGTTCCCTCTCCTTTTGAGTGGCAAAGTAAGGAAAGATACAGTTGTAAAGAAATTGTGTATTTCATTTAACGAGGTTGGATCCTGATATTTAAAGTCTTAAACTTTTTTGTCAAGTATATTTTCAGTTTCTACACACATAGCTTAATTAAAAATCAAAACCAAAAATGGGGGTCAATATGCTTCTTTTGGCACTAGAGTACATTTAATATGACCTTTTTGCACTGAAATTTGTGTCTTAATCAAAAATCACATCTTTGACATTTTCCCTCCAATGATTTTATCCAAATAAATCATGGGACAAAATAAATTATTAGTATGTTAGAAAAAAGACACTTTAAGATTGTGACTAAAAAAAAGTTTCAAATTGCTACGCATAATCAATTATTTGACCTTTCTGCACTCAAAAAATGTGATTTTTCTGTCATTAGAAATTTAACAAGCAAGAAAATTATTTTAAAGTCTTAAACTTTTGCTGAATTTCGGTAGATTGATCAAAGTTATCTTATATATTCAGAAAAGAAAAACAAAAGTGGGGGTCTATGATGTAAATTTTTAGATATTACTAAAAAAGTATTAATTTTATTTTAAAATTGGCTGAATCTTTTCCTGGACTTTCAGAATATATTTACTATATTTGTCACATTATAATGAAAGAATTCATAAAAAATAATTTAATAGGTATTTCAGAACCAGCATAAAACATTTCACTGCAAAAAACAGTTCTGTGTGCAACCAGCATGGAAAAATAGGAATCTAAACTTAACAGTACTGTATAGATTTCAAAAGGGAAAAATTGATCATTTTCTCCTGAAAAACCTTCCGCCATAAAATATAGTTCCTTGCTAAATCCTATCTGAATGGAATTTAATCGTGGTTTTTTCATTGGAAATAGTTTAATTTGCATTGTAGAATCCAGATTTAATGTTTGAACTTAGAAATGATGCAGAATTTTATAAATAAAGGTCCAGACCAAAATCTGCCCAAAAGCTCAGGATCGAACCTCCTTAATAATTGAGTTCATGAAAAGTGACATGTCAACAACGAATTGAAAAATACATGTACCGGTATATGCAATTGGTTGTGCAATGGGCATAAAAAGAAATTTTGAAATGACAATAACTGTCCTGTGTTTCACACATTTTGGTACATATAAATTGAAATTCTTAAGACTGTGACTAAATGATGACACTTGTGGATTGTAGGAACTTAAGAAACAGTTTCCAATAGAGGAGGAGGAAACGGGCTCAGAAGTTGTCCTATTTCTAAGACATTTTGGAATTAAGGTAAAAAGATACAGTTTTCCATTAATTTTACAACTAGGATTTAGGCAAATGAAATAATTTTACTTGTATATCATTTTGATCTGCCATACAAATTATTATAATCTTATTTCAGACGTCAAGAGAAGTGACAGCTAAATGTGTTGCCATTTTCTGTAGCCATCCATTTCAAGGTATAAAATATACAAAATATAGGTTTTTGCAAGTCATTCTTAATTTTAATTTTGTGTTTAATACTGCACAGTTACTAGAATATTGTTATGTATTTTTTTTACATCCTTAGTTAACTGATCAGAGGTCAATTAAAAAATCCCTGATCTCTTTATCAATCTGTCAGCAGAGGTTTAACATTGTTATGACCTTAATTTGTTTTCAGAAAAGAATTTTTTTTTACCTTTTTCTACAGAGAGTGATATAAACAAGAATTTTATAAGTCATGATCAGATCTAAATGGAGTTGGCAATGAAATTGGTCATCACAGAATAAATTTGTTGTGAAATATAAATGGATTTGTATTTTTTTTTAAGTTATTGCAATTAGAACCATGGCCCAGTTTATTGGAGAAGAAACCATGTACAAGTAAGGTCTTTTAATTTTATTAAATACAAATCATTAAGTTTACAACATACTAGATAAAATTCTTTTTAAAATTTAAGTTTGTTTTGAAAGTTTACCCTGAGTTTCATTATTCAGAGTTTTGAAATGTAAACTTTCTCTACCAAAACAAGTATTAGCAATAGAAATGATGAATTATTAGGAGAAAATTAATACTATGTTTCTTGTAAAGAGGTGTTCTAAATAAACTGGAACCTGATTAAAATCACATTTTTTTATTTTTAGTAACATATTTTCATCAATATCAGAAATCTACAGAATAGAAGGCTTTTCAGGGTTCTATGCGTGAGTTTTTCTCTCTGTTCAATGACTGTAAAATGTTAATGAAAAGTAGAGCATCTGAAAATGAAATTTAAATGAATCAAATCCATATTTTCAAATAAATTTTCTGTTGAATGTTTGTATCATTTTGTTTTTTAGTGGCCTTGTACCAAGGTTAATAGGAGAAGCCATTACAATATGTCTTATAAACTTCATCTCAGACCTCATCAACGACTATTTGATAGATGACAAGGTAGGAATCTACCCCCACTCCCCCCCCCCCTCCCCCACACATACACCCTGTCCCCAGTCCCGCCCAGATCTAAAAATAGGGAAGGTCGAAAATGGAAATTCAAAATCATTAGGCATATTTTGTGCCTGAATTATTTTCCTGATGTGCATACATGAGCATACCAAACATGTATTACAGTTTATTCAATTAAGGTGCTAATATCAAGATATTTCGCTTGGACATAATACTGTGTTAATATAACCAAGACCCCATTTCTCACATGTTGTTTATTTTACAGGAATATAAATCCTACACAACAGTGGCCTGTAATGTAAGTATTATATCTGAGTGAAGCGAGAGATATAAAAGCAATGAAGTCAGCAAATCTGTAGCCAAATAGTCCATTACCGAAAGTGAACTTTATTGCACTTGGCATCAATCTTACATAATGTGTATTCAAGAAACCCTATAGGTATTATCAATTCATGAAATGACAATCATTCAGTATTAACCTGAAAATTTAATTCTGTCTTTAAACATTGAAGTCAGACATAGAATTATCATGATAATCTCTCATTTTATTTTTTAGTTTGCTGTATCTCAGATCACCTACCCCTTTGTTTTGGTCTCTAGGATCATGTGTGTCAACAACTCAGGGTAAGCAATGTGTATACTGCACATCTCTACTGCCAGCTGCCCTCAGTTTCTTAATAATTAATGCTATGAATAGAACTGTTATTAATTTATGGTTGCAACCCTCTCCCCCTTTTTTTTCATTCTTCTGTATGTGTGTGCCATGTAAAGATAAGGCATTAACCAATAGGGTTATGTTACTATTTACAGATTGGTGGCTGCTTCCTCTCCTTATATGATTGACTATGCACTAGTGTTACTATTTATAGATTGACAGCTGCATCCCTACCATATATTAGTGTTAAATCTAAAGCAAACTAGCATGGCGCGGCACCATGCCCTTTTCTCTCGGCGCCATGCCCTTTTTTCCAGCGCCATGCCCTTTTTTCCTTGCAAAAATAAATAAATGTGCCTTGCAGAGGCAAGATGGACTAGCGGCTTTGTTTATTCAGTGCATGCTGATTAGCCCCTTTGTTTATTTAATGCACGCAAAGGTGTGAATTCAGGACAGGAAATCACTTCTCGCTTGAACGCACACAGCCACCTGGCCAGGTAACATGCCTCAGGCTGTTAGGGTACAAGAGATAACATGAGAAAATATCATTTGATTGCATTGATTATGCAAGAATTAGCCCAATGTCAAAGATAGATAAATTTGTAAATTAAAATGTTACACATTTTAAATCAGGATCGTTTTTTTTTTTAAATTGAAAGTAGAAAAAAACAGAGTTGATGAAGAACTGTGAAAAAATAAAACTGCTGATGAATTAAGTCAACTTACAATGTACAGTACCAAAAAAATAGAATATTATGTGTGAAATGGGCTAGGAAACAACAAAGTATGAAGTGTTTCTTTCAACATGTTCAATGATTCTGTGTTCTAACTTTTTGAGTTGACACCCTGAGGTTCAATGTTTCTAAGCCAGAAAAAAAGTTTTAACCTATTTATATATTATTTCAAGTTTAATTTTTTGGTATGATCAGTTTTCACTTGGTTTTGTTGGTAGATTATTTTCAAAATAAGGAGAATGCCCTCTACATTTATTATCCAAGTACATGTAGCCCCCCCCTTTGCAATTTTGTTCTGTTATTTACCTCATACACAAATAACAATATTAAAGCAAGGGAAAAAAATCATACCCCAAACTAAAATAATTCTTGAGCAAATGACAAAAAGATTCACACCTATTACTTTTTAAGCATAACCTTGATAACCATACATGTACTAATTTCTTGATTAAAAAATTTGAATTTAAATTTTGGCAATAATTGCCCTCTCAGTGTGTATTAAATGAATTAAGCTGACAGATTTATAATTTTTTTTTTAGATACTTGTATAACTAAAGATTTCAGTATTTAATAATAAATTAAGTACATACACATGATAAAGAAAATATTTATAATTTCAAAGACGTTAAAAAGGTGCCCTCATGAAAACTTGTCATGGCGTAAAGTGCCCTTTTGATTATTGGATTACCATGCCCTTTTTAGGGTCTGGATTTAACACTACATATATGGATAACTATGCACTGTGTTTCTATTTATAGATTGGCGGCTGCGTCCCCTCCTTATATGATTTACTACGCAGACTGGCGAGACTGCTGGACCAATCTCAAAAAGACTGTGAGTATTGTAGGTCATAACTCAACTCAAAAGGACAGTGAGTATTGTAGGTCATAACTCGCCTCAAAAAGACAGTGAGTATTGTAGCTCATAACTCGCCTCAAAAAGACTGTGAGCATTGTAGGTCATAACTCGCCTCAAAAGGACAGTGAGTATTGTAGGTCATAACTCGCCTCAAAAAGACTGTGAGTATTGTAGGTCATAACTCAACTCAAAAAGACAGTGAGTATTGTAGGTCATAACTCGCCTCAAAAAGACTGTGAGTATTGTAGGTCATAAATCGCCTCAAAAGGACAGTGAGTATTGTAGGTCATAACTCCCCTCAAAAGGACAGTGAATATTGTTGGTCATAACTCGCCTCAAAAAGACTGTGAGTATTGTAGGTCATAACTCGCCTCAAAAAACTGAGTATTGTAGGTCAAAAAGACTGCAACTACTAGTAGTGTATTCTGCCAATGCTATAATTTATTCATGATTGGAGGTATAGGTAATAGCAAACACATGATTGTATACTTTTCATTCACTATTGTTATAAAGATCAAATAATACTTAAAAATTCATTTCAAAAATTTTAAGATGTTGTAAGCATTGAAATGCCATCTTTGTTTATTTACTGCAGGGTGAGTTGAATCGAGGATCTTCGATGTTCTGGAGGGCATGCCCAGGCCTGGACCGACACAACCAGATGTATAATCCTCCTATCGACTCATACAGGAAATATGCAAGCTTCTAAACGTGAGGGATCAACACAAAAAATTCAAAATAACTGAGCTGGCCTAAAACAAACTCTGTAAAGTAAAGTCTATCTCTGATGCCATTGTTAAGTAGTAATGGTTTTATTGTACAGGAACTGTACTCAGTATTAATACAGGGGGGTATTCAGCAGCCCTCTCTTTGAGACTGTGATGATTTATCAATATCATCAGTTGTGAGATGATTACATAACTGTGTATAATTGTTCATGGATTTTCATTTCTCAAATCAAGATTTCACATGCCAAACTTTGTAGATATTAAAGATCTGTAAGATGATTTTGAACTTATGTTTTGGTGCAGAATTTGGAAATTTGCCTAGACTTAAATTTTTTTTTTCATTAATGATTTAGATTTATGCTTGTATTCAGTTGAAGAATCTGTGAAGATGTATGTTTAGATTTTATTGTTTATTTCTTTCTGATGATTTTACCATTTTTCAACTGAACAAATAATTTTTGCTTCCTAGAGCAGTAGTAAAATGGTTCATTTACAGATTTTTTTGTAACTTGAGCAATTAGTGACATACATGATTTGACTTTTGGTAGTGACAGCTCTTTTATCAATTTGCTTTTTTTCTTACCAGAGTTTCTTAGAAATCTTCTGTTGATTTAAAAATATAAAAGTACAGTGATAAGATTTTTACACAATGATTTTATTATTTATAGTGAACACGTCTGGACTGACATGACTAGGACACAAAATTTGTGTCAGAACGGAGTCAGATTTCTCATTATAAAGAAGATAGAAAACAGTATAATAGGAATGAAGAGAATGGTCTGATTTACAATGAAATAGTGTACAGATGTTGGATTTAACAGTTTTTATTGTATTTTGATTTATGAAATTAAATATATTACATAATATGTATAGGATACTGAGAGTGTATAATGCATAATAGTGTTTTATGGAATACACAAGCACCTGCTATTTTTACAGTTAGAGTTAAGATGGAGTGACCATTCACCTACAAACAAAAATTGATAATTCTTACTTATTTTGAAAAGTTTTCACCTTCAACAACGAAATGTCTCAAAATTTGCATACTTAATTTGTTGGATTTCATTTTTTCTCCTACTGTGAAAATATGTATGACATGTATCATATAGTGTACAATATTTTCTTTTTCTTTAGAAACGTTTCTTGATAGTATTTTATTTCCTGTCCAAGATATTTGTTAGTCTACCTTTTAATCATGACCAATAATAGAAGATCTAATTTGCCTTAAGTAATAAATATGAAAAATTCCGAAAATCATGCATTTATGAAAGATTTAATAATTAAATTTGAAACAGTTTCCTTACTTTGAAAAAATTATTGGATCCTTCCTTGCTGATATTGTAGTGAGAGCTGAATTTAGTAATGCAGTATTTAGTATATTGTCATACATGTATATAAGATTTTATTGTGGAAAAAAAATGTGTGTACTTTTGCAGGAATATTAGAAAAATTATAATTTTTCATAAAAATCATACAAAACTACCAAATTAAGTGCATCTAAAAGTAGTATACTTATAGCATAAATACATTTAAAATGATTAACACTCAATCATTTAGATCATGATATGTATGCAATTGCTCTACTTGATATAAAATAAATTTTAATCCAGAATTATTTTTTTCATGATTTCTTTTTAAAAAGTCTAAACTGAAGGTTTAATATTGGGCTCATTCTTTGTCATTTGGGCTGTGTGTGAAATTCTTTGAAAATGGATGTATCTTAAGATCCCCTTACACAATATTTACCAATTTTATTGCAAGGTATTCTTTGTTCCAAAGCTTCCATTTGCATTGAATGAAAAAATATTTTGATAGTAAAGAGTGATCATACTCGTATATCCAGTAAAGAAAACATATCTTGGAACAGGGCAAAAACATGGACCTCTGGAAGCTCCAGAGGTGGGATCAGGTGCCTAAGAGGAGTAAGCATCCCCTGTCCACCATTCAAACCTTCCATAAGCCCCCTGTATTGATCAGGTAAACAGAGTAATCCATAGTCAAAATGGTATAAAACAATGGCCTAAGAATTGGTGGGAAACGGGTCAGTAAATTACAACCCAACAATAGATTGTATCTGAAAACGAGGTACATATAATTATAATGACTGTGCAATCTGCGAAATGCTGACTTTAAACAAGGAAGTTGAAAACCCAGTATCATCAACTTATTCATTACTATATAAACAGGGAAAATTCATGATTGATATGTTGAAGTTATCCTGTTTGTCATACAGTTTAGTTATTAGTTGATCATTAACGTCTATAGTGGCTAAGTCGGTAAAATATCCAACTATGAGGTAGATAAGACAGACTCTGTGGTGTCTTTTATTTCAACCTCATAGATATATGGAGTTGACGTGAATAAATGAATAAAAACAAGCCCATCCAGAGAATTGTAGTCCCCCGCTTTGGGGTTCTACTTGTTGGGGTTCAGTGATTTATTGTATAAAACTATCTTCTCTGTCCTGTCCTGTCTGTCCATCATGCAAAACAAAACTGACTGTTTTATATTTCTGATGCAATATATTCTGGTGCAAAAGTTACTGCCAAGATTGAAGCTTTAGAAAGTCAAACATGGAGGACTAGGTCATGAGATTTAAAATCATGGTACATTCCAAAAAGTCTGGTCTCAAGTAATGCATAGGGGGAAAATATGAAAGCTCTGTCTGTTCTGATGTAAAAGTTACGACCAAGGTTAACTGTTTTGATAGGTAATTTAAACTTCAAGATCAGAACATCATATATTGGGAAAGGTCTTGTCACAAGTAATGTACATGAAAAAATATGTAAGCCCATTCCTATTAGGTGCAAAAGCTATGGCCAGAGTTTACGTTTGTCATAAGTAGAACAAAATCAGGCACGGAAGTATTGGGTGGGGTGGGGGAGGTCTCCCCCTACTTTTTTCCAAACATGACATTTTACTATTGAAACGTTAATTGATAGGCAGGTCCCCCCCCCCCCCCCATCCCATTTTTGTTGAAGTGTAGTTAAATCATGGTAATTTGGTAATGTATAAATAAAATTCGGTTGTGAAAAGAATTTGAAACCTACCCCCCCCCCTCCCCTAACGAAATAGGATTTTCGAGTTTGAACTACCTTTTTTGTCAAAATTTTTTTTTTCAAGTAAGTTCTCAAATTTTTTCTGGCTGTCCCCCTTTCAAAAACGACACTACGTGCCTGAAACTTCAAGATAAAGATCCCGAGGTAAAAAAAAATACAACTTTCTGAAAGATGTTCTCCCAGGTAATGTAAATTATAAATATGAAAACCATATCTTCTCTCATCCCAAGGTTATGACCAATTAATGTTAATTTTAAAAAATGGGTCAAACATTATGGCCATGAGGTCAGGAATCAGAGGACCTTATGAAGGGTCTTCTCACAGGTAATGCAAGTGTGAAATACAAGAGCCATATATCTACGATTCATTCTAAAGTAATACGACCCAATGATGGGTTGTTTGCTAATAAGGTCATTATAAGGACCATAGAATTTAAATGCTGACTTTAAACGAGGTTGTTGAAATCCCTTTAACATCAACGTATTTGTCAGTGGCCTACATCGGTTTAAAAATTGACCGTAAACGGAGCATGTTCTTTAGTATCGAATAAGTTGGGAGATATTATAAGCACCATATGCAGATGATAGTAGAATATTACTACATAAATGAAGGTAGATGATGGAAAAGTTGAAGTCATTTAGTTTGTCATACAGTTTAGTTGTTAGATGGTCCTTATCGTCTATAGTCAGTAAAACATCCAAATATGAAACAGATGTGGCTGATCCTGTAGTGTCTATTATTTCGAATTCACTGGGATACATATCAAGTCGACATACTATGGTTAATTAGTATTTAACGTCGTCCATATATCGAAATATTGAAAGTTGGAATTCCACTGGGTAAAAATTCTAATTCCTTAAAAACACTCCACAAACAAATACTCTAAAGATGATATTAAGAAATTGCTCGAGTTCCCCTTTGACAATATCTATGTACGCTTTGGAGATCAATTCTTCCGAAAATCTGCTGGAAAAATCGAATGGATTCTAATTGCGCCTCTTTATCCTATGAAGCAGAATTCATTCAAAACTTTTTCATGAAAAGAAAAAAAAAGTTTATTTTTGTGACCTTCTATGCGACATTTACTGTATACATATTGAGGACGTAGAATCAATTTACAATATTCTTTTTCATTCATATGTTTGTTGTTCTCATACATCACTCTGTATTCGAAATAAAACGCATCACAGAGTCTGACAGATCTGTTTCATCTGTAGGTGTTTTACTAGATATTAATACACTGATGCCAAACTAACAACAAAAATTATGATAAACGTGATGACTTCAACATTTCTATCGTCAATATCCCTTATTTATGTAGCAATATACTATTATCACCTGGATATGGTATTTATTTCTCCTAATGGAGTTGATACGCAAGGCTTGTTCTGCATATTAATATTTTTTAATTTTCACGAATTCAATGGATCTATGGTCGATAAAATGACATTGTTTGCAAGTACAACAGGTCTTTATATCGAACATGACTGAAGGTTTTTATTATAAATTGTTAGGCCATTATAGTAAAAGGAACTCACTATAGCTATTACCGGGCAAAGGGGATGCTTACACCTCCATGGCACCTGAACCTACCTTTGGTGGTCTTTGTTTGAACTCAGTTCGTATTCCGAGCATAAGCACTGTTTGTTATCTTAATGAACATTTCATGTGACAAATGGTTCAAGAAAATATTAATCCAAATACTGCTTGCTGAAACATTTTTTCACCAACCTTGCAAATAAGCATCAAAATTTATTTTAAAGATTTAAATTTGTTGAAAGCATTAACTTGGGATTTTAAAAGACTCTAGAAGATAGTCAAAGTTCAACTCAAAAGATTGTTATGAAATGATATATGTCATATCCTTAGGCACAGGCTTAGCTTAAATGATGTCATATACTTAGGCATGCAATTAACTTTAAAAAAGATGTCTGTATTGACAATTCGTAAGTAGGTCAAGTAATGTACTTCCAAAAAAAAAATTGTGTTTGATGCTTTTATCCACAAAATATAGAATATAGGATTATAAAACTTAGTCAGTATATCTTAGAGTCTCTGGATGTGACAAATACAAGTAGGTCACAGAGCCACATGTTTTGAAATTGATAGCCTATCAATTCAAATTTTTTTTAGATGTGTATTTTGCACATTATAAGAATAAGTGTAATCAACCATGTCTGTTTATTTATCTCGTGAATGATGTAAAATATAGAATGCTTTTAATTATTATGGTATGGTATGACTCAGGTTAACAAAAAACCATGAAGATTTATTGAAAACAGTTTCAAAACTAGAATCGGAGAGAATGGTGTGTCCGTTTTGGTACTGGGGATTATAAATCCAAAAAGCAAAACCCATATAAGCATTTATCTATTTTATTTTCTTTTTGAATTTATGTTGCATTTAAAAAGATAAAGAGTCTTATCTATAACACGTCTGACATATACTGTAAGGTATGTTAGTCATGTTTCAGTGAAATCTACAAGGCGTGTTAATTAAAATTACATCAGACATATGCATAAAGAATTAAAGACGATGCAATGACATTTCATTATACCTCTATGTACAACATAAAATTCATCCAAATTCGTGGTTTTCATAATTATAAACAGTATTACATAATTATAACCTAAATTTAGTATTTTTTTTTTATTGATTTAAAGCAGAACCCATCTTAATGATAGAGTAAATTAACCATTAAAGAAAAATGAACCAATAAAGAACCCTAAATTTTTTCATCACAGTTACATTTGTAAGAGAAAGAAATAATCTTTAATCTATTTTTATCACTGAAATTTTGAAAGTATTTTATTTAATCAAAGCTTCACTTCCTGTTACTCTACCAAGACAGAGCTTTTAACAACCTCATTTAAGGCTATCCGCTCCTCAGCCAGGACCAGTAACTCATAAAATTATTATTCATTAATAATAAATAAGTCTTGAAATGAATCATGAAATGTAAATATTTTCATGTAACAATTTACATTCAATACATCTTGATATGATTCGAGGTTTTGAAGTCTTTGAAATGGTCTTGTAAAAAGTTGACATCTTCACCCCATAAAAGTACAAAAATGAATACATTTTTTTGGAAATCAAATTTCCTTTAATCGTGCCTTGTTTACCAATACTTATTAGTATGGAATAAAATTGAAAGTGATCTTTGATGTCTTGCAGTGATAACACAAGCTCTTTACACAGTATTATATAACAACTGAAGGTAATACTGTATATATACAGGGTTATTTTCGCCCCGTGTTATTTTCGCCCTCTCATACTTGCAATTTTCCCCCCTTTGCTGTTCTTAAGAAAAGATTTATAAAGATTTTTCCTATGTACTCCTATGTACAACTTTGATCGCCCATTGTGGCCCCACCCTACCCCCGGGGGTCATGATTTGAACAAACTTGAATCTACACTACCTGAGGATGCTTCCATATAAATATGAACAATCATGGCTTTTCTGTTCTTGAGAAGAAGATTTTTAAAAATTTTCCTATATATTCCTATGTAAAACTTTGATCACCCATTGTGGCCCTATCCTACCCCTTGGGGTCATGATTTGAACAAACTTGAATCTACACTACCTGAAGATGCTTCCATATTAATATGAGCAATCATGGCTTTGCTGTTCTTAAGAAGACGATTTTTGAAGATTTTTCCTTTATATTCCTATGTATAACTCTCATCGCCCATTGTAGCCCCAACATACCCCCGGGGGTCATGATTTGAACAAACTTGAATCTACACTACCTGAGGATGCTTCCATTTAAGTTTCATATTTTCAAGCATAGTGCTTCTTGAGAAGAAGATTTTTTTAAAGAATGCCATTAATTTTTCACGAATTCATAATCATCTTCCCTTGGAAGAAGGCGTGGCCCTTCATTTGAACAAACTTGAATCCCCATTACCCAAGGATACTTTGTGGCAATATTGGTTGAAATTGGCCCAGTGGTTCTTGAGAAGAAGATGAACATGTGAAAAGTTTATGACAACGACGACGGCAGACAACGGACAAATTTCGATCAGAAAAGCTAACTTGAGCCTAGCTTCGGCTCAGGTGAGCTAAAAAAGAGGTACCCCATATGAGTATGGTGAAAAAATTCACACTTGAATGATCAAAAAGCTTTTAATTAAATGTAATTATTCATCAATTATATACATTGGTTTATAATTCAGGTTGACTTGTTAAAATAGTACATTTATACAAGAAAAGTTATTTTATATCCTTTTCCTTGTGTCTCTTTATTGGATGAGATGCCTATGTGACGGTACATATTGTCGTTGGCGACAATATGTACCTACCCTCACTGCACATATTGTCGTCCATCAGCACATAATGTCGCCGGCGACAATATGTACCGAGACAAGCCTTATTTTCCTCCTGCATAATGGACGACAAAATGTACAGTCAAGCACCAGCACATATTGTCGTCGGCGCTGATATGTACAGTCAAGGTCGATATATATTTTCGTCGATACACACACAGAGGGAGACAGACAGCTTTTCTCGCATTATTGTAGGGAGAAAACTTTTTGGTCAGAAAATTGTGTCCAGGATTGATGTACATCACTATGATATGTCAAGATACCTTAATTCTTGAGATATCTGATGAACGTGAAATTTGTAGTGAATAGTGCCCCCCTCCCCCCCCCCCCGACTGAAAATGTATGGTTGTGCCCCCTCAAAGTGAAATTGCTTCCTACGGGCCTGTATATACTTGGAGATTGAATACAATTATTAGTTTTTTTATGTTCAGTAGTAATGATTATTTGGAGATTATTTTTTGCGTTGTTCTTATATTCCATCACGTGTCGATATAATTGGTGTTGGGGTTGACATTTTTAGATCACCTGGACTGGAATTCAAGTGAGCTTTTCTGATCACATCTTGTCTGACCGTCCCTCTGTCTGCATCTTTTCACAATTTCACTTCTCCTAAAGAATTATTGGGTCAATTTCAAGCAAACTTGCCACAAAGCATCCTTGGATAAAGGGGATTCAAATTTGTTAAAATGAAGGGCCATGTCCTTTTTCAAGGGAGTGAAAATTTAGTGACATCTTTGAAAAATCTTCCCAAGAACCACTGTGTCAAAAAAGTTGAAACTTATGTGAAAGCTTCATTATGAAGTGTAGATTCAGTTTTATTCAGACCATATCCCTCGGGGGAAGGGTGTGGCTACAATAGGTGATCAAAGTTTTCATAGAATATTAAGAAAAAAATTCTTTCAAAATTTTTTTTCAAGAAGTACTTGGTCAGAAGAGATGATACTTATGCGAAAGCTTCGTTACATAGCGTAAGTTCAAATTTGAGTTGCTGGCACGAAAAAAGATTCCTCACTGCTCAATGACCCTGAGTGTCAAGTATAGATCTAAATTTGCAGCCCTACACCGGCAAGTGGTGACGTCTACATACGAATGAAAAATTCTCGAGATGGACATTATATCAACAAACAAACAAAATCAATTTTGTTCAAATCATGACCCCAGGGATGGGTGATCAAAGTTTTACATAGGAATATATACAGAAAATCTAAAAATACCAGACAGATGTAGCAACGGCACACACCCCACCCCCTCCAGGTGGTTTGATTCTTTCTGCTTTGGTAAATTTTGTTGTTTAACTTGTAGATACTCTCAATTTTGTACACAGGTAAAATTTCATAATTAAATAATATACTTAACATATGCATTAACACACCTTTACATACAAATGACTTTTTAAATTTTTTTGCTTGACAAAAAAATTCTGAACCGCCCGCACCTACCCCCCCCCCCCCCTCTCCGTTCTGAAATTTCTGGATCCACCACTGAGAACAGCAGTAGGACCGTGATTAGTGATGTTTATACGAAAGCATCCTCAGGTAGCGCAGATTCAAGTATCTTCAAATCAAACCGGGCTTAGGGTGGGGCCACATTGGGCGATCGAAGTTTTACATAGGAAGATATGGGAAATTTCTTTAAAATTATCTTCTCAAAAACAGCAAAGCAATGATTAGTCAATGATTAGTCATATTTATATGGATTGATTGATTGATGATTATTGTTCAACGCCGAGTCGGCAGTATTTCAGCCATATTTCGGCGATGAAAAGTGTATATGACCATTTTTGAAGTTTTTGGTTTCTCTGGACATTTTATATGGAGCATTTCCGTGCATTGTCATGCGACATGTTCTGATGGACAACACTATGCGCAGTGAGGGTAGGTACACATTGTCGCCGGCGAAAATATGAACAGGACGACAACATGTACCGTCACAATCATGCTGCATGAAATAGCATTAGAGACAGGTCAGTGTGAATCACACACCAATTACAGTACTGCATTCACAAAACTACCAAATAACAAAAAAAAAAAAAATCTTGAAGCAACAATATCTGTGGGGCAACACTATGTACAGTGAGGGTGAGGCACATAATGTCGCCAGCGACAATATGTAAAAAACGACAATATGTACCGTCACATGCGTATCCATTGAGTATCGTTGGCTGATGATAGCCGAAGGTCTAGTTGTTTCATTGTAAATCTATAAGTTCCGTATATAGGTCGTCTTATAAAGAGAATTTTTTGTAGGCCTGATTAAAACTGCATATAAGCATAAGCGACAATTTGGGGAAGACTTATGATAAATAAGTTTTTTGCCAATACATATTAACCGAAAAGGTTGTCAAGTTACCTTTAGTAAAATGCATTTGCTGTATACCACGCCTATTTAAATTGGAGCACGTGAGTAATAAAATCCTCTGAACACCCCAATCACACTAACTTCAGACTACACTCTTAGATGTAAAATATAAAACGAGTGGCCTTCCACAGTACATACGTATATATCATTTGCATTAGATAGTATTTCCATTGGAAACGCTTAAATTTTCAAAGTAAATTGTGAGCAAATCCCTGAAACTAATGAAAAAATTATCTTTTTGAGATCAACCCCGTCTGTAACAGACATCTCTCCTATTTCCGGAAGATTTGCACAGGAAGTTGCGCTGTACATCAACAGTGGGGTGGTCTGTGATTCCTCTCTGAAGAGGCCTTCTGGTGCCATATTTACTAAGTGGGTGACCCTGAAGATCTGGTAAGTTTGCCAAGGCCTTGTATGCCTGTGAAGAAAAGGGATATAAATAATTAAGCCTTTCGGATAATCAAGTTGTTGCATACCTGTACGAACTGTGGCCCCTTTATTGCATAGTTTATTTTAGCACTAACAACAATACTATAAAATGGGTTTGCTAGCTGATTATTAGGCATATATTTTGTCATCATCCATTCTCAACATTTGTACTCGATCCGAAATTAGATAAAAACATCCCATGCTTGTGATAAAGCTGATATCTGTAAGATTGTAAAATCTTTAATATTTTTAAACTCTATCTTGAATTACCTCTTTAAATATTTTGATTATGCACTGTACTCACTATGTACAGTTTTTATTGGTCAACATACGAGGGCTGTCCGGAAATTATTGAGACATTGTGTATATTCTTCTTTCTAATGAACGTCTTTCGGTGAAAATGTGTATATACGTTTTACAAACATTAATTAATAAAAGCAAGAAATATTTTACAAATATTTAATTTCTTCTTTTCCATGGTATATTAATGTGTCACTGAAAGTGGTACTCGGCGCAGTCACAAAACCAGATATTGAAAATATGTAAAACCAACGTTCAAACTCCCGGTGGACCCATAGTAAGAGCGAAAATAATTCAAATTATGCATGTATATAATTTTTCAATTTAATTTTGACTTCATTTTTGCAAGTTTGTTAGAATTTCCATCAGAAAAAAGGAGATCATTAAAACATTTAAGCGCGGAATAGAAATCTTATGACGCCGACAAAATGAATTTTGACGTCAAGGTGGAGCAGCGAGCATACCTAAACTTTGTGTAGCGCTAGGGAGAACTCTTGTCCAGACTAAACGACCAGCTTAACAATAATAATGCGATAAAATATGTTTAAGGGTTTGTTTTTTCAATTGTAAATATTTTTTTCTTACAAATAATTCAACCAGAGCAAAGAGAGTTCACGGACTAAATAATGTTGACCCGTCTTGCATAAATCGGTACTGCATGATGCTAAGTCAAACCTGTATATGACACTTTATGTTTATTTTACACTGGGGTAGCAACAACAACAGCAAGTTTTATTATGTTTTTTAAAGAATCGTTTAAGAAAAGAGACAGTTTGATTTTTGGAATGTTATATGTGATAACTGAGAAAGAAGAGTAAACGCTTCCCGATCGTTTCGCATAATAAAATATCTCCGGCTGACGTGACGTTAAAATGACGTAGCGATGCTGCTCCAGGTCAATAGACATATGAATGTTTATTATTTCTCCGAAACTTATTTGATTATCTTATTAATTAGAAATTTTGCACATTTGTTTTATTTGTTATTTATAAAATGTTGACGAATTTTCATGAATTAATCTGCGTCCTTTGTGCAGTAAAAGTAATTGTCTCAATAATTTCCGAACAGCCCTCGTATAAAAATGTGCAGTTTTGATAGGTCCCCGAACAAATTTGGACACTTTTGCATTACTACTCTGGAGACTTTGACTAATCATTGTGTACAGTTTTGATTGGACATTGCACTCATTATGTACATAGTTTAATTTCCTCTTTGAAGACATGGATTGAAACCATACTCACTTTGCACAATTTTATGTAAACTTTTGAAATACCTCTCTGGTCACTTTGATTGGACACCTCATCATGATCCATTGAACCGTTTCATAACATGGCGGCGTGGTTAATGAACCGTGATATGTATAGTAACTCAGGTCATAAGGAAGGATTTCATTCAGAGAAATAGCCTGTCCGATATCCGCTGTAAACGTCTTATTCATTTCTGTAAATATAAAATTAAATTAAGGCTCTCGTAAACTTAAACGCTACCTCGGTGCATATATTCTTTAATGAAGAATACATGCAAAGAAGACTGTAAACACCAAATAAGTTATTTTTGCTGCAATTATAGTAAACTGCAGAATTATTCGAATAATGAATTTTACAGATCTTAAGTTTCGTAAGTAAGTTCTTTGGTCGATACAATGACCTTGTCAGCAAATACAATCTATCATTAAGTCAAATGCTGACTGACGTTTTTCATCCTAATTGTTAGGCCATTATTTACACACTGAATTGTTGACGGATTTTTCCTTTATTTCCGATCATGGCAAGGAGCACACGGCGGGTGTGACCGGTCGGCAGGGGATGCTCACTCCTCCATGGCACCTGATCCCACTTCTAATGTCGTAGAGGTCCGTGTTTGCTCTTCTCCAAAATTTGTATTGTTTAATGGATTTTTGAGCTTGAATACTGTTCGTTATCTCCATATATTTCATCTTAAAAGTATTCCTGATAGATGAAAATGGTTGTTGGTAATTTAGGAGAAAGCAGTGCTTCAATAAAATCATTCACTGTACATGACACTTTGTACAGAACTTGTTTAACAATAAATATAGTGATACTCTGTGTAACAAATGAATGTTCTGATTTATTGATACACATACATGTAAGAAAGCAGAGGAAATTCCTGCAATTCGTTATGAGATACTTTGCTTAATCAGGCTCTAAGTTAGAACTGTAATGTAGTCTCCCGATAGTTGAAGAATCGGTCTTGCAATATGTTTGGCCTTGACCTGATTCGACGTTTTCTTTAAACATAAGGCTATCACAGACACTTAGGGGTTGCTCCCCCTCTTCATTTTTTCTTTTTTTTAAATTTGGGGTCGACACACCCTTTTCCCGTTTTTGTATTCTAATATGGACTACCTAATATCGATAATATAACCCTTTTGTCTCAATAAGCTGTTTTTAAATATATCGTTTCCGACTGAAATTTTCATGTATCAGTCGAAAACGACATATTTAAAAACAGGTTATTGAGACAAAAAGGTTACATTATCGATATCAGGTAGTGTGGGGTCCAGCCCACAAGTGCCTGTGAAGGCTATTATTGAGAGTTCGCCAGTTATAAAAAATGAAAGCAGACACAAGCTTCATACAAGGAATAAAATGCATACTGGTGCAAAATGCATAGTGATACTTTTCATAATTTTGTTTTATGCATAAAAAAAGTATTATTTCAACAATCCAGCATTCTTAGATTATTTACTTTCAAGAGGCATAAAACTCTTTTAAAAATCAGCTATTTAAAATCGAATGGTTTATTTAGCGAAAAGTTTCAAGACATTTGAACCCATATTTAATCTGATACCTCTGGTATTACGGGTATCATTAGAAATACCAGGAAGAGGTACCCAGGTCTCCTATGATGGGGTTAGAGAGTAGAGTAAATCATTGCTTCAAAGGTGTTTTTTGGCCGCTGAAGAGAATCGAGTTATCTTAAAGCCTTAGGATGAAATGTGTGGAGATAACGAACAGTATTCGAGCTCAAAAGTCCATTAAACATTACGAAATAGGAGCAGAGCAAACACGGACCTCTAAGATATCAGAGGTGGGATCTACATCAAAACACTCTCTCACATAACTTCTCTAAGAGAGGAAGAAGAACAATCAGTAGAGGAACATGTCAACGAAAAAAGTGAATTCCACGAAAAAATGCATCACATTGCGTCTCATTGTACTCAGATTTAGAAAACTGTTTATCATGATTGCTTTAGTCATCGATCTATCTAGAAAAATCAACATGGATAAAAAAAAAATATAATACCCAGCCATTTGAGTTTATTGGCCCACCTCTAAATAAAGAAAAGAACGACGGTTGCCAAGGCTCGTACAGCGAATAAAGCTATCGCATTCGAGTAATACAATATATTCTGCAACATAAAAGCTTTCTTTGCCAGGATAAAAAAGTTGTTGTTATTGATGAGAGACTCAAGTCAAATAAAGAGGCCTGTAAAATTTTGCTTAAGATACCCATTATACAAAAAGCATCTTGCAAAAAATGAAAGTCCTGCCAAACAGAGAAAAGGAACATTAAACAATGAATTTGAACAATTATATCGAACTTCCCAGCTAGCACAAAAACATTTTTAAAAATGTTTTAATCACGTGATTTTGTATGGTTTTTTAAACGTTTTTAAAACATTTCAGCAAAATATTTCAGAAAATGTTATCAGAACATTTAATTAAAATGGTACAAAAACATTTTTCAAAAATGTTTTAATCACGTGATTTTGTATGGTTTTTTAAACGTTTTTAAAATATTTTAGCAAAATGTTTCAGCAAATGTTATCAGAACATTTTCCTAAAATGTAACAAGAACATTTTTGCAAATGTTTTATTCACGTGATTTTGTATGGTTTTTAAAACGTTTTTAAAACATTTTACCCAAATGTCGCAATGGCATCTCTTTCTGAAATGTCACTAGATGTTCTAAATAATGACATGAGAACATCATTTTGTATGATTTTAAGAGCGCTTTTAATACATTTCATCTTATTTTTAGCTCTCAAAAAATAAATCACAACTGAATGAATTCATTTTTTTTTTTTTTTTTTTTACAAATTTTAATACAAACCCTTATGCAATATGCAAAACACATTTTAGTTCCATTTCCAGTACAAGTTCTGAGTTATATTGTTTTAACCCAACAGGTATTTTTAAAGAAAAAATCCATTCACTGAATTTAAAAACAACAGAATCACACAAATCCTTCCCATAAAAAGAATAACCAGGCCTAGATCACTGTTATCAATTACGATCTCGCAAAAAGCATGTATCTACATGTATATGTGTAGGTACCACAGAGCGGCGGATCTAGCTATTATGTAAATGGAATCGCACACATAAACTTCACAAGAAGTCTGTCCTCGGAAAGAATTGAACAAGTCGCTCGATCTTTTCTGTAAAGCAGAACCTGTAAACATGGAGACAATAGTGTTTAAGTCACTCGTCTACTTCAGATATTTAACGTTTAAATGATGAACATTTTTTAATTAAATCATAAAATCACAAGAACTTTTCCCATTTGCATTTATGAAAAGAATTAGAGTTGTTGCTTGTTCATAACTGTAACACAATAATATTATTGTAAGAGCAATGATATTTACGTACAAAAAAAATTGCTTTTGTCATCTAGAGGCGGTTCTTTCAAATGTGGCAATATGAATGGAATTCAAGTCTGTTGCTGGAACTGTCATCTAACAGCAATATAATTTCATGTTTCAAAATTAAGATATTTTGAATTATGATCAACATAAGACAAGGAGGTATATATTTGTTGTTGCCTAAAGTATTCAATTCAAACACATAATAGATTTGTCTTTGCCACACATGTGCATACAAATATACAATGATGTACTGGTAACATAAAGGTTATTTTTAAAAATTATCTTTTGAAATCTCTGATGAAAGTATACTCACAATGGAGATGTTAATAATCCGGTGCTCATTCTCCAGGCTTATATGATGCAAAAATCTTGTTTGAAAATCATGCAGCGACAAGAAAACGCTGTTTACCAGAATTCAAATTTTGGCCTAGATAAGCTGCAAACCACTATACTCTATAACGCGCTGCCCAGCAGGTGAATTGCATAACAAGATTATCTTGACACTGAAACTGACCAGTGAAGCCACTCCTAATCTGCTGTTTTGGAGCTTAAGAAATATGATGCAAACAGGCGAGACGTACCGTCATAAATCAAGCTGTGTTAATTATTGTAAACAGTTTGTTTATTATTTTGTTTTCTTTTTAAAATTAAAGTTTCTTAAATTTATTCAATGAACTTTGTATTGATTACAAGTCTGTGAACTCAGTAAGACTTTTTTTTAAAATGTATTATTGAAAAAAGAAAATACCGGGATACGCAAGTGATCGAGTTGCAGTAATGTCTTCGGAAACTTTTTAAAAGCAATTCTTCATTTAATCTTTATCCTCTATGCCATTTTTTTTTTCAGAAAATTGGGTTAGTCGTGAATATTTTTAAAACATTTTGAAAATTGCATTACAAAATGTTGCATTAATGCTAAATAAAATGTTTTAGTCTTTAGAAGGATAAACGTTAAAGTCAACGTTCTAAAAACATATTTACGACATACTTTGAAAATAAATAAATGCATTAATATTGAAAATGATATAAATGTTTTAAAAACATTTTTAAAATGTTTCTATTAAATGCTGCATAAATTATAAATAAAATGTTTCTGTTGTAGGAGGACAAAACGTTTTGTTAAATGTTTTAAAACATTTTCACGACCAACGCCTGGAAACATTTAAAGATCGTACTATAAGCAGTATGTAGAATGTTTTAAAAATGTTTTAACGACGTTCCTTCAAAATGTTTTAGAAAAGTAACATTACAGTGCTACAGATTAATAGAAAAGGAATGTTTTATATTATGTTTTAAGAACATTTTTATAACGTAATATGAAAGTTTTTAATATATACAAACAAAACATACCTTTCGAATCATTTTTAAAACGTTTCAAAAACATTTTATAGAAATGTTCCCTAAAGATTTTACCTTAACCATTTTGAAAACATTTTAAAAAATGTTTTTAAAATGTTACAATGGGAAAGTAAAATGTTTTAAAAACATTTTAAAAATGTTTACTCTGAAAAGTTTTGAAAAAACCTTTTTATAACTGCAATAAAATGTTTTGAAAATGTTTTGTGCTACCTGGGTCTCTTCAAGAATGGACAATATCAAAAGATAAAGAACACCCCTTTCTTATCAAATGTACCGGTATATAAAAAGGGCGAAAAAGCAAACCAAAAGAAGCAAATAAGCCTTTGATGATCAGAGTTTTCTACATATACCTTCAATTCTCTATTTTTTTTAATATATTGAAAGCCTCGGTCTAGGAGAGACAGTCTCAGGTCAAGACCCTGTTCACAGATTTGTATTTTTTGTATTTTTTTAATCACTGTTCGTTATCTTCACTTTTTTCATCCATGTATTCTAAATTCTTCCTATTCCAACAGCATTCAGACAAACTAACTGTAGTTGACCGTCACGGTAGCTCAGTCGGTAGAGTGCTCTCAATCCGTGATCGGAAGGTCATGAGTTCGAATCTCGGCCGCGACTGACCTAAGTCGATAAAAAATAGGTAGCAACTGTTCTTTCGCCAAGCGCTCGGCACTTTGAAGTGAAAGTTGCGGGTCCTTCGGATGAGACCTTAAAAACCGAGGCCCCGTGTCACGGCAGGCGTTGGCACAATAAAGATCCCGTACTGCTCAATGGCCCTAAGTGCCGAGTAAAGGTCTAAATTTGAAGCCTTTCATCTGTATATGGTGACGTCTGTATATGAGTGAGAAATTCTCGAATGGGACGTTTAACAGCATACAATCAATCAATCAATCAATCAGTCTAGTTCATATTGTTTCAATTTGCTATTGATGTGTCAAAGAAAATGGTCTGGCAAAATATCAACCTCTTTCACATTCTCCCAAACGACTATTAATACATGGAAGCCAGTTCAATTTGCCATGGCAATATTTGCCGATTGGTCTATAACGTCAATGCATGTTATCATTACTTTCGTATATTTTTAAAAATAAGTTTTTATGACAGACTTTGAGAAAAGAAAGCATGTTTACCATTTTTCGAGTTTGTTTTTTCTTTGTCTATCTTTTTGAAGTATTTCACCATAAGATGACTAAGCCTTGTTGCACTCTTTAGCCTACAATTAGCTACATTCCTACAAGAGTTCTTCTGATGTGTGTAACCACGTCTATTTGATCGACGTCCCTGTAATAATCAAAGAACTATGAGAATTGGAATCAAGGCTGAAATGTCAAAAGTCCATATCATCTTCTATAGTCACAAGCATCTCAGAGTTTCATAAACAAAATCCGAGAACAGAGTTCTTGTTATTATTATTATTTTTTTGGGTGTCTTTAATAAAGATGGAAATTTCCTGAAGCTAATTATTTGTTTACGATTGTCTTCGTATTTCTAAGACAGGTTTAGTCATAAAACACAAATGAATAAATAAATATTATTATTTTAAAAAAAAGAAGAAAAACTGGAAAACAGGTAGGGCAGAAAAAGGGTAGAAGATGTGTCAATTGCTTAATTATTATTTTTGAAAAGACATTAATATCATGGCAAATATAATTTTGAGTCTAATTACCTTTTTATTCTCTTCTATCTGAAACAAAAAAAAAAAAAACAAAAAAAAAAAATATATATATATATAAAATTTGTATTCTACCAATCGTAGTGTTTATATGTCTTAAATAAAACGGAAATAAGTGCACTTTCATGAAAAAAATTATAAGGCATATTTCATTATTGCTAAAATGATCATTTACTTTTAATTAAAGTAATGCAAGAATGACGAGTAATATTTCATAAAATTACATAACATCATATTTCATACATTACATAACCATTATGTGTCAGTTGGCACTAACGTCGCACGTGATATTTTTAAAAGTCGTTATTAAGGTTTTTAAAATGGCTTTTGCTATAAAATCTATTTATAGATATTGTTGAGGGCTGTGTTACCTCCACCATGACTCCAATGACAGCTAGACCCCCAGATCTCGTCATCGCTTCCCGGAAAGTTCTATATCTACTGTTTATAAAAACCAAATGTATCTGAAAGGAGCAAGAAAAGAAAAAAAGTTAGAAATAAAAGTATTCACTGCAGTTGATTATTTTTCTTTATATATTTTTTAATATTCATCCAGCTATATATCATAATTAAACGCATTGCCAAACAGCAACTTTATGAAAATGTAAAGGGTTTTGACTATTAGATTAGTAAGTATAGTAAGTGTAATTTCTTCGGAAATAATAAATATTCTATTTTTTGTATCGACTACCATCATGAAAGATAAGAAAATAATTATGCGATATGTTAAGGAAACAGCGTTGAAGACAAAATTTCTCTATACTCTATGATTTACTCTGATAAAAATTGTCCAAGACTGATAAAGACGTTAAGGTTTAGAATTGTACAAATAATTTTTTTTTTTTGAGTTCATACCTCCATCGGGTAGAAAGACCCATCAAAGGCGTGTTCCGATCCTCGAGTTTCTCTCCTCCCTAGATGGGGGTGTACATCCCTGATGATATACTTTTGCTTTCCCTGGTTAGGGACGTTACACATAACAATCTTGCTGTCTCTATCCACCCTAAAGTGAGGCACAAACCCTATTAATTAAACATACTCGTATATTAGCTTATCAAAATTAATTTTCAAGAACATGGTCGTATATAATTGTAATTTGTCCTATACTATTCAGAAAAAGGAACACACGAAGGTGTGACCGGTCGGCAGGGGATGCTCACTCCTCCATGCGGCACCTGATCACACCTCTGATGTTTCAGAGGTCCGTGCTTGCTCTGCTCCTGATTTGTATTGCTTAAATGGACTTTAAAGCTTAAATACTGTTCGTTATCTCCAAGTATTTCATTCTTAGCTACATGTACGATGAACCATCCGTCGTACTTCACCCGCTTTACAATTTTAACAAAACTCTCATAGAAAAAGTTATTTCGCAAGTTAGTTCGAATAAAGGTATGAATTTTAAATTGATTTTTCATCAATTGAATATAATTAGATTTTTTTTTCTCATCACATATCATCATTCTATGAAAAAGACCTGGTTAATAAAACCAAGTCATTAACAGGTGTATCTTACAAAGAAATTAAAAACATGCAACTTTCAAGTTTTGTTGTATTACAAATAAAAAAAAAATATTTAGAGGATTCAATATATTATTCATTTTTCTGTACCATTTAATAACTATTTTAAAAAAAGGCTGTTATCTTAATTAACAATAAGAAGTATGTGATAATTGGTCTCATAAAACGTTTTTGTTGTCATATTTCACTGTATGGACAGATTAAGTGATTTGTCAAACAGGATATGCAGGGGAAAAGGCAGATTGTGAAGCTTCTAGCATTACAATGGTTTTGTTTTAACAGCTTGCTAAATTACATCGCATTTCAGGAATCAAAAGGAAAAGAAAGTGAAATCGAAGAAACCTTATTCTACTGCAGTATATCTGAATAAAAAAAACCCCTAAAAATATAATGCATACAATTTGGGATATTTGTAGTTAGCAGTGGTACAATGTGTAAGGTCCGTTAAAGAGAATAAAAATACCCAAATGATCTATCTAGACAATAACTGTATTACATCAGCGGGTTATAATAGAATGATAGATGTTAGAATATGAAAACTGAGCAACAAATAGAGACAACACATTTATTTGACAGCTTTGCTTATTAGCAAAGTGTTCATACCTTCTGCTTATAATATTGTAGTTTTTCCCAGACAAGCCAAACAAATATCTCTGTGAATGGGTGGAACATCGACTCTGTCAAAACACATACCTCTGTGAATGAGTTGAACATCGACTCTGTCACAGAACTTGGAGAACTGGAGTGGTCCATGTGGTACGTAACGTGTTACGTCGGTGATTATATTAACCGGGGACTGACGAAAAGAGGAACACCTTCCCCAGCATGGAGTGACGCGGCTCCAAAAATTCGGACCTAATGGAAAACATGTATATTGTAATAAAAATCCATCATATAATACGTTAATTTTATCAAAGATAAATAGGGTATGATTAAAAAAAAACGTTTTTGCTATATACAGTATTTATATTCAAATCACTTGAACTATCCCTCTAAAGCCACAATCTCTTACATTTTTGTTTGGGATGCTAACTTTTTTTTCAAAATGTAAATGAATACAAAAGACTTAATCTATACAACATGAAATTTTAGTGTTTTAAAACTTACCTCGACAGCTATTTCTGTGGTAACTGTATTGAGCTTTTTCACAATTTTCTGTCCGACAATAATCGATAATTTTGACTTTGAACTCATCCCTGCTTTTATATAATTGTCCAGTGGAATACCCCGCCAACAGCACACTTATCAGGCATGCTATACAGAACTCCATGTTTGTACACTCAAGCCTGAGAAGGTGCAGCAGGGCACCACAGAATACAATGACGGAATCCCTCTCTTTTTTATATGTATGTCACATAACAAAAACAGAACAATGCACTGGCGGATGTCAAGTTGCATTAATTGCAGGGTTTTATCTAATTGCATGCTTTTTTGCCCTGCCATAATTAAAATAAGACTAGTATTTCAGAACTGCTCCTTAATTATGCGGTTAACCGTTTAGATTTTACCAAAGCCGGGGTTATGTTTGACATGTTCGAACTGAGACAATATTTGGAAATATAACAGTGCATCAGAATTATCCCCAGCATATTTTCCACACTAAAATACCTATACATTTTTTATGCATCTTTTAATGAGGCTATTAAAATATATATTTTTTGTTTATAATTAGTGAAACGGTATATACCCCTCTTGATTTTTATCGTTTTAATGTTTTCATGAATAATCTTTTGTTTTCGAATTGAATCATATATTTAACAAAGTTAACAGTTATCTCTCACGCAGTCTGACACCAACGAAGTACAAAATGACAAAACACATAAAGACTCATTTGTATATGTATATCATATCTTCTTAGACTATATAAACTGTTCAAAATATTGTTTGTAAAATGAATATTAATAGCATTGCCTTCAAAGCAATTTCAGCAATGAAAATTCAAAATTCAGGGAAACATAATTGAAGGAATGTATAACAAAAAAAAAAAAAAAAAAAAAAAAAAAACACGTTACACGCTTTCTCCTCCTTGGCACCTGATCCCACCTCTGGAATTTCCGGGGGTCGTGCTTTATGCCCTGTTCACAGATTTGTATTGTTTATAGATTTTTTGAGATTGATCACTGTTCATTAGCTTAACCCTTTTCATTGCTATATATTTTTTCATTCATAACAATACAAAAACGGGTATGATAGCAATAATCACTCAGCAGATTATCTAAGACTTATTCTCCAAAGTTGCACAGATATTGTCAATAAGGAACCAAAGCATTTTTAATTATGTGTGTGAAATATATGGAGATAACGAGCAGTATTCAAGCTCAAAAGTCCATTAAACAATACAAAATAGGAGCAGAGCAAACACGGACCTCCAACCATCAGAGGTGGGATCAGGTGCCAAGGAGGAGTGAGCATCCCCTGCCGACCGGTCACACCCGCCGTCTGCTCCTTGTCATGATCGGGAAATAACTGAAAAAATCCGTCGACAATTCAGTGTGTAAATAATGGCCTAACAATTAGTATGAAAAACGTCAGACAGCATTTGACTCACTGATAAATTGTATTTGCTGACAAGGTCATTGTTTCGACCATAGAACTTACAAAATGATGACTTTAAACGAGACTGCTGATATTCTTGTTTCATCAACTTGTTTGTCAATAATTTACCTAGTTTTAGAAATTGTACATACGTAGAGCATGCTCTTGCGTATCGAATCTACTGAGAGATATATACCCCGTATGCAGGTGTTGAAGGTATATTGCTGCATAAGTAAGGAAAGTTGACGATTGAAAGGTTAAAGTCATCACGTTTATCATAAAGCTTGGTTGTTAGATTACCATTAACGTCTTTTTCAAGTAAAATATCCAAATATGAAACAGATGTGTCAGACTCTGTGGTATCTTTTATCTCAAGCTCACCTGGACATAACGTATCGACATAAGAATGGAAACCATTGTTGATTGACAGTACGTCGTCGACATATCTAAATGTCGAGTTGAAGGCCACAGCATGTGTTTTCTTCTTTTCACGTACAAGATTTTGGACAAATTCTGCTTCACATGAATACAAAAAGGTCTGCTAATAACGGGGCGCAATTGGTACCCATGGGAATTCCAATAGATTGTTAGAAGACTGATCTCCAAAAACCACATAGATAATGTGAATCAGAAACTCAAGCATCTTTTTAATGTCAACTTCAGAGTACTTGTGTGTACACTCAGAATGTTTTTTAACAATATAATTTTGTAAATGACAAATGACAATGGAAATAAATAAATGGGTTCCATTTTTATTGAAAAAGCAGCTGTCAATGATATCAAAAAGCCTGGACATTAATTTATCGTGGGGAATGTTTGTGTATAAAGTTGAAAAGTCGTAAGTTTTTAAGCTGTTGATGAAAATAGTTTTCAACAATGTAAGTTTGTAAATGATCATTGACAAGATATGAAAATTTCTAAGTTCCTATTTTATTGAAGAAGCAATTGTCTATGACGTCAAAAGACCGGTCTTTATCGTTTGGAATGATTGCATGAAGTGTTCTAAAGTCAAGTCATTCCTTTGATGCTTTTGATTTTATCAAAATTTTGTGATTTCAAATTTTCTTCTTTGGAGTTTTTGTTTTACTATCCACATTTAACACCACTTCTCAAATATATTGTTGCTCAGTTCTGCTGATAAGTTTATCCTTCACCGCTGTTCATATGCATATTTTAGTGAGAAGTAAAATATAGGCTTGGTAGAACATTGATTAGATTTCGCTATGTAAGTTTGTTTATTTAGAATGTTTATTAAGTTTTGGAATTCAGTACTAATATATGTAAAATTTTAATTTCAATTTGTTTGTTGGAAAAATTAAAAAATTTAAAAGTGACAAATGATTTAGAAGAATCTTTTTCTTAGAGAGTTGGAATGCCACGTAATCAATTTCCTCTAAAAGACAATTGTGATAGTGGGTCTATTAATCAAAGACTATGTTGTTACCTGCTTTGTCAGCTAAAACTTGTAGGTATTGAATTTAATTCTTTAGTACTTCTGAATTACTGAAAACAGAAGGAAAGATGGCCATACATCATTTCCCATCAGTATGATCAGGAAAAACATCCCCAAATACCCTTGTAAATTGTTTTCTTGCATTGTTTCACAGCTGGCTTCGACCATAGTAACCACTGTTTTCAATGTTGTTTAAGATTTTCATTAAGACTTTAAAATTGCCGTTCCATGTTCACTGACCCTCCGGGGAATACGGCTTCAAAATTCGATGAAATTACAGATTTATAAACCTTTTTGCGATTGCAAAGATTGTATAGCTACTTTGAATAATAAATACAAAATAATAATACCACGTCATTTCTATTATTTATAGACATTAATTATACATAATTCAAAACTCGTAAGAAATGCGTGTATAAAGAAAAGCAGAGCGATATTACTGACATGAATATTCTCCAGTAATACAGAGCTGCCTTATTAGATTATACTACGTACAGGTTTGAAGTTTATAACAAATTACAAGACAACAATCACAACAAAATGTCAAGAGAAAAGTGCATTATTTACTTTACAATATAACGTAGCAGAGCCAGCGCTGAATAGCTTAACATGTCAATAATGTACACAAAACAATACTTTAGATTTTTAGCCCCAAATTCAAATGGTTTTACGCTTCTCACAAGCTCGCACTGAAGATAAGGGTCAATGATTTGATTCTGTATTTCACACACAAAATAATTGCGAGAAAATGTCTCTAATAGGCATCGTAATTGATTGGACAGAGATCTTGTCTGTTACCCAGAGATCCACACCGGAAGTTACGTTCTACTTCTACACTTGGATGGTCTATGATTCCTCTCTGTATGGGCCTACGAATTCCCATGGTTTTAAGTCTGTTGCCATGGATATCTGAGACATTACCAAGTGCTTCAAATGCCTGAAAATTAATTTAACACCCAGTGTTAAAAATAGTTTTTGATTATTGTTTGATTCTTAGGGATTAAAATTAGCATTATTATCAATTTATTCACTGATATACCAGAAGCTAGCAAATTGTCAAGCTGTTTTGTTTACTCATATTTTGTATACTAAAAGAAATGCTTATATGATACAAACACCCTAATACTTTTCTTTAGATACCATATTACACATGCTCTTTAAAATTCTTTATTGTATCGAGCTCTTCCCAAAGTTAAATGATCAGGCATGTCAAAGGAGAAAGAATAAAAACGGGGTATTGCTAGAATATGAGAGAAAAAAAGCATTTTAATGTACATCCCCTGATCACTAATACACTCACTTTTCTGGTCACTTTAATGGGACATCTCATTACGATCCACTGAACCGTTTCATAACAAGGTGGTGTAGTCAGTGAACCGTGATACGTATAGAAACTCCAGTCATACGGCAGGACATCACTTAAGGATATTTGTTCTCGAACCTCTACATAGGAATTTTCTATTCTTTCTTCAATACAGAAGATTAAAAAGCAAGAAATTAATCAGGTGGATGTAAATTGTACAGAAATACAGAAATACGAAGCATATTTTGTTTCAAACAAGAGGCTTTATTTTTGCTTAAACCCATATTTTATCTAGAGGTTTTCCTAACAACTCATCCTTATTATTGTATTCTCCTTAAATCAATACCTTTATGTCTAAAAAGAAATTTAACGCAAGAACAGGAAAACATTGAAATCCGCTAAAAGTACATATAAATTTAATTTTATCTAATTTTATCATGTAGCAAATAAATATACCAAAGCAACAAAATACAAGGAGTTATGACTAAACGTCACATTCTCAGAATTTTGTATATCCTTCATCTTAAGTTTAAACTTACTTTTTGAACACGTTATAACTAAGCTTCACTCTTTTAATTGAATCAAAGTCATACCTGCGTTTCTCTCTGGTTTGTGATTTCTTATAATAGTGTAATATTTCTCCATTAAGTAGCTCAAACGCTTGGCACTCTTTGTCCTACAGACGCTTGTATCGGAACAGGAAGCCGCTCGCCATGGAACTCGTCTTTTATATCTGTGAAATCGAGGTCCAAAGGAAAAGTAGGAATTTCTATAGAAATTCAGGTTCTGACTTGTAAACTAAAAGGATATAATAAAATATCATTTCCCATTTACCGTGGTAAAGGTTATTAAGATTTTTTTTAAACATTCAGGAAGTTCACACTTTAATTGTTTTCTAATCCATGGGTGAATTTTTAATTCTTTTTTAAGTGTAAGCCAATTAAATACAACAATGAACTATGCACGGATATAGTTCAGAAATTATAAATCATATAGCTGTTTACAAAAAAGCTTTTAAAAATGTCTTTAAAAAATCTTACCTTCGATTTCTCTTCAATCTGAACAAAGTAGAATAAAATGTTCAATCCACAGTTCATTTTTATTGTACATTTCAATGCATTTAATTATATAGAGGTATAAAAATTTATTTTAGAAAAAAATTAATTAATTGGGAAGTACATATTCAACAATATTATTTCTTCATTAGTGTCAAGAGGTCTAGCTAATTCAATTTTTTTTAGGAAGAAGGAAGTATATATTACGGTGATATTGTATTATACAGAATATAAATTATTAACAATAGACGATAATCCAATTTATTTCTACATAAAGGCAATGCAATGTTGACTTAAGTAGTATAACAGTAGACAATAAATAAAGGACATTCCGACATTTTATATCACTAGCAATTCAAGATGACCTTTTTAATGCTAAATTATTGACATCGATATGGATATGATATATAGTTTCCGAACACTTTGATACTAAATTCATCATTAAAGTCAAGGTAATGTAATGTTTTGTCACTAAGTTCTATACAGTAAGTGGAATTAATTTTTAATGTAAAATTATTGACGACTAATTTCCTAATACATATTAGTTTAATGATGATGCTTGATTTTTAATTGTTGTATTTATTATATTAAAGATTGCACACGAATTCTTACTTACTGAGCTCCATATACATGTTTAAGATTTTGATGCTTGAGTTTTTTATTGTATGAAAAAGGTGAAGATAACGAACAGTGATCGATTTAAAAAAAAATCTACAAACAGGGCATAAAACACGGACCTTCTGAAATTTTAGAGGCGGGATCAAGTACCTAGGAGGAGTAAGCTCCCCTGTTGACCGATCACAATCACCATGAGCCCTATGTATTGATCAGGTAGACGAAGCATTCGGCAGTCAAATTCAGTATAAGAACAAAGGTATTCATACATGTAACAATTGGTATGAAACATGTCAGCAAAGAATACGACCCAGTGATAGGTTATATTTGCTGTATCTATTTTATACATTAGTAGGTGACACACAAATATAGACTTATTTATTGTAAATCTTCGGACTATTTACCTCCACCATTATTGCAATGACTGCCAGTCCCCCGGGCTGTGTCTGGGCTTCCTCTATACTCTCATAGAGGTCATCGTAAAACACCATGTGGGCCTACAATCAGAAATTAATAAAAATCAATAATCTTTGAATTTATTTTGATCAGTTTGTTGCACGTGTAAGGATAGGAATGTTTTAATCTATAACTGACTGTTTGTAAAATGATTTATACAATATATACTGTAAAAGGTGGTTATATAAAAGTCACAGGGACTTCAAATTCGGTTTACAATATCCGTATAAGGAACAAAAGGAAACACTTTCTAAAGGATTCATTAAGGTTTCCATTTAAGCGATCTTCCTTATAAGCGAATTGTTTATATCTGAGATTAACTGTATTTCTAATTACATGTACCTCCATTGCATAAAACTTATTATTTAGTGAATGTTCTGATCCTCGAATCTCCCTCTGCCCCAGATGAATATGGACTTCCTGGAAGACATAGCCTTTATTTCCGCTGTACGGGACGTTCCCGAGTTTGACCTGAGTGGGATTATCAGCCATAAAGTGTGGCGAGTGTCCTAGACAAAAAAGAAAATAAACTCCACTGTTTATGACACTATAAACAGCTGATTTCCTATAAACAGCTGATTTACAGCTGTTTCCTACTACTGACACACTGCCCTGTTTCTCAGCTTTCACGTGTCAAAAAACGTTTATTTGCAATTGACAAGTTCCAATTGACAAGGGAAATTTTACATTCTATATATGGAAAAATCTAATCCTGATAACTATATATGGCTTGTAAAACGTTGCAATATTATACATAATATTTGACTCATATTCGAAACTATTGAATTACAATGATGCGCACTGAAGTGGAAAAAAAAAATTTGTTTGAATGGAACGTTTTGAGCTTTCTTTTGAACTTTGATTGCCACATAATGTCACGCCTATTTCTTCAGAAAGGAAAAAAAAACCCGGTCAAATCGTCCATTCAAATACCTGTAGAACAGGTACTCCATAAATACAATAGCCAATCAGATAGACAGCATACAAAAAAAAAACCGAATAAACACGTGTTCGATCAATACATGGTGTGATAACTTTAATAAACATGATAAATCCATAATATTATGCACATATTAGTTGCAATACGTGAGTTTAACAGAAGCGGAGAGTTTCTAACTATCTCCTAACTTCATAAAATCTTCATATCAGCGAAACTCATGTTGCTAGTTGTAGAGAGTGTGTATCTTAAAACATTTCTACGAATATCTTTCTCGTTTCTAAAGAAATGGGCGTGTCATTATGTAACAATTGACTTTCTATAAGAAAGACCCAAACGTTCCATTCAAAAGAATGTTTTTTACTACTTCATTGCCCATCATCGTATTTTCTTTTTCTTGTGATTTATATTCACGAACTGTTATTAACGTAAATTTGAATTTGTTTAATACGCCGGATCTTATGATTCATATTCGAAAAATGTCTTAAAAAGCTAACTTTAAAAAAAACTTTATTTTAGTTATTTATATTCAAAAATTGTGCATTTGTGATTAATATGCCTTAATATTGTACGAAATATTGTGAGATATATTCTAAAATGAAATAGCTTAAGATAATGAACAGTGACCGATCTAAAAAGAAATTATATTAAAACACTTAATTAGCTAAATTAAAAAAAAACAAACTATAATCAACTTATGTATAGAAACAAAGGCCTAACAACTGTTATAAGGTATGTAAGTCAAAATACAACCCAATGATATGTTGTACTTGCTAACAAGGTCATTATGACCACCATAGAATTTACAAAATGCTGACTTTAAACAAAGGTTGTTGGAATCCCTGTAACATCAACTTATTCGGTTGATCTTGAGTATCGAATCAATTTGGAGACATTAATACCCTATGCAGGTGATAGTGAAATATTACTATATAAATAAGAAATTTGACATTTCGTCAAACAGTTTAGTTGTTAGTTGGTCCTTATCATCTATAGTCAGTAAAACATCTCAATATGATACAGATGTGACAGACTCCTTGGTGTACTTTATTTCGAGTTGAGCAGGATATATCGAGTCAACATAGGAATGGAGGTACCTATTGTTAATTGAGAAAACGTCATCGATATATCTGAGTGTCGAGTTTAGCTTGTTATTTACATGCAAAGACTTGTGATTCACATTCTGAAATCCTGTGTACTACAGGTATCATGTCGCACATGCAAAAGGATGCAAAAGAAGGCAAATCAAAATGTAGATTTCTTTAATAAATTACAAAATCATAGCATATAAATAGAAAGACTGCATTTTAATCGCAAGTTTCATATTACATTTCAATTACAATTTTTAGAATATTGATAACTTTTTCAAAGGATTTTTCACATAAATCACAAGTTTGTTACATATAATTCACATTAACAGTTTCTGTATAAAAACGTTTTAGAATATAAATGTATATATTTTTTAGAATAAAAATCACAATATTTCGAATACGTATTAAAAAAAACCCCATATAAATCACAAGATTTTCTACAAGAATATCAAAGAGTTGGGTCCACTTTATGAATAAAATGGCCCTACCCATATACCAATTATTTGATCATGACTCTATGTCCAATTTCCATCAATATAAATCAGAGACTTTGAGCTTTCTTTCCTAGCAAAAAATCTTCCGAGAGCCTAAGTATTAAAAAACAGGCTATGTGAAAATAAAATGTTCTTGAATTTTGCAGAACGGGTGAACCTTTCGAAAAGAATTAATATAAAAGCCCACCCCTCGATCTAAAAAAAGAACGTTTTATAATTTTCAAGAACAGTTCTTTCAATATATAACTGCATAATCTACGCAAAATACTGAAAAAAAAAACCCAGCTAAAAACTTTTACCATTTTTGAAGATATCTTCAGGATTTTGGAATATGGACACAATTCTTGACGCCATAATACATGGTCTTTTGAGAAAATTTTTAATACATATGCAGTCACTAAGTGTCGTGGTTATATTTGATGTAATATTTTTTGTCAACTAAACACCTTTGATTTTTCTGAAATTCACAGGGCCAAAAAGGCCCTGACTAAACCTTGCTCTTATCGAATATAAATCACAATATTTACGAATTATGAATGACAAGTTTAGGAATCTATAAATCTTAATGAATATAAGGTTCTCGAATATAAATAAGATTTCGAATAAAAATCAAAAGTTTTATAAAAGATAACATAAAACATGTATAATAATGAAACTTAAATGAACACTTTTCTGTCGTTTCTCAATGAAGTATCCCTATTAAAAAAAAGCAACTCACCATTATTCCTAATTTTAGCGCTGATGCGCTCACAAAGATCTAAGAATTTAAGTCCCCTGAAAGGACTATAAGTTGTCTCCTCTGTGTTGATATTTATTGGCGACTGGGAAAGAGAAGAACAATTTCCCCAGCATGGTGTGACCCGGTCCCAAAAATTTGGACCTGCATTTGACAATTACAATTCATTTTAACAAAAATATCTGTTTTTTAATTTAAAATACAATCACGGAGAAAAGAAAAACAACTCCAAGTGATTAAGCCATTTTCAAAATGTCAGATATATTTTAATGATAACCTATTTTCAAAAAAATTGAAAATGTCTTAAAAAAAAATTTGATGATATTCCAAATGTGAATAAATGATTTGTAAAACTAATCCTTGCAACTAATCCAAGAAAACAGAAATTAGACTTGTAGAGGAATTCAAAGAGAAAATTAAGCCTTCCAATTCTCATTCAGATTTTTGAACAAAATTGAAATATGTAAGTATTTCTCTCAAGATCTTTAGCATTATTGATAAAATGCCTCACCTTGGCAGCTATCCCTGTTATAACTGAAGTGAGCTAAATCACAATTTTCCTCCCTGCAGTTCCCGGTGTGTCGGTTTCTGTACATATAGCTAGAATAAATAGATGTTCCCTGCAAAACTGTCACTGTTGTAGATAGATATAAAAGATAAAATAATGATGTCTTACACATACTAGTGAGTAAAATGTACTGAAATCGCGACTGAAGTAAAATTGATTCTTATTGTCCAAGCGAAGATTATTTATACAGTAACATCGCGGATGTCGACATTCGATGTAAATAAGTTGCACTGAATAACTAAAAAAATCAAATCACAACAGGACAACGGTACTACTACAAGATTACACTCAACAGATCTCAGACCGGAACTTATTTTAACCAGTGTCCCATAATACTACGGGAAAACCCCTTGGTCAATTATATGTTTGTCATTCTGGACGTTCATTATATATATAAATAAGTGAATACACAACATTAAATTAGTACTTATGTTCTCATCACAAGCTCTAGTACAAAGATTTTGAAGCAGTCATATGGTTGAATTAATCAGTTGGACAGAATTTTTAAACTAAAAATTGCAAATCAATTTTGGGTTTTTAGTTGAATAAACAATAAAGACTGAAAATGAACATTAAATACTTTACAGCGATATTGATTTTTTATTTAAAACTTGAGATATTATGTAAACTTTATATATATATATATATATATATATATATATATATATATATATATATATATATATATATATATATATATATATATATATATATATATATATATATATATATATATATATATATATACACTAAATTTCTATGATCTTTATGAGGGAATCAGCGTTAAAATAAAAAAATGATAATGCATGTTATAAATATACTGTATACGGGTGAAAAGTTGTTTTTGGCGTATTTTTTCTTGACATCCAATTATTATAAATATCTTTCATCTGTATTTAATAACTTTAAGCAAAAATTATCTACCTAGTTTCCTACTTGCAGATTGAGACCGTGAATAAACGAAAAAGTTGCACTCAACATTATTCTTAAGTATAATAAACGCTCTTACGGAGAAAACACTCGCATTTGTTTTCTGTAGCAAATGACTAAATAAAAATGTAAAGAAATGAAGCAAAAATCTCTTCAGTCATAATCATTGTTTATATTTAATTATGAATGGAAGATTGATATACACATGCATTGGACCATATACTGATTTCTAGGATTTTCCTTTTAGAAGTAATAGTGCTATAATAGAAATCCCCTGAATAGTTTGTAAGATTCATGAGTATACATGTTCTAAAGAAAATGATAAAATTTTCCATATTTATTTTCAAACACGAATAATGCATTTAATTAATGAATCAAAACGTTCGTGCACGAAACAGCCAGAATTTATGGAATGCATTAAGTACTTAATTAATGAACATAAACCCAGTCTGTTTGGTTCAGTTAATTTAGAAATGCACATCATTAATTACTTACAATCCGGAAATGCATAATATTTTCATTCGTGGTTGTCTTTTTTTAATAAGCATAGGTGGAACTACTTTTATTTTTACAATTCTACTTTATTAGATGTACGAACGGGATGTACGGAGATTTCATTTTACTCGAAACAGGATTATTTTGAATAATTTTTTGAATCATTGTTTATTTTAAGACTACGCATATATTGACAACCAAATAAATGGATCCCGTATTCTCTTAATATCTAATTCAGGTACTTGTGCGAATTAAGATACTTTACAGGAAAATAATTATCAGGATGATTATTAGAATATATATGTATATTCCTCAGTGCCATTTTAATTGAAGAACAGTTAATTACAACTCAAAATAGTCTCTTCTAAAATTATCACGTGGAATGGTTGTATGCAGTGTGTCAAAAATGTACATTATGGTTTGATTGATTTTGAAAAAAAATAAAAAAAATTCTAATTTTTTCTTAAAATAACCATGACTTCCTGAATATGTTGCAACTCAGTTCTGCTGAAGCTTCGACTTTAATGCTGTTAACATTTTCTTGGGAAATAAAGATAGAGGTTTTGAAGAATATCTACTGAGATTCGCCTAGTATCTTTGTTTGAAAGGATTTTTATGAAGGTTTGGAATCCAATGGAGTAAAAGTAATTCAGATTTAGTTTGGTTCATGGAAATTATGAAAATATTTCTCAAACTGACAAATGATTTCGAAGAATTTCTTCTTATCACCTGCATATGGGGTGTACATCTCTCAGTTGATTCGATACGCAAGAGCATGCTCTACGTATGAATAATTTCTAAAATGAGGTAAGTTACTGACGAACAAGTTGACGAAACAAGAATATCAACAGTCTTGTTTAAAGTAATCATTTCGTAAGCTCTATGATCGATACAATGACCTTGTCAACAAATACAATTTATCATTAAGTCACATGCTGACTGTCGTTTTTCATACTAATTGTTAAGCAATTATTTACACACTGAATTGTCGACGGATTTTCCCGTTATTTCCCGATCATGACAAAGAAAACACGGCGGGTGTGATCGGTCAGCAAGGGATGCTCACTCCTCCATGGCACCTGCTCCCACCTCTAATATTTTTGGAGATCCGTGTTTGCTCTGCTCCTGATTTGTATTGATCTTCGTTATCTCCATATTTCATATGAAAGAAACTCTGAGTATAAGGATACCAGGTGTAAAATTAAAAATAAAAATTCCTCTTTGCAGTCACAGTTTATATTATCAAGATTCATTGTCGGCCTTTACAAAATTTTCATTTCGACTTCATACTTTTATACATTTTACTGGACTTCATAGATAAGGCGGAATATCTGACGTTTACTACTGTAAACTCATCATAGTTCGTGTGGGATCAATTTTCATGGATTTTGTGGTTCATCCTTATTAACGAAGTTACGTCCCCAGAACTTTGTCAATGTATATCTTCTGTATATGCAAGTTTCGCACGAAATTACAATTCCTTCAATCATTAAAGAATTTGATTGTATTTACCCCAAAGAATTAACGTGATTCCACAGTTAATTTAGCACGTTGCCAAAGCTGTTAAAAGGTATCAATACGCAATGAAATAGCCTGTTTTAGGAAAAATATAGTTATACAACAGTTGTGAAATTAATGAGAAATGTTAAAGCTATTCTTTGTATATTTTAATAGACAAATATAATAACGGATCACCATAAAAGTTTATGTATACTTCAAAGCACACATTATATATTACATAGAAGAACAAATGGACAGTTTCCTTAAACAAATCAAAATAATTTTGTATAACAATGTAATTTGTTTAAACATCATATTTCTTCTGATAAAATGAACTAAATACAATAAAACATGGTTAATAGCTAACACGCTAATAATGAATTGAGAATATCTATCGAAGTGATCTTCATTCCTCGCAGTTTTTAAAACGTTGTGAACTGAACGGATATAACGAATAACGTTTATAACGAATCAAAATTGTTGGTCCCTGGCACTTCGCTGTAAGCTTGTATAACTGTTTACTTTAAATTTTTATTCTATGACCTCTGAACGCAAACAAATAAAAAGAAGGTAACTAAAAGTAAAACAATGATTACAAATAAAAGTTTTCGACAAACTAATGGCAAATTCCTCATGTAGTAAGTCTCCTGTTCATTCTCAGTGGATGTAGAATGTTCCCTGTTTTCAGAAACAAAGGATTCTGACTGACAACCTACACCACGTGACGACTGGCTTTGGATATTCCTCGTAGTGATAGGAAGGTTACTTCTAAGCCTTACTTGTGTATTGTCTCCTCGATCACGTCGAATGTTTTGAGCAGCAACGACATTACTCAAACTATCAGGCATGTTCAACCGATTACGAGAGGAAATACTAGTCGTATTCTCACGACTTCCTGTTTTAGGTTGTTGATACTTTTGAATTGTTTGATTCCCAGAAGTGAGACCAAACAAGGATGTCGACGGTAGATCTGCTTCATATTTTAAGTGGGTATTGTTTTGTTGTTCATCCCCTCCATTTTGCAAACATGGCTGAGATTGTGTATTTTCCGTTGCATTCCTGTTCCGATTTGTGTAGCTAATTGATGGTTCCTCAACTCTTTCTGATGACACCATACAATGTTTATATTGCAATCTTACCAAATCTCTTCTCTCGTACACCTTATCACAGATCTAGTACGGAATAAGAAATACACTTTATGAACTGTAAATAATTTTAAAAATTGGAAACTGTAATTTTTTCACATTTAACAAGGATCACTTTAAAATGTGCTGAATCCTGAAACATTTTCTTTTTTTCTATAAATGTACTTTAAACAATTAGGATAAAGTAAACAAAGACAAAAATAACTACTTACCTTATTCAGAAATTCTAGGATGGGTAACTCTGAATGAAACTCTTCATTCCATCCTTGGTTATCGATATAGTTGACGCACTCCAGAATGTGACTGTTTTCAATTCTGAGTTGTTCACATATGAAATTCTTTTTATTCTTTAATTCATCGGGATCGACATCACATTCATCCATTTTCGTCATTATCACAAATACTGGAATGTCTGAAATTGATAACATATACATACGAATTTATCAGAATATACGCACGTCGTAAGGATCACACTGTTACAGAATGACTTCAAATGTGAAAAGCTTTGTTATATATTTTAATGTTTTTAGCTGTTTTCTCCATATATTTCCTAAGAAACCAAAGTTAGATACATATGGCCTAAAAGTACTGATCTTTGGTGTGTCTTTGCATATTTAGACTTCAAACAATCAGCATACTTATATATAAAAAAGCTCCTATATTGATACTGAAATGATGAACTATTCAGCAGAGATTTACATGGAATAAAACAAAAATTGGGAATGTTTGCATGTTCAAATGATTCATTGTTTTTGATTTTTTTTTTACTTTGCAATATATTCAATATATTCTCATGAAAAACTTTGACTCTTAAGACCCAAACTTACCTCAGGGGCCATAATCTGAACAAATATAAATCTGCTTCAAATTGGAATTCTTGCAAATGAATATAACTAATCATGGAACATTTTAAAAAAAAAAAAAAGAAAAAAAGAAAAATATGTCAAATTTTGATCTCCTTTTGTGGCCCTATTCTATTCCCAACTTCCAACCCCCAATCCCATATATACTCTCATAGAAAACTTGTGGCCCAACGAAACTGCCTGGTCATTCCCGTACGAAACAGTCTTGGTGGCTTAGACACGACACAGGCACGGATTCAGCTTCCAGAAACCCATAGGAATCCTGTTCGTATGTAAAAATGTATAGAAAGCTCTGACAAGAAGTGGTCAAGGCACGAACAGGGCACGGGTATTGGCTGAAATATTTAAATTAGGTCACATGGTTTTCAACAAGAAGCCATAGGGCCTTCACGGTCACCTGAGTATAAAACAACAATCCATAAAGGATCCATAGAGTATAAATAAACTGATAGACAAAGAAAATTCTATTCTCCTGTATATTAGTTTTCCTAAAAATTATATAGAGCAATAGCCACAACTCGTGAATATTCTGTCTCTCTAATAAAGAGTCAATGACTATCTCGCCAAAATAAGGTGTCGCGAAAATTTAGTTATCTACAATACCTGAAGATGCTTCTGTATTGAAATGACTAATCATGGCTTTGTTGTTCTTGAGAAGAAGATTTTGAATTGATCTTTCCTATATATTCCTAACTAAAACTTTAATCACCTGTTGTGTCCCCTCCCTATCCCAGAGGGTCATGATTTGAACAAATTTGAATTAACAATACCCAAGGATGCTTCCATATAAATAAGACAAATCATGATTTTGCTATTCTTGAGATGAAGATTGTTCAAGATTTTTCCTATGTATTTATATGTAAATCCTTGATCGTCCATTGTGGCCCCAAACTATCCCCAGAGTCATGATTGAACAAACTTGAATCTATACTATCTGAGGATGCGTTCATGTAAATATAACCAATCATGGCTTTGCTGTTCATTAGAAAAGAATTTTTTCAAGATTTTTCCTATGTATTTCAACATAAAACTTCCATTGTCCATTGTGGCCCCACCCTACCCCTGGGGATCATGATTTGAACAAACTTGAATCTACACTATCCGAAGATATTTCCCTCCACATAAGTGTCATCCTTCTTGGTCCAGTGGTTCTGGTAAAGATTTTTCCTATGTATTTCTATGTAAAACTTTGATCGTCCATTGTGGCCCCACCCTACCTCTGGGGGTTATATATGATTTTAACAAATTTGAGTCTACACTACCTGAAGATGATTCCATATAAGCTTCACATTACCTTGATCAGTGGTTCTTGAGAAGAAGATTTTTAAAAGATGCCATTTCACTCATCTTAATTTTCTCCCCTTGGAAGAAGGCGTGGCCCTTCATTTGAACAAATTTGAATCATCTCTACGCAAGGATACTTTGTGGCTAGTTTGGTTGAAATTGGCCCAGTGGTTCTTGAGAAGAAGTCGAAAATGTGAAAACTTTACGCACGACGCACACCCGCACGACGACGGACGAAACATTTAGCAATAGGTTTCCTGACTCAGGTGACCTAAAAACAGGTGCCAATTAAAAGCCGTGCTAGTTTCCTTATATGGATTCATAAGTTCTGAAAACCCATGCCAGAAACCCAAGACATTTTTCATAAAATGCAGAAACGAATTTGGGAAACTCGCGTCAGAAAAGCCGCGCGACATACCATATATGGAGTCATTGGATCTGTGCATTCATCTATATCTAGGTCAGGAGAATCTCCCGATGTTTAAAAAAGAAAGATATGAACAAACATGCTTTGTAAAAAGCCGTAAGATATAAATAGATTGACACAAAACCGCCTCACAATCATTCAAATTTTATAAGCTAGAAACCGCCTTCCTGGGGCAAGGATTCCGTACCTACACACGGGTTTCTGTGTGAAAACACTTCATTTTCAGACTCAGATTCCGTGTCCATGTCCCGTACGGCTTTTCAAAATCAGTGCCAAAGCCATATCTAAGCCATGCCTATTCCTCTTCAAAATTTCGTACGGGTTGAGTTGAATCTGTACTATCTGAAGATGCTAAATTACAATAATAGTTATAATGGCCCCGTTCTTCAGAAATTTATATGAAGACGTTCCCAAAATATACTTGTTTGGAACCCATCTTATTCTGCGGAGGGGTGGGGGTGAACAATTCAGAATCTGCATTGTCAAAGATTACAGAATCAATATGTACTGGTCCCAGTCGACAAAGCAGGTAACAAAATTGTCTTTGTTTGTAAGGCTCATTAATTCAATTGTATTTTAGAGGAACTTGTATATTAATTCTGCAAGTGGTAATTCAACTTACAGCTCCCCTTTTAAGGAGGAAATGCTTCAAAATTATATGTCAGTTTTCAATATTTTTAATATTCCCAACAATCAAATTGAATTTGAATTATCATACCTCATCCTAACAACGCCAGGGGTCTCCTGTGTCAACATGTTGCCGTTGGACCCACGACAAATTTAATTCGATATCTTGCGGGCTTACTGAAGAGACTTTTCGGGAAAAATACAAATCTTGATTGGTCTTCTTATCTCTCAACCAATCACATTACGCCTTTCGGTGATAAACAACGCGTAACACGTGCATTACAAGTGTCAACTGACTCCTTTCTCTTTATACCCCGGTACATCTATTTCAATTTGATTGGTGCTTCTCAATGAGAGAAGCAAACTCAAAGATATCGAATGAATTCGTCAGGGGTCCAACGGCAACGAGTTGACACAGGATCCCTGACGTTGTGAGGATGACCATACCTATACTGGAATTTTAAACTACATAAAAATCTTGACAAAGATACATAGCGGGTTCCAGAAAATGTTCTTCCAAGCCTCTTTTCTTACTCCTCACTAAAATATTATCAGCAGTAAGGGAGAAACTTCAGAAGTACTGTACAACAATATATTGGAAAAGTAGTGTAAATCAGATGTTGATACTTAAAAACTCCGAGGACTTTTAGAATGTTTGAAATCACAGAATTTTACGAAAATCAATAACATCAACCCGTACAACTTTTCAACACTTTATCTAGCCAATCACCAGGATAAATTAAAGTCCAGGCTTTTTGACATCATAGACTGCTGCTTTTTCAATAGAACTGGAACTCGTAAATATACTTACCTTTTCATAGGTCATTTGCAAAATTATTTTGTTAAAAAATATTCTGATTGTACACCACACAGTACTCTGTTGATACTAAAAAGGTGCTTGAGTTTCTGATTGACGATATCTATGCAGTTTTTGGAGATCAAGTTTTCCAACAATATGTCGCAAATCTCATCTTATCAATTAACAATATTCATTTTCATTCCTACGTTGATTGAAATATCCCTTTGAACTCGAAATAAAAAGTACCATAAAGTCTGCCTCATCTGTTTCATATTTGAATACTTTACTAGAAAAGACAACCTAACAAAACTTTATGATAAACGTTACGACTTCGACTTTTCTATTCCCAACTTCCCTTATTTATGTAGCAATATGCCATTATCACCTGCATATGAAGTTTATGTTTCCCAGTTGATTTGATACGTAAAAGCATGCTCTATGAATGAACAATTTTAAAACGAGGCAAGCTGTTAACAAATAAGTTGATGAAACAAGAATATCAACAATGTCTTTAAATTTTAAACATTTCGCAAATTCTATGGTCGATACATATACAATGACCTTGTCAGGAAATACAATATCATTAAGTTGAATGTTGACTGACGTCTTTCATACAAATTGTTAGGATTTATTTTCACACTGAATTTTCTATGGATTTTCCCATTTGCCCGATCATGACGAGGAGCATACGGCAGGTGTGACCGGTCGACAGGGGATGCTTACTCCTTCATGGCACCTTATCCCCCCTCTGATGCTTTTAGAGGTCCGTGTTTGCTCTGCTCCCGATTTGTATTTTTTCAATGGACTTTTGAGCTTGATTAATTTTCAATATCTCCATATTTGATCCAATGCAACATATTGCCATGTTCAGCATTGCAAATAAAGACAGAAAAAATACCAGAAAGCTCAATTAAGCTTACAGCTTAAGTTGGTTAGAACCTTAAAAGCCAGAACTAATGTTTGTGTGATTGCCACCCGGTAACTCACCTCGTCCTTTAATACACCGCTGATGATTAATGCATGCTATAACTTTGTCTGGGAGAGGATCACCAGATTTGGGGGCCCATACCATCAGGATAACGTCAATCAATAGTCCTTGTTCACTGTGTGTAATAACAGGTTCATGGTCTTCTATTCTTCTCTTTGCATAGTCCCAGAGATCAGTGTTCTCTGGATATTTCCCATCAACAAGGTTTCCTACTATTTCATCTGCAAGCCACTCTTCTGATTTATCATTGGATGGTGAAAAGACATAATCGAGGCCAATCATATCGACAAACGTAGGTAAGTATGACTCCCGGAGTTTACCTTTGGCATACTTTTTACAACATATCCTATAAAACAAATTTTTATATGTATTAAGCATTCTTCACACTCATGCGTCACCTAAAGGAATAGCTGAGTAAAGAATAATCGATGATTTAAAGCATCTAATAATGATGATAAACATCAAAGTTTTAACCTTTCTGTGAACATTGTGAAATGAAATTAAAAAACTAAAAATCGTCACAAAATATCATGCAATAGAACACATTACTTATCATCTATAAGGGTCTGTAAATTATAGACATTAAGCAAATACACAATCATAAATGTAAGTCTGTAATATACACATATAGGTCTATATTTAAGATTAATTGCTCAATATCAAAAATGATTAATAAGGTATAGTATACTTTAAAGAATATATTTCATATTGTGTAACAATCGTGTACTTCTTGCTATAAACAAGAAGGGTGACATTAATCTACAAAAAAAAAACATACATAATTGTTTCAAGATAAGTAAACACGCTCGCATAAAAACATATTTCCAATTTTTTTTTTATATTTCGATCATTTCATTATAAGCTTTTGCACTAAATTATGCATTCAGTATCTGACATATTTATTACACATTATTCTCCACGGTGACGTTTCTTCCTTGTCCAGATTTGGCGTATGGACAATAATTCCCTGTGATTGCTGTAATGGATGAGTTGATGAAGGAAGATTTCCCAACTCCAGCAGGTCCAACTAACAAAACAGACTTAGGTTTCTTGAGATTCTTTTTAGAACATGTTTGACTTAACTTCCAGCGTGCACCCCTCCGTCTCTCGTCATAACTGAAGTACAATGTACAATTTAGTTATATTTACAAAATACTCCATTATGATTCATAAATCATTCCTGGTCAAATTATTTAGATAAGGCTGAGAATTTGCTTTTTAAATAGGCGACTCAATGAGAATTATATGACAGTGGACTTACGTAGGGAAAGATGTAGCTATATTTCCATCGGGAGTCGTATCTGATCTTCGCAATCTAACAGAAAAATCATATTATTTATTTCATCAATGCATTAGTTCTAAGCAAATATACATTATTTTAAATCAAAATTTGTTTGTTGTTAAAATTAAAATTCACTTTTGACAAGATGTCACAACAATCCGTTAAAATGTACAAATCTTCATCCGACAAGTACATTACGTCGAACCAATGGCAATTTCAGTAAATATGGTGTCATAATATAAAGTTAGTTTCTTCTAATACCATCCTTAAACAGGTTCAAACTTCAAAGAAAATATGATCATGATGATTACTTTGTATCTTTTTTTATTTTATTGGGAAATACTGTGTCTAATTCCCTGCATGTTTGATGACAACAACAACAACAACAAATTTGCATAAAGTATCTTACTTGGATTTAATGTACTTTTCACAAATCCAGAGATTTTTATCGCTTCCTGAATTACGTTAAAATCTATGGAATGTTCCATGCTCATTTAAATTTATTAAAAATTTTCTTTTTTGGTCAAAATTGCTACTTATACCCTTTAAATCAAAATAAATTTTGAAAATTGAAATGATGATTTAGATACTGAAGAAGCATATGTGTATTTGCTTTACCACAAGGGCTAAATTTCTGTGCTTCTAAATTACCTCATCCCTCAAAAAAATAGTGTAAAAAAGATAAACCTTTTTGGTGCTGGTCTCCCTGCTGCTGACCCCATAGCTGTCCGTTTTCTAGGAATTATTTCTTTAAAACAAAATGAAATTTCATTAATCTCTTTGATCTTATGAAAGAAACCTGGAAATAGAATCGATGAAGCAGCATTTTTTTTACCTGCCAAGTGATCCTGCCTGAAATGTTCAACTGTTTTATCCACTGTATTCTTTAATCTGTCATCAAATATCAAATGTCTCTCCAGAATTTCCAGTAGAATTTCTGCGTAATTCAAATCACCTCCAACTTGTCGTGTCATTCGTTCACAAATCCCAATCATATAAGTTCTGATTTCCTCGAATTTTTCTCCTGTTAACTGATCCAACCATTGAACATGATAACTGTTGTTCCGGATAAATCGAACTCTTTCGATATTGTCTCCCACTCTTATAAAGCCTGCCCTCGGTTCTCTTCCCCAGCCGTTAGTTGGCTCGGGAATGTCTGTAAAATTCTGAAGTAAACAATATAGAAGCGTTATATCTAAGGAGCAGTAATCATTATCGTTAGCTGCCTTTTGTATCAATTCAAATTGCTGACGAACATTATCTTTTTGTTTTTTACTTCCTCTATTCACAGTTTCGAAAATATGCCTTGGAGGAATTTTCGTCTTCAGTAAATCACGCAGTGTTAGTGTCAGAACTTGACTGATTGCGATGATGATCTTGCAGTATCTTATTAATTTATCATCCTCCATTGTCCTTCATACGAGTGTTGAGACCTAAGGCATTTGTAATATTTGCTTGAAATGGAAATTACTTAATTTAATGTAACTCAAACTGACAAAGCATGTCAAATGGCCAGATTATTTATACGATCTATTCTGCATCAGATTTTTTCTTGGTCCACCAACAATGAAATTTTGTTGCATTTTCGGACGCTGCCAACATCACAATATAGAACTTTCACATTTTCTCAAACAATGTTTTCCATTCTGGAATGAAATGGAATTCGTTACAACATGATTACAGATTATGAGATATGGCAACTTTACAGAAAATCTGTCGGTCAACATCTGTGTTATTGCCCTAGTAGTACCTTTCATGATCAAGTGCAGAAGGTAAAACTAATATTTTATAAGACTTAATGCATATTTACCTCAAATCAAGTCGTCATATAATCATATTACAAAATCATAAGCTCTAATAATCGATTCACGAGGGTTTTATATCTGCAATAACACTGCATTGTTTACCACTGACAACCTCCTACTTTCTCTTTTGACAAATGCGTGGATTCCGATCCCGATCGATATATTTCATGCCTTCACCACTATTGTTATTCATGACTGAAAAACTAGCTTCTCTCTTCGATTTCTGAAGATTTACTGAATGAATAAAAAAAATCGAAATGGAATCCTTTAAGTGGCGTATAAAGCAATCAAAATAATGCTTTACATAGCTTAGAAATTCTTGCATTTAAATGAATTTATATCATATAAAAAGAACAATTAATTTACTTCAAAACTGACAGGAATTTTGAATCTAATCATAATTTTAATTGACATACCTAGCTAAATTCTTTCTCAGTACAATGCTGCACTGCTATTACCTAAACGATGACATTTTGTGTTCTAAACTGTAACTAATTTTTAAATGTCTTTATATACAAAGTACGGGATTCTCGATGAAGCTTGATACACAAGGATCGATAAAATTTATAAACAAATTCAAGAAAAATAGCTTTTTACCTCTCGAAATTCATGACCTGGTAAACATGTTTATTTTTAGAACTTCTCTCCCCTCTACAGTATACACTCTTTTACGGGTCAATGGTTTTTATTTTAAATATTAGAATTTTACATAAAAGAACTAAGGAAAACATTAGATGAAGAAGTTATCCATAAACACTTAGCTTCTTGATTGTTGGTAAACTGAGAATCATTTCAATATGCATCATTTGCGAAGGAAATATCGAAGAAAATATCATGAGGAATTTCCTTATATATTAAAACTGATGAAATAAGATGCTACAAAACCGAGGTGCACATATAAAATTTATGCTTCAAATTCTGTATCATGACATCTGCAAAATTCATTATAAAAATAAACTGAAATTAGCAAGAGAAAAAGCGCAGCTGAAGAAATCAAATATCGGTTACCAAAGTAATTAGTCTATATTTTTTGTAGGATTTGAGAACTATAGAAAATTACATCTGCATATCTTGAAAGCTGATACTTTTCACCAGGGTACGTGTACATTTCAAGGAAGATTAAAGTAGTGTTATCAGATTTCTGTTTTGTTCATCAGTTGAAATTCATCAGAAAACTTTCAAGGAACAATACAGTAAAAAAATATAAACGAACAAAAGACTGTAAATCGTCTTATACAATTTAGATGTAATATTTTACTTTTGTCTAAATTAAAGTAATACATATAAAAAAAAAATTGTAAAAAAAATTCTTCTTACCAGATTTAGGCATTAAAAAAAATAGACATAAACAATTTGCACACCGTTGCCAAAATCATGAAAACGGGAAGCGTGAATTTTTAACATCAGATACCTTACTCATGAGCAAGTTGAAAGGTGTTTGCTTAGGATACATTAAAGAGACAGAAACAAGTACAGACACCGAGCGAAATAATGTAGAGGAGGGGGGTGTACAAGATGAAGACATTCGGTTAAAATTGAGGGTAACAGAGCATGTTCTTGCTTATCGAATCAGTAGAAAGACATTAGCACCATATGCCGAGGATCTTGGAATATTGCTACAGAAATAAGATTTGACGATGGAAAAGTTGATGTCATCCCGTTTGTCATACATTTTAGTTCACAGTTGGCCATTATCGTTTATAGTCAATGAAACATCTAAATATGAAACAGATGTGACAGACTCTGTAGTGTCCACGTTATAGTTACACTATAGATATTAATTGGTTAGCGGTAAATACACTCACAGTTTTTTCATTCACGAGGGGCGGAATAAAAACTGTGAGTGTATTTAACGCTAACCAATTAATATCTTTTGTGTAAGTTACTCGTACCAGAAGACCAATGAGAGAAAAACAAGTTGATAATTAGCACCGCCTACTACGAGGTGTCAAGCCACGGTCCGGAGTCTGTATAAATAGCTGTCTCCATCTGCAAGGATCATACTTACCTGCGTCCCTGCTACTGCAAATTGTTGATAAAAAAAATTCGGAATTGGTACGTGTGAAGATATTGTACCTTTGGAATGTTAAAGACGCAGAAAACATGATTTTTGTCAGGTACAGATACACGGGTAGCGATTGTAGGCTTTTATATTCAAGCCGTGATCTCTGGAAGAAAATTTATCTTTCTAGATCTTTTTTTTTTTTTTTTTTTTTAAAAAAAAGGGGGGGGGGATGGGTATGGGAAACATCGCCATTGAACTTTTTCTATATGGCGTACAGAAAAAATGAAATGATTTGTGATATGTTAATGAAAGTTTGAAATGGTATTGGTACATCAAAGCAAATGGTATTGGAAGTAAAAAAAAAACGCGGGGACTTCTGATGTGAAATTGCTATTTGTATTTAGAGACGGGAAAGAGAATGACGAGAACTCGAGATAGGACGTATCATTTACTGATTAAGGATACGCGGAGAAAACATACAGAAACATTAATGAAGCGAACACGACAAGATAATGTTAGTATTTTTTAAATTAGAAATGTTGACTTAATTCATTCCTCAGCCAGGTCTGGAAATTGACATCATTCATTCATCAGTCTAGGTCTTGTCACAGAATGGCTTGATGCCAAAAGGTGGGCGTGACTTGAAAAAACTGTGATACTTCTTGCAAATACACCACAGCAACATCAAAGCAAAGTCTAAATTTACCGCCAGTCCTATCGTACAATTGGATATATCGAGTCGACATATGATCCTGAATGAAAGTGACTATTGTTAATTGATAAAATGTCATAAATTTATCTAAATGTTAAATTGAAGGCCAAAGCAATAAAGTTTTCTCGTTCTAATGAAGAGTATAAATTAAACAAATATCTACATTGTAATCTGATCTTCATATCATGAAACTAGTGTTGTCAACGAATACCCGGTTAACCGATTAATCGGTTAGTAAAACTGCTATTCGATTACTTGGATAAAAATGCATTTCACTTAGTAAATACGTAGAAAATAAATGTAACATTGTTTATAAATGTATACTAACACATTTCCCTAATTTTATTTACCGTTAGACTTGATATAGTGCTTCACAAATAGGTTCGATTTGTTTTGATTAGTTTAATTGATAGCTTTGATTGCCAGTGGATATACAAGTTTTGAAGACATGAGTTATGATTACCTCATTTACACCTGTGCTATAGTCAGAAGAACATAATTTAACAAGTTGTCGCCGCAGACATACAAAGCTTGGAAGTATTTTAAAAGAACAGCTGACTCGAAATCTGTAAAATGTAAATTATGTGAATTGGATACAAGTGGGACTATAAATAAGTTACATCACCTAAGATTAAAACATAATTCGGAAACCAGCGATTAACTTGACACTCCACAAATCAACCGGTAATTACGGGGTATGTTAATTCTCCTTGATCGCGACATATCGGGGACTGAAAAGGAAAGTGTAACCATGTAGAAATGGTAACTGACGACTATATATATCTATTTGTTTTCTTATGTCGATAAAATTCTTTTGTCGATACGATATATCCTGGTGAGCTTGAGATAAAAGATACCACAGAGTCTGACACATCTGTTTCATATTTGGATATTTTACTTAAAAAAGGCGTTAATGGTAATCTAACAACCAAGCTTTATGATAAACGTGATGACTTTAACTTTTCAATCGTCAACTTCCCTTACTTATGCAGGAATATACCTTCATCACCTGCACACGGGGTTTATATCTCTCAGTTGAGAGCATGCTCTACGTATGTAAAATTTTTAAAACGAGGTAAATTATTGACAAATAAGTTGATGAAACAAGAATATCAGCAGTCTCGTTTAAAGTCATCATTTCGTAAGTTCTATGAACGATACAATGACCCTTTTAGTAAATACAATTTATCATTGAGTCAAATGCTGACTGACGTTTTTCATACTAATTGTTAGACCATTATTTTACATACTGAATTGTCGACGGATTTTTCCGTTATTTCCCGATGATGACAAGGATCACACGGCGACTGTAACCGGTCGGCAGGGGATGCTCACTCCTCCATGGCACCTGATCCCATCTCTGATGTTTTGGAGGTCCGTGTTTGCTCTGCTCCTATTTTTTATTGTTTAATGGACTTTTGAGCTTGAATACTGTTCGTTATCTCCATATATTTCATTTCTTGAACCAAAAAAAAAAAAAAAAAAAAAAAAAAAATTCCGTTTCAAGTGACATCTAAAAATCAAAATTCTTCGGAGATATTGTGTGTGTGTGTGTTTGAAGCTGCGAATTTTGACCTATGCTCGGCACTCAGGGTCATTGAGCAGTTAAGGATCTTTTTCGTGCTAGCACCTACTGCGACACCGGGCTCGGTTTATACGGTCTTATCCGAAGGACCGGTCTCCACGTCCAACAGTGGGATTCGAACCAGCGACGTAAGGATTAACTCCTTACTCCGCGACTCTAGAGGACGCTCTACCACTGCACCACGCGGGCGACTGTGTGTGTTTGATTTTATTATTGTAAATGAAGTTCATATACAGTACTTTTGTGTTTTATTTCTACCGATAAGTAACGAATGAGATAAATACTAGATATGGAAACTATGAGGAAAATCATCCAAGTTACCGGTTGCTACATCTGAAAAGAAAATGAGTAACCGGTTACTAAAAATCGTCCAATTTGACAACACTACATGAAACATTTCAGAAAACAAATATCTTTTCTTTTTTTTTTTGGGGGGGGGGGGGGAGGGAACAAAATCAAGTAAACGGTCTTTTGTAATTGAACTCATTGGTTCTGATTAT